AAGCCATGTTGAACCCCCTGTGAGAGATGACGCGCTGGGGGTGCACAGGAGATGCTTGCAACTGCTGCTGGGCGTGTAGCTGTTGGAAGTGTTGTTGTTGTTGTTGCTGCTGCAGCTGCAGCTGCTGTTGATGTTGATGTTGTTGTTGAAGAAAGGGCGGAGGCCTGTTGATGACCGGTGGCGGTCCACCTTCAAAGGATCTGTTCACTGCTGTAACAGAGAGAGTAGACGCAGAAGGGGAGCTTGGAATAGATGGTGGAAGCTCGAGGGCTTCTTTTAGGTCAAACGAGAAGGCGTCCTTGGGTGGCAGCAAAGGACCGTCCCGAAGACTATCAGCGTGGGCCAGTCTATCTGCAGGCCACTCAAAGCGCTGATAGCTCATCTTTTTGCCAACAGGGAGCGATGATGGTAGTGGTCTTATGCCAAGGTCAGAAAATTAAATATCTGAGGAGTAGAAGGCCAAAGTCCCGACGAGAGCGGAAATGGATGTTAAAGAGGGCTGACAGGGACTCAGATGATGAAGAGCGGAACCCCTAGCTTCTCGACGGTCAAACCGTTCGGCACCATAAGATGTTGAGAGCAAGCCACGACGTGTAATACCCTCCTCGGACCGCAATCTTGTTTGGCCATGGCAGCCCGGTTGGCTGGTAGTCCAACGGGAAACTGGAGAAGCGGGTGCTCGTTGCGCATGGGTTCCTAGCCTAGGCTTGCGCCTCTGGTAGCGCTCTGAACTCAATTTCAGATGGAAGGAGACTGACTACCTTGGTAGTACTAGTCCGATCAAGGGCGGTGGCGTATTGGGACGTTTATGCATGGTTACAGTACTAGAGCTCTGCTTTGGTCGCCTCTCTCCAGACTACGCTCGAGGAGGTTGTCGACAAGGTTTCCAGGAGTGGATCGCCGTCTTGTCCTGTCTGATGGGATATGACCCTTGTCTGGGCTTTCCAGGTGCTCTGTCGACTAGTAAATCTCGAAACCAATCGGGGGGGAAGGGTTGCAGGCAGAGACTCCAGAGAAGCGGATCGGTGTCTTGGAGTCTTGAGTCTCCATGTGGGACATTGTCCAAGGAGCCCAAAACTCGGTACAATGTTGGTGTTTCTCAGCTCTAGGCGGTAGGCCCATGGTTCCAACAAGTCGTCCGTAATATTACGGTATCAAATGCGTTGTAGGACTCAAGGACCGCTGCACAGGGGTGCTGCTGGATTCCCAACCGGTTGGCTCGGCAGCCGCCAGCGCTCGACGACAAGCAACAGCCTGTTCGGTTTGATCCCAAGGCCCTTAGAATCTCGAGACTCGGAACACAGATCCCAGTGGTGCTCGCTGCAAGGCAAGAGACGCTGCTGGTGGCCACGGGCAGGGTTGCGTAGTCATGGCATGCATGTTCAGCCAGAGCAATGTCTCGCGTCTTGTCCCCGTTGCCTTGTGCAATGAAAACGATCGCCTTGGCTGGAACACAGACTAACGATCCGACTGGTGGCGGCGCTAGTTCGTCGCCAAGGCCGCAAGAGTGACTCTCCACTGACCATTGCAAAGCCGCGCAACTCAAGCCAAGAAGAGGTAGTGTAGAGGGTCCATGCGCCACTAAACAAAGTTTGTGTGTATGTACATATGTATGTATGCACATACATACATACTGTAAATTCGAAATAGTAACCAAGTAGTACTAGTAGTTCATGCCGGTTGTCAACATTAATCTTTGAGGAGACAGGCTGTGTGTTGCCAGAACTTGTCGTTGCGGCCTAGTTGTAGCAACCTGTCGCAGCGGCGTCACAGGCAACAAATGGCAAAGACGACATGACAACTCCGTATTTGCTGAAGAATGGCACAGCCTTTCGGTCTCCGTTGTCGTGCATATTGTCAAGACAAGTCCGCAGTATGTGGGTTTGATCGACAGCCCAAGCCAACTCACCAACTACCCAACCTTGCCCACATTGCCGACGCCAACATTGATTCGAGGACAGAGTCGACAAACGGCAACGGGAGATTCCTAACCCAGCGCACAGGCGTTTGTTGGTCGTCCGTGCCCATGGCGTCGGAAAACAACGTGGCCGCCCAACCATCCAGCACGTTCCCAGACATTAGTAGTACTCCGTATGTACAATGTCCCGTATACCATTTTAGTTGCGGGGTGGCTTTCAGGCAAACCCTTGCTCCAACTTGCTCTGCCATTTCCTTCGTCCCTAATACTTGCCAGGCTAACCCAGACTATTTTTTTCCCGATACTCTCTCATGTGGATATGATGTACGGAGCACACCCACCACGTAGATCCCAGCTTTGTCCTCACTGTGGTACTAGTACCATTGAACCAGGCCCAGACGACCGGAGAATGACCGTTATTGTACAGTGACAGCGACTTTAGCTCTAAACCACGGAGCATTTTAGCCCAAGTCCTCGGCTTTCTTAGTTGGACTCTAGCAGAGGCAAATGTGCTCACCATCATGTCACTACAGAAGCCTTTCGATATCGAGGGCCAAGTGGTGGTCATCTTGGCGCCTCTTGGCTGCTGGAACCCGGCACCACGGGTATTTCTGCTGCACCAATGGTTTCGAAGCGGCAGCCCCGAAAACTCTCGTCTGATCAAGGTGCATGTCTGGGGATTGCGTTTTGCTGCATATGTATGGTGGGGTTTCTGCGGCAAGATCGTGTAACAATGTCGACACCAATGCTGGAGACGCGATTGAATCTGGGATGAAAAAACGTGGCTCCCTCGATTTTCAAACTCTAAGTGCCTCCGGCTATCTCTTGCCGCGACAGTCGTCTCCTCTGTGCAAACAAGGGCAGCAATGGCACGAATCTAACGGAGCATAATGTTGGTTTACGGAGAGGTGTGCCGACTGCCCGGACTAGGCCCAGACGTAGCCACTTGACAATATTTGGCCTCTTTTTTGCTTCTCTCAAGGCCTAGAATAGCATCGTGTACCCGTTTTTTTGTCGTCGGTCATTGTGCTGCTTGCTTTAGATGAGTGTATAAAAAACCGCACGCCGTAATATGACGTGTTGTAATATCTCGGGTATGGCTTTGCGAGCCAACAGATATGTGGCGGTGATATCATAAAAGAAGGGGAAAAAACAAGGGGAAGGGCAGTAGTATGTCACAACTCTGTAAATATGCAATATTTGCAAGCGCCACCAGAAAAGACTCACCCAAAATCGACGTATCATATCAGATGTATACGGAGTATGTCAAGTTCTATTTGATGTACGGCGCACTTCCCGTCTGCCTCATCCCGGTGATGGCGCCGCGGAAGTATGGGTGGCGTTTTTAAGACACTGCCACCGAGGATTGTCCACCAAATATTCTCCGTACGGCGGATTTTCTATGGCCTTGAATCTCAGTCCTTTAAACGAGCTGACACATGAAGGCCAGTCACATGCCGCAATCACTTTCGAGCGACTTAGATGAGGCTTGAGGCGTGGTGGATTTTGCGGTAATCCAGCACAGTTTCGTTCATGCTAGCCTGAGCGTTGTGGTGGCAAAATGCTGAGCCCGTGTGGTCGTCGGGCGATGAAGACTATTCCTGAATAGGTTATTTTTTCAAGCGTGCTAGCGGCATGTATAACTCGGCAGTTAGCTTCGTCTGAAATCTGTTCATCGGACACCCCGTCCAGCGGACCTGAGTTCAGACCGCAGAGGAACTTGGCCACTACCTTATTTTTCGAAGGAGGCATGTAGTTTGATGCTTGGCAGAGGCGCTGGGGCGGCCCGAAATTCATCGCTTAGGGAATTCGAGTCTTTGCTGTTGTATTCAAATCTCACACCACTCAACATTTTGCCCGCATCCAGTCCTACCATGCCAAACATTGGCTGGGGTAGAAATCGTCTCATCTAATGTATAGGGTAGGGTAACAATTTGTTATCCGCCCACAGCCTCGGCGTTAGCATCGTCCATGTCTCAGTCTCTCGAGAACAGCGCTCAACTTACAGTTAAAATAACTCTGTTTGCCCCCCTGCTGCGGTTAGTCGGGAGCTGACGTGCGTGGTCACAGTTCATAAGATGAAAAAACAAACCACTAAGCATCATGGTCGCCAGAAGGCATTGGCTCGAATCGCTAGCAAAGAGCCCGAGCGAGTCGCCGAATAGCTGAAAGGGGCCTCCGAGTACGCCATGAGAGTTATAGTGGCTGCGGAATCATAACAGATGAAGAATTCGCCCCGGGTTTCAGCACAGCTGAAAAGAAGCGGCCGAGAGTTGGTAAGTCTTTGATCTTGGGACATGAGTCAGTGGGCCGCATGGCTAGTAAACAGATTGAAGTGTTGGGAATTGGTGCTCGTGTACTACGCACTCCGCCCGACATCTACGCCCTCACAAGAGACATCAGATGTGTTGCAAAGTGGCGTTTGTCTTAGTCGGCGGTCCGCTCGAGTCAGATCGCTTTAGCATCGAAGTCAAAGAGTAGGAGGAGCACAGAGTCTGTGCCACTGGCTCGTGGCAACACAAGCGAGGGCAACATGGACGGCAATGAGAACTGACGTTGATCGGTGTTAGGGGAGCAGAATTGAAGCAGCGATTTTCATAGTGACAAACATTGATGCTCCCACGAGCATGGGGACGGAACACAGCAGTTCCAGAGTGTGACAGAAGATATTTGCCCGACAAGAAGTATACACTAATATGCTACATTGCCCTATAATATTGAGCGCGATAGTCAGGTACCTACTTTTTTCCTCTCTGTCCATGCTCAAGATGCCCCATATTTTTAGCTCTAAGCATGCTGTGATTGGACAGAAGCACGCATGTACCTTGCCATTATCCTGTCTGGCGGCAGGCCTAGTAGCTGCAGCTGGCAGCTCAAGCACTTGAGCTTCAGAAAAGCTCACAGCCCAAAAGTGAGCAGGCAAGGATCGCGGCACTACCTCAGATACCAACTCTAGTATCATCACGTCACATCACCAGATCACGATCCTGGTGCTGTCTGACCCTTCCATAGCTAGACGATCCGTTGACTTCTACCACCGGGACATGTTCGCTGGCTTTGTGCAAGCTCAGTCACAGCGACAATGGCCAACCCCGTAGGCGAAGATGACTGGCTTGCCTACATCCAAGAGACTACTCGAACCGCCTCCGATCTCGAGCAGCGCGTCAAAGTTGTCGAGGAGTATAAGCGCGCCGTCGGTGACGAGCCCGGAAGCATGCGTCTATGGCTTGCCTATTGCGACTATTTCTGGCATCTGTGGGAAAGCAGCAACTCCAACGACGCTGGCTGGTCTGAAGAGGAACAGATGCTAGGTCGAGAGATCTTTTCCTTCAAGGCTGCCCTGGACCTGTGGCAGCAAGGCTATGAGGCGATCAAGTATCGCCTGAGCGACAGTCATGAGCTCTGGGATCTCTGGATGTCTTTTGAAAAGGAACAGTTTGTCAACAGCAGGACACCAGAGGGCCTCCGTCGCATCACCCATCTTTACCGCCAGCGTTTAGCTACGCCGCATTTAAACTGGGAGGAAACTTCACAAGCATTTTCGAGCTTTCTGTCGGAGTATAATCAATCGGAATGGGAGAAATCCATGCAAGAAATCACCGCCAACGCCCAGGCTACGAAGAAAGCCGTCCAAGTACGCGATCCATTCGAATTTCAACTGAAACAAGTCCATCGTAACGGCGATGTCGAAGCACAAAAGGCCAAACTACGGGAATACCTTGATTGGGAGGTGCGAGGGATGAAGAGACGCCAAGACGGCGCCGAATTAAATCGGAATATTTGCGCTGGGCTATTCGACAGAGCTCTGACCGGATTGTTTGCGACCGACGAGGACGCCTGGCATGACTACATCGTATTTCTCTCTTCATCGATGTCCGACTTTCAATCTGCGGCCGAGGACTTGCTAGATGCGTCACGCAGGTCAGTTCTTCATTGTCCGTGGTCAGGGCGGCTTTGGAGCAGATACATTCTATGTGCCGAGGAGGCAAACCTAGAATTTGCAGATATTGAGTCTATCAAGCACACTGCTACAAGTAATGACCAACTGTACAAGAACGGCATGGAGAGTATGATTAAAGTGTATGAGGCTTGGTGCGCGTTTCTGAAGAGAAGGGCACTTAAACCCGCTGCCTCTGATGACGCTGCCGATGTCGCAGAGGTTGGCCTAAGGGCTGCCATTGAAGACGTTGAAATCACAGGGAAGAGGCTCTACGGCAAAGAATTCCAGGGTGACCCAAAGTATCGACTGGAACGCCTCTATATTCAGTATTTGACGGAAAAGAAGGGCGCCATCAAAGACGCCAGGGCACAGTGGAAAAAGCTTGAGCATAGAAGCGTTCACGCCGACAGCTACGACTTTTGGTTCAACTATTACACTTGGGAGATGCTCGCATTCTCTAAACAGAATCATAGCGAAAATGTATCACCACACGGCGGCCTCCATGTCCCTTCGGCAGCAACCGCAGTGCTGTATTCCGCCGCAACCCGCAAGACTATCGATTGGCCAGAGGGGGTGCTTCAAATGTATCAGCAACATTGCAACAATTACGAGCTGCCGGCCTCAGTGCGTCAGGCAGATGACTTTGTTAATAAGACGCAAAAGATCATTGCATACCGCCGAAAGAAACAGGAGGAGCAACAAGCTGTGCAGGATGCTGCCTACTACGAAAGTGAGGCTCAAGCTCAAACACAAACTCAGAGGAAAGGGGTCGAATCCAGCGAACAGTCCGTGTCTATTGTAGATGCTTCATCTTCACCGAGCGAACCTAAGAGGAAGCGCGAGTCCCCCGCAGACACACAAGACGACGATGTAGAGAATGCGAGTAAACGCCAAAAAAATGATGACCAAATATCCGAGACTGCCGAACAACCCACCAAAAGAGATAGAGAACATTCAACTGTCATTGTTACCCAGCTACCAGCAGACGCTACGCAAACCGCAGTTCGCAAATACTTCAAGCCCTACGGACATATCAATAACATAACCGCTTTCATAAAAGAAGAAGATGGCCAATCCACCACGGCCTTGGTTGAATTTGGCTCGGCAGAAGAAGCACAGTCCGCCCTTCTCAGAGACGCCAAGTATTTTGGCGAGTCCCAAATCACTGTCCAGCCGGGCCACGATCTCACAGTCTACGTCGCCAACTTCCCTCCCGCTGCCGACGACCAATTCATACGCGATCTATTCAAAGACTGTGGCGATATCCTGAGCATCCGCTGGCCAAGCCTCAAGGTCAACACGCACCGCAGATTTTGCTACGTTTCGTTTCGCGACAGAGACGCCTCCGCTAAAGCTGTTGCTAAAGAGGGAAAGCTTCTGGAAGGCAAATACCGTCTTCTAGCAAAGTACTCTGATCCTGGCCGCAAAAAGAACCGCGAGGGCGCCATCGCAGAAGGTCGTGAAGTCCACATCAGCAATTTGGATCTATCAACCACAGAAGCCGAAATCCGCTCTGTATTTAGCAAATTCGGGACCGTCCAGCGGGTGAACATTCCACTGAACATGGCGGGCAGGAATCGCGGCTTTGCGTTTTTGGACTTTGAATCCAAGGACCAAGCTGAAAAGGCAGTTGCAGAACTGAACAGCACCAAGTTCAAGTCTCAGATTCTGAAGGTCGAGCTCTCAAAGGAGAGCAGGGTGAAACCATTTGCTAAAACTGAATTCCAGCGCGCATCAGACTCGCCTGCCCCGTCTTCATTGAAGGACGCCGAAGGCGACCAGGCAATGGGCGACGCCGTCGCGGAGGGTCCTTCCAAACCATCGTCTTCAGAAATAGCCGCCCGAACCATTGCCCTCATGGGTCTCCCAGACACCGTAAACGACGCGCGTGTCAAGGCTCTCATCGAGCCCATGGGCTCCATTGTCAAACTCGTCCACCAGCCAGGCCACGGAGGCGCCATCATCGAATTCGCGGATGCAGCTGCCGCCGGCAAAGCGGCCCTTCAACTCAATAGCATGGAGTACGAAGGGCACAAGCTTCGTACAGGATCCCCCGATGAACTACGTCAGAATAAACCTGGCAATAAGCCTGTGCAACAAAGCAGGCCAAAGGGGCTTATGGCTCCGCCGCAGGCTACGAGACGAGCTGTCGGCAGACCTGGTCCAAAAAAAGGGTTGGGCTTTGCACCTCGGCCTGCGACGGCGACGGCAGCCAAACCTGTTGAAAAGGAGGGTGGGCCAAAGAGCAATGCTGACTTCAAAACTATTTTTTTGGCGGGCAAGAAGCAGGATGAAGAATGAGTAGATTCCGTTCTTTCCATGTATAAGTTTGTAAATTAGCAATGGGTAGGGAGCGAGGCACTGATTATGACATGAGGGTAGGAGTTGCGTATCTGTACCATGGATATGTCGTGCAGTCTGTGGAAGGATAATATAGGACCTCGCTGTTAGGCACGGGCTTCTAACACTAGTTGAGAGGGTATGCCGTGGGATGCTAGATTTTATTTATGAATCAAATCTTTGCCTCTGATGAGCCATCAATTGTCTATGTCTATGTTGTATATATTTTGCATGGTATCCCATATATCCCAATTGTGAAGGAATCCTTGTGACAGTAGTCGTTCGCCAATCCCAGTGCATCAAAACTAAGCAAGCTACTTTGCAACCTATGCCTTAGCCACAGCCACAGATACACCACTGCTCTTTCCATCGTCCCTCTGATCTTGCGTGAACAACTTCTGCCACACTTCTAGCCATTTCTCTTGCTGGGCAGTCGGTAATTTACCCGGTTGTTTGAATGAACGAGTAAGTAATTCGCGGAGTCGAGTACGGAGGACTTTGAGAACGAGCATAGTCTTCCAGTCCGGTAGGGCGAAGCGTCCTCTGTTACCGTCGAGGACAATTACACCCGAGAACATCTGGTGCAGGTCAGATACTGAAGACAGCTTGGGCAACTGTGAAGGGGGTATACATACATCGCAGCGGACGTCGCCGCAAAGAAGGGCAATGGCAAATGGTTCAACCGCAGTGGTTTCATGCGCGTGATAAACACTGCAGCTGTTAGTGGCTTCTCCGCACGCAATTAGCACCGGGACACTCACGTCTTTGACTGCATAATGTGATAGTAGGATAGCCATTTGATGTCCAAGAAGCCTCTATTCACAGAGGACGGGTGCAAACTAATGTTCTGATTATTGCCAATGTTACGGAGGCCTTTCGTACCGGGTGTATCGCGAACAAGAAGCTTGGGGTAGAAGCTCCAGGCAATGACCGATGAGGAAATCAAGTCGTTTTCACTATTGATGTTGACTCGTCGAGGAACTTCGTAAAAATTTTGCTGGCGTCGACGGCCTTGTGCGAATCGAAGACGTGCGAGTGTACGGCGCTCTTCCTCTGTTAAGGAGAGGAAACCCGAGTCTGCTAGGGATACAAGCAGCTGGCCCTTCAAGTCTTCGATATTGGCCAGCGTCTGCTGACTGAGGAAATTCTTGCGACAGAATTGAAATTCTTTGCCCCCGCCGCTGTTGGCTTGGCATACTCGCTTCCAGGCAAGGTAGGCGTTGTATATAGTGAGAAGATCGGAATCTGCTCGACGGAAGGCCATTCGTGCATTATCGGCTTGTGCACGCTGACCCCAGGGCGCAGAAAAGGGTGACTTTGATGAGAGAATAGCGGCAACGGTGATAGACATGTCGAGGCATTTGAATACCGTGCCCAACAGGATAAGCTTACCCAGGAACACATCAAGAGGTAATCTCGCGAGCTGGTGGCCCAAAGGAGTGAGTTCCTCGGCTGTTGTCAAGGCACGAACATCTACCAATGCATCAATAGCACGGCGAATATTCTTAGCCGATGGAGCATCCAGGGCACCACTAAGTGTCTCCTCGATCCCGCCAATCTTGCAAATCTTGACGCGAATAGCCAGGTCCTGTAGAGATAAACGAAGCATTTCAGGCGTCTGCTGGTCACTCATAATACAGTCGTGTCGATACTTGGTGAACATATGGAAGCATAAACCATTTTGAACACGACCTGCACGGCCTCGCCTTTGTTTCGCGTTGGCTCTAGAAATAAAGGTATCAATTAGTCGAGATAGCTGTTTCTTCTCGTCAAAACGCATCTCGCGATGCTTTCCGGTGTCGATAACGCAAGTGACGTCCGGGATTGTAATACCAGTCTCGGCGATGTTGGTGGCGAGCACAATCTTGCGCACTCCTGGAGGTGGTACGAGGAAGGCCGATTCTTGGTCCTCAGTAGCAATAGAGGAATGGAGAGGGTATACCAGCCAGTCTTTGGCGAATCGCGGGTCTCCAAGGAGCATGTCGTTGAGAGTTCGAATTTCAGCAATACCTGGCAAAAATACTAGGATTGCCTTGCTGTAAAATGCGAGGGACTCATCCGAGGCAATACGCACCATGAGCTGTAGAATTAGGTCGAAGTCGATGCGGTATTCGTCCAATTGAGTTAATGTGCTTCTTGTCTGCGGAGAGTAGGCCGATAAGCTCGAAGAGATTTCACTCTTTGGACCGTTGCCCTCTCCCTCCACAACATCATCATCAAGATCGACCATCTTCTCCTCAGGCGAGTCGCTCGGCCGGTATCCTGTGAGTTCAACAGCATCTTCCAGATAGCGTATATCCACTGGAAATGTTCGACCAGGTACATTCAGAATTGGTGCGCCACCCAAATATGCCGAGAACCGTTCGGCGTCCACTGTGGCAGACATAAGCACAACCTTGAGGTCTTTTCTCTTCGTCAAGAGCCTCTTGAGGACGATGAGAAGGAAATCGCTGTCGATAGATCGTTCGTGAACCTCGTCAAGAATCAAATGTGTCACCTCACGGAGATCGTTGGATCCCTCCAACATTCGCATAACAATACCAGTCGTAGCGAAAACCAGTCTCGTTTCCCGAGATGTGTTGGCTTCAAGACGGATGGAGTATCCCACAAGTGATCTGTTGGTACCTAAATCACCCTTGTTTTCACCAAGTTCGTCGCTTACGCGCCTGGCCAGAGAGATGGCCGAAATTCTGCGAGGTTCTGTACAGTATATTTTGCAGTGCCTGCCTTGAGATAGTTCGTGTTCCAGCAAAAATGCAGGTACTTGCGTGCTCTTGCCGCTAAAATTGCCATGTTAGCCCAGGCTGCAGTGGTATGATATATCACGGTCACATACCATCCCGTCTCTCCACAGACAATGACGACTTGGTTGTCGTCAACAGCCGCAAGGACTTGTGGTCGAAACTGCCACATGGGGAGCTGCATTCGGAATTTCTGGGCTATGGTTAGGCTTGAAGTGAAATGGCAACTGAGAAAATTCAATGGGGAAAAGATGACTTACCAACATGGATTGGAACTTTTCACCCCTAGCCTTGTCATACCAAATTTTCTGCAACGATTCTACACCAGCAGTGTTTAGCCTTGAGCGATCCAAGGATCCATTTTGTGTCGAATCTGGTGAGTTTCTAGCTGCCCCACGGCCTCGGAAGGCAATAACTCCATCTTCTAGCTCTTGATCTTGTCGTTGGCGAACCATGGTTCTCAACGACCTCACTGCTTCGCGATCCTGAGTATCCATATAGTCCTTCTTCGCTTCTGCCATTTCTGACCAAAGATCTTTCCAAACAGGGGGTAGTCTTAGACTAACTTTCTCATCCTTCGAATTACCGTTAAATATGTGGAAAAGGGCCGCAGTGGAGATGTAGGCCTCGGATTGTTTGGCATCAGACACAGCAACACTTTTCATCGTGAAGGTGAAATGCGTCGCGTCAGCGGCGACTTCGACGTCAGAATCGGGCAAGACGTGAGGCAGCTCCTGAGCTTTTGTCCACCAAATATCAACAGATTGGCGGCTAGCAAATGTAGCTTCAGAGACTACAGTATACGTCATTCTGACTGACGGGTCTCTACAAATGATATAAGCAAATATCAAGAAAAGGGCTAGAGAAATGAGCGGCACTTACCTGGAGCGACAAGAGTCCTCCAAAACTCTTCTAGGGCCCACTCCTGTCCATTTCCCAAAGTCTCGAAGGACAAGTTTAGTACCATCTGCAGCGGTAATGACAGTCTGCGTTTTGCCCGTGTTTGGATCCACCTCATTCTGTGGGAGGGATGCGAATAGTCCAGTAATGGCGTCGCTATCTTCATCTTCTTGGGCCAAAATTTCCGCAGCAATACGATCCGCCTCATCGTTTACACTATCGTCGGCATTGGCTTCTGGTGTTTGCTCTGCTTTCGATCCGAGTTCCTCTGCCGCAGCTTGTGCTTCCTTCTTGGCAGCAGCCAGTTGTCTTTCGACAAGGATCTTCTCGGATTTCCACCTAAGGTCGGCATTGAACTTATCGAAAAGAACGTCACTCTCGATCTTTTTTATTTTAGCTTCAAGCTTAGCAATCTCTAGTTGTGTCTTGTCCTCGCTATCGGTTGGTCTAACGCTACGGCTGAGCTCGAGATGCTTTGCTCTTGCGGAAACGTATTCGGGTATCAGATCTTCGGGTTCTATATCTAGGTCGTATGTCATGACAAGCTTTTTATTTGGCGATGCAGACTTGCTTCCTCGAGTATTTGCTTTGTTCTTGCCGGAGCTGAGTGACAGAGGCTTGGGAGTACCGGGGCGTGATGCGTTTGGGGTATCTGTAGGGGTATCTATCGATTGTATCAGCGCGGGAACTTGGAAATTTGTACAGTAATGGATTACAGGCTGCAAGTCAAAAATACCTCTGGAAATAGGCTTGCCCTTGAATTCGTATAAGGGAAGTTCCTCGGCAGGGCACTCTCGGGCAAGCCACTCCAAGGACTCATCCAGGCCCCATATGGAGTCTTTGACAGAAGAAGAAACATTGGTGGCAATATCCAAAATGTGTTTAAGAACAGCTTCCACTCGTGCCTCGGGAAATCCAGCAGCGGCCAAGGTCTGGCGCAAGGTCCACAGCCGAACAATCATGTCCTCCTCGGACGGAAGCTTTCCAGTGCCGACATTTTCGGATGACAAGCTTGACCCGGCAAACCTCATCTCTGCCTTGATGAGGTCGAGAATATGTTCCACCAGGTCTGGAGGTAGCCATTTTGGAGCATTGACCAGATCAGCCTGGCTACGGAGCAGGCGTCGGTCAGTTTCGAGTCGAGTTCGTTGTCGCTGGGCATCACGCTTGGTTTTCTGGGAATGCTTCTCGACGAGGAGTTGCAGTTCGGACTCTTCAAGCTGCCTTTCAAACTCTTCGGGGCTCAAGGGCTTGTCCTCGCTGGTCTGGTGGGCAGTCGCACTGCCATGACCATCACCAGTCGTGGACTTTGCGGATGGCGGGGCATTTTCCTTGGATGGAGGGGCAGAAGCACCAGAAACACCATCGGCCAACGGCTTTGCTTCCGAGTCGGATACTTCAGGCCGGGGTTTGGAGGCAATCGAGGTAGTCGCAAAGCCGCGTGCCGGGTTAGCAGCGGGCTTCTTCTTTTTCTTGTTGCCAGCCATTGCCCTCGAGACTGGTAACCAGGAAAGGAAGGGCAAGCACAGCAAAAGAGTATTGACAGAGGCAGAAGGAAGCTGGGGCTGGTGCTGAGGATGTTTATTCGGGTGGGAACATTGAACCAGGCTGGACTTTAGCCTAGAAGAGACATGGACGGACCAGTGCCGTTGCCGCTGGAGCTGGTAGCAAACAGTGCATTTAAGTACTTGGATGTATCAACCAGAGACATGCTCTCAATGAGCGCGGCATTCAGGCTGGGCTCAAGTGCTCAAGTGCTGCGTATTGCGCTGTCAGGTGGCGCCCTAAGCGCTAAGGGTCGGTTGTTGCAGGGGGCGCAGGGACCAGTCCGTTGATTGACCAGTCCCAGGGTCTGGTTCCATAGAAGCTGGCTTTAGAGACTGGCTACTACTACTTAAGTAAAGTAGTCAAGTACCTTACTTAAGTAAAGTACTTAGGCAGGTGACATCCCATCTACTTACTTATACTTAAGTAGATCGATTGATACGTCTGGTCCAAATGTTCTGAGTGCCGCCATACCCCAAGTCCTGAGTGTTGAAGTATCATTGTGCCGTGCTGGGATCTGACTACTACTTGGTCATGAGCAGCCCATTTCTGTTACTCGCCGTTACTCTGAGTCATCCCGACATAACGACAAATGAGCTTCCAAGATAACCGAGAAAGCAGTAGGGAGAAAAATTTTGCTTTCAGCCGACATGAGTGACGAAGATAGCCAACTGTCTATTGAACCGGCGCATCAATCACCATGACTTCTCAAGCTGCATTGTGTGGTTTGGTATGACACAGATTCGAATGTTGACAATAATTCCGTTGTAGTATATATACTATTCCTATTTAAAAATCCACCCCAGAAATTCACTATGCACGAAACTCATTGCATTTTGAATCACATACCGAGATACTACTGTACTGGCTCCTGTAGTGACGGCCAATGCTCTAAATACTCCTGGAGAGCATGCTCATGGGCGGTGAGAAGAATTTCCATGTTCCCACACCAATTGCGAGGCGGGGCCAGATTTTGACGTGGGGTGGAAACTCCATGTATGGGCCAGAGTCGAGCTGCAGACAGCCAGCCAAAGCTTTCAACGTCGAGAACGCACTTCGATAATTGGCACCCGTCGCCTTCTCTGCAGGCTCACCTTTGCCTGTTCCTTCTTTCTCTTGTCCTCTTCCTCCGTCTTACCCGACCCGTGTCCCTCCATCTCCGCCGATTATCGAAAGACGGTGTGAGAATTCGAGAAGCCCTCCGTAGCCCCAGATGATTTCGTCACTCCATCTGCCTCGTCTCGCTCCTCGACATGTCTGAATCGTTGGTCAACGACAAAGGCTCTTCCGCAGCCGCTGCTGGGCTCGACTTAGTCGTAATTGACCAAGCCTTGATGTCTGCCTCGACTTCGATTCGAATTGCCAAGCTTCACCAAGTCGACGAAACCATTCGACACAAAAGTAGCTCCGTGCCCAGCCTCTACCTCGTCAAAGATATGTGCGACTGACTTCATGCTACAGCATCCGATGCTTCAGCTATTCCCGGCCTTTTGAGCCTGCTCTTCGCCACCCACCCATTCTACCGAGACCGAGAATCTAGACTCGCGGTTCAAAAATGCTTGACCACTATAATAGCAGCTGAAGCCAGCCCAACGGCCCTTTCTTCCCTCGTTAAAACTATGCGTCAAGAGATACAGAAACCGGGAATTGCCATATCTAATGCCTTTGTTATTGTTGAGTGGTGTAGTCTGTTTATGCAGCACGTTTCAGCCGACACATGGGTACATCTGGGTGATGAGATCCTTCTCACCTGCGCGGATGCAGTAGAGAAATGTCTACAATCAGGCTGCAAAAGTGGTATGACTCGATCAGCAACGGTTGTGACCAGGCGTGGTTTCCGCAGGCTGTTTTCTTCGGCTGATACTCGAGAAAAGTTCGTGACCACCGCCGTTACGACTCTCACGACCAAAGCTGCTCAGCCAATGGCCAAAAACGCCGTTATTTTGGGCATTATTGCCGGGGTCTCGGCTCTTCAGGCGCCATTAAAGCCAATTCTGGAAAGATTGAAACCGAATTACTACGAGTTTTATTCGCGGGAGATTGTTGGATCACGAACGTCCCTGCCAGCACATGTGGCATCGGGACTCAGCGATTTCTTTGTTAACTTCGCCAGCCTCGAAGACGTCGAAAAAGATCTGGTGCCTGCTATCGAGAAAGGCTTGCTGCGTGCTCCGGAAGTCGTTTTGGGAGGAGTTCTGAAGCCGCTGGTCACGTCACTGCCTGACGATTTCGATCTGTCGAAAATCCTGGATGGCAAGCTCTTGAAGCCCCTTTTGTCCAATGTCAAGTCCAGCAATCCATCTATTCGAAGTGGAGCCATAGCAGCCTTTCGTGCAATTGTGGTAAAATGCCATGACCTTAAGACATTAGATCATGTTGTCGACGAACTTGCTAATCCTTTGGCGACTGGCAAGCTTCCTGCCGCGGAGCAGAAGATCCTGCATTCGGAAATGCTGGAAGCCACTCCCCTGTCATCACAGAGTACCACGAAGGTTCTGGTATCACTTTCGACCATCTCCACAAAAGAAGGGAACGAAGCTGCGCTTGCCGCAGAGACTTCAGCATTAGCCCATGCCGCAATTCTAGCCCTTAAAGAAGGAACTGATCTCCCCAAATCGGCCACCGAAGCTTTTGTGAAAGGGCTTGCAGATAAAAAGCCTGGTTCCAGGAGAATATGGTTGCTCCGTGTAGCAAACATCTTGTATACTCTCAGGGACACCAGCGCGACTGCCGGACTCACTACATTTGTCGATGGGGTCATTTCCAAACTCATTGTAAACTTCCAAGAAGTTACAGCTAACGCCGCCGGATCAGCACTATCTGGATTGGTTGTCGGAGCTTACATTCTGACTGCATTAGACCCAGTATTGTCTCGTCAGTTCCCCGACTCTTCAATAAGTTCAGCCCTGGCCAAGGCGTCCATCTCAACTCAGGCATTATCTTTGGCCTCAAAACAATCCTTCTTATTAAATTACAGAGTCTACGGAAAACTTAATACTGAAGAAGATCTTCAGTGGTTAAGTAGAGCCCTGACGTCGGTGGCAAAGAACCTCGACAACGAGTCTGACAAGGCCCTTACCCTAGCTTGGGCAGAGGCGTTTATCTACCTGATTACGGCGTCCTCCATTCCCCCAAAAGTACAACGAGAAGCTCTTAGATCCCTCTCAAAATTGTATGCCGAGCGAGCTGAGGTGGTCTCTGAGTTTGTTATTGACGGTTTGTGGGACAATTTTGGCCTTGACGAAGCTAAAGAGAAGGATTTGAAAATCAACAAATCAAACTTGATTCATGTTTTGCGGTCAATATGTATGGACCCCAGTGAGCTCTCTGCACTTGGAGGCAATGTATCGCAGGAGCAATTGGAGTCCCAGGCATGTTCTATTCTGGTTCTAGCGAGACCGGAACTTATTGCTCGATCCAGCTGGATTGACATTTGCCTTCGTATGGGCCTTGATCCTGGCACTCTCGCCAAGAAATACACTGATGAGCTCCTCGGGGAAATCGGTCGACGATCCACTAATGAACAAAAGGTAGGACAGCTTTTTAACTGGTACAGATGTATCAGGAGATCTGATCTGGTATCACTATGCTAACTCGGGCGTCATAGGTTGATGTGATTCAGCAAGCTGCTTACAACGCAGCCGCTGAATTGGCATTCGTCGCCCCTGAAGTCATAACTCCACGACTAATGGAACTCATTAGCCGCGATCTGGATCCCAGACAACTCCAGGACATTGGTCCTGTCGAGGCTGCCATTTATAGAACTCCGGAAGGGACCTGCTTTGTAGATGTTCTAGCTAAGAAAGCGCAAAACGCTGCCCCTAACAAAAACACCAAGGACTATGACATACTGAAATGGGAAGAAGAACTGAGAAGTCAGCTTGAGCAAAAGAAAGGCCAGCAACGGAAGTTGACTCCAGAAGAGACTGCAAAAGTGAATGCTCAATTGAAAAAGGAGTCGGGCATCAGAAGCTCAATTAAAGGGGTCGAAGCAAAGCTGTTGCGCGGCATTGGAATCATCAAGTCACTCGCAACCGGTCCACCTACGGATGCCACACTTTGGCTTTCTTTCTCTATCGGTCTAATTCTTGACATCATTGATGCAGGAGCCGGCCTGATTATTGGCGACACTGCCCCATTGGCCTATGTTATTTGTTCCGAGAAAGTCTCATCAAGACTAGGGGCTCTTCGACAATTTATCGGTGTTGCCACACTACGACTTCGAGGTATTACCTTGTCCGAAAACTACGATGAGGAAAAATTGGAAGACCTCGTTACCCGAGTTCTTTACCGTCTCCGATTCGCAGGCGAACAGCGCCCGTTTGATTCTGTTTCACTGATGTATATTTTGCCTCTTGTGTTGGATCTTCTGCGAAAGGGCGGTGTTGGAGAAGATGTCGACGATCGAGATGCTCAGCTCGTTTTGGCTGTCGAGTTCCTCTCCTTCCACACTGATGTTTTCTCCGATGATGCAATCCCGCGCACCGAACTTCTAACTGTTCTCATTCAATCTATGCTTCAGTATGCTCAGCACTACAAGCTAATCAAGGACTGTTTCGCCGACATGTGCCGCTGTATCGCACCGAACATGAGTCAAGCAGAGATGCAGGTCCTTGCTAAAGGTGCCAATGTGGCCCAATCGAGTGTCAGGACCAGCGTGTTGCAGTCAATTAGCTCCGAGGTAGATATGAGTGACCTCGACTATTCCGACGAGATATGGTTAGCGTGCCATGATGATGAACAAGAAAACCAAGAGCTTGGAGCGGAGATTTGGGAAGAAAGCGGATTCACAGTTGACGACGCTGTTGCCATGCGTATGATTCCATACTTGGACACCAAAGACTCCCAGCTGCGCCGAGCTGCAGCTAGGTCGCTGGCCGAAGCCGCCCAGAGACATAAGGAGACTTTGAGCGAAGTTATTCCCAAGCTGCAGTCATTATATATCGAATTTGCGAAGCCAAAGGTCCAGCTCCTGGATGAGTTTGGAATGCCGAAGAAGATGGATTTGTCCGATCCTTGGGAGTCTAGGCAGGGCATTGCGTCCGCATTTAAAGAAGTTACGCCGGTTCTAAACAGACAACAAACCGATGAACTCTTCGATTTTCTTATCGAATCAGGGCCACTCGGAGACAAGAGCGATAATGTCAGAAGAGAGATGCTAGATGCTGCCATTGCCGCAACTGAAGTTCACGGCAAGAGCATGATTGACGAGTTGATGAAAAAGTTTGAACACACTTTGGAGCAGCCAGACAAGAACAGCACGGCAGCTGACCGTGTCAATGAAGCGGTTATCATCATGTACGGTGCTTTGGCAAGACATTTATCTCCTGGTGACTCGAAGATTCCGATTGTCATTGAACGTCTCTTTGCCACCCTTAAAACCCCATCGGAGACTGTGCAATTCGCCATTGCTGAGTGTCTGCCTCCATTGGTCAGGGCCTGCTCAGATAAATCTTCGAAGTACTTTGATCAGGTCCTGGGCGAGCTGCTGAATTCCAAGAAGTATGCGAACCAACGTGGTGCTGCATATGGTCTCGCTGGTCTCGTTCTCGGTAGAGGTATTGGGTCGCTAAGGGAGTATCGCATCATGTCTACTCTCAAGAGCGCTATGGAGAACAAGAAGGAGGCACACCAGCGTGAGGCTTCTCTTCTGGCATTCGAGCTCTTCTCAACAGTACTTGGCCGTCTCTTTGAACCATACGTCATTGAAATCGTTCCACAACTCCTCAGCGGCTTCGGTGACAGTAATGCTGATGTCCGTGATGCCTGTCTCGCTGCGGCCAAAGCTTGCTTCGGTCAGCTGAGCTCCTATGGTGTCAAGAAAATTATGCCGACTCTTCTAGATGGATTGGATGACCAACAATGGCGTAGCAAGCGTGGAGCCTGCGAGCTGCTCGGCGCCATGGCCTACCTCGACCCCAACCAGCTGGCAAATAGCTTGCCAGAAATTATTCCACCCCTAACAGGTGTCTTGAATGACAGTCACAAGGAAGTCCGGGCTGCTGCCAACCGAAGTTTGAAGCGATTTGGAGAGGTCATTAATAATCCTGAAGTCAAGAGTCTGGTTGATGTTCTCCTCAAGGCTCTAAGTGATCCCACCAAGTACACAGATGATGCCCTGGACTCTCTCATCAAAGTTCAATTTGTGCATTATCTTGATGCACCTTCCCTGGCTCTCATTACGCGCATCCTTCAGCGTGGTTTGGATGATCGCTCTAATACTAAGCGAAAGGCTGCTCAGGTCATCGGCAGTCTGGCGCACTTGACGGAAAAGAAGGACATCATTACACATCTTCCCGTCCTCGTTGCTGGTCTTAAGATTGCCGCTGTGGATCCTGTTCCTACAACCCGCGCCACCGCATCCCGAGCTTTGGGATCCCTCGTCGAGAAACTTGGCGAGGATGCTATGCCCGATCTTATCCCAGGCTTAATGGAAACCCTTAAATCTGACACTGGTGCCGGAGACCGTCTTGGATCCGCTCAAGCTCTAAGTGAAGTTCTGGCCGGCTTGGGTACAACTAGGCTCGAAGAGACTCTTCCGACCATTCTGCAAAATGTCGATTCGTCCAAGCCCGCCGTTCGAGAAGGTTTTATGTCACTCTTCATTTTCCTTCCTGTATGCTTTGGCAATAGCTTTTCAAATTACCTTGGTCGTATTGTTCCGCCTATCTTGGCTGGACTCGCTGATGACATTGAATCGATTCGCGAAACTGCTCTTCGAGCCGGAAGACTTTTGGTCAAGAACTTTGCTGTCCGCGCTGTGGATCTTTTGTTGCCCGAACTTGAGCGTGGCTTGGCAGATGATAGTTACAGAATTCGCCTCAGCTCGGTTGAGCTGGTTGGTGACCTCTTGTTCAACCTTACCGGAATCAAGGCAAGTCCTGAACCAGGAGATGAAGACGACGAGGAAGCCGTCAAGGAGGCAGGCGCTTCCCTCAAAGAGGTTCTTGGGGAGGAGAAACGAAACAAGATCTTGTCGGCACTTTATGTTTGCCGCTGCGATACTGCAGGCGCGGTGCGGTCAGCTGCTGTCGCCGTTTGGAAAGTTCTTGTACACAGTCCGAAAATTCTCAAGGAATTGGTGCCCACCCTCACACAACTGCTTATCAGAAGACTCGGCAGCTCTAACATGGAGCACAAAGTCATCGCAAGCAACGCACTGGGAGAGCTCATTCGCAAGGCTGGAGATGGAGTTCTCTCGAGTCTTCTTCCTACATTGGAAGAAGGTTTGCAAACGTCAACAGACTCAGACGCCAAGCAAGGTATTTGCTTGGCCCTGCGAGAGCTCATCTCTTCTGCCTCTCCTGAAGCCATGGAGGATCACGAAAAAACACTCATTTCTGTGGTCCGCACGGCACTTACCGACTCTGACGAAGAGGTCAGAGAAGCCGCCGCAGAAGCATTCGACTCACTTCAGCAAATTCTGGGCAAGAGAGCCGTTGACCAAGTCCTGCCTTTCCTCCTTAACCTCCTTCGATCCGAGAATGATGCTGAAAATGCCCTGTCTGCTCTTTTGACGCTCCTGACAGAGACTACGCGCTCCAACATTATTCTGCCGAACCTTATTCCCACACTTACCACTCCTCCAATTTCAGCGTTCGATGCCAAGGCGCTGGCATCTCTGTCAAAGGTTGCTGGTGCCGCCATGAACCGTCGGCTGCCTGGTATTATCAATTCTCTTTTGGACAATGAGATCAGTTGCAAGGAAGAAGGCCTGCGTACCGACTTAGAAAACTCATTTGATACCGTTATCCAATCCATCGACGAGTACGACGGCTTGAATACTGTCATGAACGTTCTTTTAGGTCTAATCAAGCACGAGGACCACCGGCGAAGAGCAGCTACTGCACGCCACATTGGCAGCTTTTTCTCCGCCGCCGCTGTCGACTATTCACGATACAACCAGGACATTATTCGGTCGTTGCTTAACGCATTTGACGACAGCGATCCGGATGTAGTCAAAGCCTCCTGGGCAGCTCTAAGCGAATTTACAAAGAAGCTTAAAAAGGAAGAAATGGAATCTCTTGTGGTGTCTACCAGACAAACTCTACTTCGAGTTGGTGTTGCTGGCGCCAATCTTCGTGGCTTTGAGCTTCCTAAGGGCATCAATGCAATTCTGCCTATTTTCCTTCAGGGGTTGATGAATGGCACTGCTGATCAGAGAGTCCAAGCTGCCCTTGGTATCTCAGATATTGTCGACAGAACAAGCGAGGCTTCGCTGAAACCTTTCGTAACACAAATCACTGGTCCTCTCATCCGTGTTGTTTCTGAGCGGGCCACCGATGTCAAAGCTTCAATTCTGCTGACGCTGAACAACCTTCTGGAAAAGATGCCCACAGCACTAAAGCCATTCTTGCCGCAGTTGCAACGAACATTTGCCAAATCACTAGCTGACACGTCTAGCGACGTTCTCAGGAGTAGGGCAGCAAAGGCTCTTGGCACTTTGATCAAGTATACTCCCCGTATCGATCCATTGATCGCGGAACTGGTTACTGGATCTAAAACAACTGATCCAGGTGTCAAGACTGCCATGCTCAAAGCGCTGTATGAAGTCATCAGCCGTGCCGGTGCGAACATGGGTGAAGCTTCCAGGACAGCAGTCTTGTCTCTGATCGACATGGATACTGATGAACGGGACGAGACCATGACTGTTACTAATGCCAAACTGTTGGGTGCTCTTATCAAGAACGTACCTGAGGAAGCTGCAACATCCCTGCTCAAAAATAGAGTGGTTACGTCTCATTTCAGCAGCTCATCGGTACTGGCTCTGAATTCTGTACTCGTCGAGTCACCGGATATCCTGTTGCAGGGTGCACTAGCAGATGAATTGCCCGACTTGCTATGCCAGGGCATGGCTAACAAGAGCGTAAGTAATGTCTTAATTCTAAAAAGATTGTTATACTTACTTTTTCTCAGACATTCGTAGCCGATAACTTGATTCTGGCCACCGGCAAGATCCTCCTTTCATCCCCTCCCAAGAGCTTTGATAGCATCAAGAAAATCTTTGAGACTCTAGCCGAAGTCATCCAGCCCGGGAAACCCACTGACTCCAGACGACTAGCCCTTGTGGTCGTGCGTACCCTCAGCAGAACGAACATGGATCTTGTTAGACCTCACGTTTCCCTACTGGCAGCGCCTATTTTTGCCAGTGTGAGAGATCCCGTGATCCCTGTGAAACTGGCCGCTGAGGCGGCTTTCGTGGAGCTGTTCAATGTTGTCGATGAAGATAGCAGGGTGTTTGACAAGTTCATGGCAGGTCAAGGGGCTGATTTGCCAGCTAATACAAAGAGAAGCATGGCCGACTACTTCAAGCGGGTGGCTATGAGATTGGGAGCTCAGGCTAGAGAGAGGCGGGAAGCAGAGGGCGGCCAGGGTGGATTGGGTCTGTCTAATGACGAGCAAGAAGACGAAAAAGAGATTTGGAGTGTTGGCAAGCTGGAAGTTGCTGGTGAATCATTTGCATGAGGTTAGATGACTAGAAAGGAGTAAAATATATCACCAGCTGTATGCTTGACTTTTCTTATACTATATCCAACGAAATCCATGTTGAATTTTATTACTTAACCGTAAGTATAGATGTTTGGTTTGATTCCCAGTCATCTAACTATCTTGTTGCTCCATTTATTCCTCTGTATGTCCTACAATGTTCCGAGTGCTAATCGGTACACCTTCCTTGGTTGGTACCTAAGGTAGTTTGATTGGCTAGTGTGAAGTGTGCACTTTTGGCTCTCCCTGCCAGAGGCAACCGCTTCACGATTTCATTTCATCACGTGACACTAGCTAATTAAACCTGGTTCCGTCGTGCTGGATGACTCATCAGAGCCCTCGCTTAGCGCCTTTCGGCCGGGCCTAGTGCACGTGAACCCACAAACTCGTAGTCAGTTTGTGCGTACCCAAGAAATTCTGGCCACCGAAACCCCTCTCAGCCTCTTTATCCAACCCTCACACCCATCGAGGACCGGCCATCACACCAAACGACAATCAAGATGTAAGTACCAATATGCCATCGAAAGCGAAAAAGAACATGATGCGTGGAGGGCGAGACGATTATCGATGCAAAAATATATTTTTCTGGGATGTGTGGACGGCTGCGCGGTAATGGTTGATGAATGCAGAAAGTTTGTCACCGTGTGCAATCGCACAACGTACCCGCCCAAAAAAAAAGTTGAATAGGAGGATTATTGCAACAGGACGAGGGGGGGGGGAAACAACCACGCCTACAAATACGCATCATGAACAGGAAATGCTTTGGGTGTTTCGGATTTGCTTGTTCAATGGGCTAACATGGTGTTTTTTTCTCCCTTTTAGGGTCAACCTGCGAACTCAGAAGCGCCTCGCCGCGTCGGTCATCGGCTGCGGCAAGCGCAAGATTTGGCTGGATCCTAATGAGGCAGGCGAGATCTCCAATGCCAACTCTCGCCAGACGATTCGAAAGCTCGTCACCGATGGCCTCATCATCCGAAAGCCCGTCACCATGCACTCGCGAAGCCGTGCCCGCGAGCTGAACCTGGCCCGAAGAGAGGGCCGACACCGTGGCTACGGTAAGAGAAAGGGTACTGCCGACGCCCGTATGCCCAGCCAGGTCCTTTGGATGCGCCGCATGCGTGTCCTCCGCCGTCTCCTCGTCAAGTACCGCGCTTCTGGAAAGATCGACAAGCACCTCTACCACGAACTGTACCACCTGAGCAAGGGTAACACTTTCAAGCACAAGCGTGCTCTAGTTGAACACGTACGTCTTTCTATCACCACTCGTCGCATATAATTGGGGGGCCCGTCGCTTCGAACGGATGTCCAAAATTGGAGTACCCTTGTAGAAGCGGGCAGCCACAATTTCATGCAGGCGAGAATCCTTTACACATACAAACAACGAAACTGAATGCTGACCAACATGTGCAGATTCACCGTGCCAAGGCTGAGAAGGCCCGTGAGCAGGCTATCAAGGACGAGATGGATGCTAAGCGTGCGAAGACCAAGGCTGCCCGTGAGCGCAAGTTGGAGAGAGTGGCTGCTAAGCGAAATGCTCTGATGGCTGAGGAGTAAGAACCAAAATAGACCTATGATGATAGTGCTATTATTTCGGTCTTGAGGGGATGCTGCTGCATTCGGAGTCTACGGGTTGGGTCTTTTTATTACGCCCTTCTGGTTTTCTAGTCGTACCGGTGGGGCTTCTGGCATGTAGCATTGAAAAAATGGATCATGATGCACATTATAGGGTTGATTTGAATTGTGAATGTTTGGTATGCTTGTGTGCCGTTGTCGAATGAATGGTGTATCTCGTGTGGACGACGCCATGTGTGGCTGGTTGGATATGGAACTATAATAATTGCCTCATCAAGCTTTAATCCATTGCCATATATCTAAAGTCTTGAGAAGTACCAATGGCCGTTTACCAGAGCCAAAGCCCACAGGCACAGTTTTTGATCTTTGACCAGGCTTGAAGTCTGAAACGCCTTAAGAAAAGTGCTGTAGTGGGCTCACCATCACGTCGATGTGGGCCAGTCATGATCCGGATCTGGCCCGCTCGAGCCGTCAGCCCTGTAGTTCTCGACACCAAAAAAAAAAAAATGTTCATGTATGCTATTATCAAGTTGTTTTTGTTTCACCCTCAAGACAAATGATAATACTACAAGCATGACACGAGAATCATGGAAGATTCAAGGTTCAAATGACCAGCCGTGATTCAATCAAGACACACTTGTGCGCAGGCCAAAGCACGGCGACAGCCAGCCGTGCACCATGCACACAATGTCCCAACCTGCCAACCAGTGAATTTACCTAGTTACTGTGTCAAAGAAAGGCTCTAAAGGAATTCACTATTCCACGCAGTAGTGCAAGATCAACCAAATAATGGATCAGGTTCCATCATTGCCCCGTCAAGGTGGTGATTGTGTGCCAGGGCATTTCAGCATACTCCCGTTCCCTTTTCTTGTATCAAAAAAAGGGCGGAATACTATGGCTGTTAAGAGCAGGTCTCGTCACGCCCATATTTAGTTGATACAGAAGAAAGGAAGAAAAGAGGGAAGAGTTGGCGGACGGGGCAGCTAAGAAAAGGGGCTGTGGAGGTGCAGGGGGGCCACTTGGTGCCTGGCGGCGCAAAATCACTTTTTCCAGTCTCCATAGCGCGCGCACTCGCTGTGTCTGTGACCTGGCGCTGAAGATAGCCGCGACCCGCGGTACGAGAGTGCCGTACGGGAGGAAGGAACAGACGGCGCGGTTGCCCTGGACTGATATGATTTTGTTCTGTAGCAATTGATCAAGTATTTGTTATTCTTGTGATGTGTCACGGGATCTTTGGGTTTTGTATTTTTCTTTTTTTGTAGCCGCCATTTGTGCCTCTCATTGCATCACCGGCTCATCACGCATGGTATTCCTATTACCCAATTGCAAAAGAAAAAGGCCCCGACTTGCACTGGTCCAGGACAGCACGTTGAGATACCTATACGTAACGACAATGCACTGGAGGCACAGGTTCGGCTCGCGTGTTAGCTAATGAGAATGGGTCGGTGGCTCGGCCGCGGTCATCAAGCTCCCTCAAGAGGAATGGCCCGCTGGATCCCTGCTGGAGCGCTGCTGGTAAACTGCTGGGTCGGAAAGGCAGCGCGGGCTTCATTATCTTCGCCAGACGGGTTACGGGACATTCCAATGCGGGGATAGGCGAAGATTGGGGCAAGGAATGGAGCGACCAGCTTGAGGGGAATGGGCGGGTACCGGCGGTCGGAGCCCATCGGACCACGAATTCGAGACGTGCGACAGACTCGACGACCATGAGAGATACCAGGGAACTTGTTTGCGCCGTCAACGGCGGATGCTATCATCGTCGAGCCGCTCCGACTTTGTTGCTCTGACCAAACATAAGCTCGGTCCCGGCTCCATACCTGGCTGCTCCGTTGTCACGCTCGATTCTTCTCTTCTTCATTGATTCCGTGCCCTGTGTACAACTCTCTGGCGAAACATTGCCTATTTGAGTGCGTCATCCGAGGCTTTTCCTCGAGCTCTCCCGCCATCACGCCACGCACTCACTCCCACCTACCCCGAGAAATATCACCACAACGCGACATTCGCAGGTCATAGTCATGTCTCTGCCCGGTCTGCGAGGCACTTCGCGAGCCCTTCGTGGCTTTGCCAAGCCCATTGTGGCCGCTCGACGAGCCAAGTCATCCATAGCTTTGGACGGACAGCAACAGGTTGGTGGCACAATGCCAACTTGACTTGTTCGAATTGTGTCGCTGCAGACCACCCGCTAACCTTCTTTTTTTGGCTGCAGCTCCTTGCCGCTCATTTACAGCAGGCCGATCCCACTGTATTCGATATCATTGAAAATGTACGTACCACCGTTTTATTCCAGTTGGCGATTGGTGCCGCTTGCTCTTTGAACCGAGGTGTCAGCACTGCAGCGCGCTAACTAGTGTGTAGGAGAAAAAACGCCAGAAGCACTTCATCAACCTGATTCCTTCTGAGAACTTTACCTCCCAGGCCGTTCTAGATGCTCTTGGCAGTGTTATGCAGAGTAAGCCGACTTATACTTGTGAAGAGACCCAGGCGGTGCTGACTCGAGATGGTAGACAAGTATTCTGAAGGCTATCCTGGTGCTCGATACTATGGCGGCAACGAGTTTACTGATCAGTCGGAGCGTCTCTGCCAGCAGCGAGCTCTGGAAGCTTTTGATCTTGACGCTGCGAACTGGGGCGTCAACGTTCAAGGTACGGCATAGCACTTGCTGCTTTGCTACATGGGCCGCACATATGTACTAACAATGGCTTCATCTAGCTCTTTCTGGCGCTCCCGCCAATTTGTACGTCTACTCTGCGCTCATGAACACCCATGATCGCCTGATGGGTCTTGACCTTCCTCACGGCGGCCACCTGTCCCACGGCTACCAGACGCCAACCAAGAAAATATCCTTCATTTCCAAGTACTTCGAAACGCTCCCATACCGACTGGATGAGTCTACCGGTCTGATCGACTACGACAAGCTCGAGGAGCTTGCGCTCATCTACCGCCCCAAGATCATTGTTGCCGGCGCCAGTGCCTACAGCCGTCTTATCGACTATAAGCGCATGCGCGAGATCTGCGACAAGGCCAACGCCTACCTGTTGGCCGACATGGCTCACATCTCCGGCCTCGTTGCCGCCAAGGTCCTCCCCGGCCCCTTTCCCTACGCCGACATCGTCACCACCACCTCCCACAAGAGCTTACGAGGCCCGCGAGGAGCCCTCATCTTCTTCCGCAAGGGCGTCCGTCGCACGAACCCCAAGACCAAAGTTGACGAGATGTACAACCTCGAAGGCCCCATCAACACCTCCGTCTTCCCAGGCCACCAGGGCGGTCCTCACAACCACACCATCACGGCCCTCGCCGTCGCCCTCAAGCAGGCCCAAGGGCCCGACTTCCATGCCTACCAGTCGCAGGTCCTCGCCAACGCCAAAGCCTTCGCCAAGCGCCTCGGCGAGGCCAAGGGCAAGGGCGGCCTCGGATATAGCCTCGTCAGCGGCGGCACAGACAACCACCTTGTCCTCGCGGACCTCAAACCCCACGGCGTTGACGGCGGCCGTGTCGAGCGTGTCCTCGAGCTCGTCGGCGTAGCCGCCAACAAGAACACCGTTCCCGGCGACCGCTCCGCCCTCGTCCCCGGCGGCCTCCGAATGGGCACCCCGGCCATGACCACCCGCGGCTTCAACGAGAACGACTTTGTCCGCGTCGCCGACATTGTCGACCGGGCCGTCACCATCGCCGCCCGCATCGACAAGACTGTCAAGGCCGCCGCCAAAGAGCGTGGTGAGAAGAGCCCTGGCAAGCTCAAGCTGTTCCTCGACCACGTTGGCAACGGCAACTCGGAGTCCGAAATCGTCCAGCTGCGAAGTGAGGTTGAGGATTGGGCTGGTACCTTCCCCTTGCCTTGGGATGCTTCTCAATAAACTCGCCTCTGCTAGATTGAGTCGATAGCTTCATGGTATTCCTTCTAGACGGATATTTTTGCTCTTTGTCTTTTGTGTACACGGGAAAATAAACATCTGCTTTTTTTGCATTGGGGGGACGGGCGTAAATGTAATTTAACTTACGTGTATAAGTCGATCAGATTGGGGGCTACATGATTAACACGAGGATCAACTCCCCGATTTCGTTGTGCCATGGCATGTGATGTGCTACTGTCTACTGGCATACCATCACCTGTCGTCAGCAAACACGCTCCACAACACTGGTCTCCGTGATAAATGACGAAATATGTCCCAGGAACAGTATTCATTAATCAAAGATCATTGGTATGTTCAAACGCCAAGATAAATGGTATCAGATCTCTTCAAAAATGCACGCATCACTTCCCAACAACCTGCTTCGTTGCCTCTCTCTCGCCAAACCGCTCATAATACCCCTTCAAAGCCCCCATTCCATCAAACACCTCGGTACCATACTGGTCCACGATAGCGTGCAGGACAGGCCAGACTGCAAAATCGGCAAGGCTAGGCGTTGAACCAGGCACGCCGATTTCAGACGTGTTCGCAGCCATTTCATCCCATGTACCTAGTTCCCGGAGAAGGGTCTTGCTCAGAGGTGTAGAGCTATCATGCTGCTTCCACAAGTCGCCTAGTTTCAGCGCTCCTTGGAATCTTGTAAACCGGAGAGCGAGATCGGCTTGATCTTTCTTGTCATGTCCATACACGGAGTTCAGGTACAGCATGATGGCTACGTCTCCGTCTACAACAGACTTGCTCGCATTATTGTCGACAAAGCGGATTGCTGCATGTGCTGTGTTGCTACTCTTTGGATCTGGCGCCATACTGCCTTTAGCAAAGTTGATGCCGTACTCAGCGAGCATTAGATGAATGCGCATGTTGGATGTCGCATCCACGGACGCAAAGAAGCGCGGGGAGTTGCTGAAATGGAGGACGTCGAAGCCCTTGCCGTACCATTCTTCCCAGTCGAATGCCGAAGAGTTGTTTTCCGCACCAAACGCCTTCAACATCTCAACGGCCTCCGGGCTCTGCCCGTTCACGACGGGTTTGGCAGTCTCGCGAGACTTTCCTGTGGCACCCTGGCCCCAGATGCTGGTTTCGTCTTTATCCAAGAAGGTGCCGATTTGTCGAAACGTCAGAGAAATCCTGCCGCCTTTGAAGGCCAGTTCTGCAGGTGTCTTTTCTCTCTCCGCGCGCTTGTCTTGCCGGATGGAGTGAAGCCATTTCATATTTGTCTTCAGACCCAGGCGGCATAGAGAATTGTGAGGCAGCCGTGCACGTTGAGATTGGCGCCTTGTGTCTCCCGGAGAAGAGGCATCGTCGCGAGACGGGTCCTTACCCTGTCTCTTGGTTCTGAATACCATGGTTCGTTCTGCGCCGAGACTGACATTGGCAATGTATGAGCCCTTGACAACGTCTACGGTCTTATCGCTGTGTTCAGAGATGTAGTCCTTGCCGTCGCGGTAGAACTGGATTAGGACGTGGTTTAGTTCGTGCCCGAGATATTTCTCGGTTTCGCTTTTGATGGCTAGGACCGTGGGAGAAAACGGCAGCAGCGGTGGTGATTCGTCTGATGGATGGCGGTAGACTGGCATGCTTCCATCGTCTGATACCTCGCCTTGCACGGCTACCAGGCGGGGAACTTCGCCGCCTTGATGCAGCATTCGTTGCCACTGCACTTCATCGCGTAGTTTTTCAAAGGCGTCTTTGGCTAAGTCTTCATGTAGGACATTGTCAATAATGTCAGTGTCGCCCTCACACAAGCCCTTTTGCAGAAGTTGTTCCTCGTCATTGTCGGAAGTGACTGGTTGGCCGGTCATGGTGTTTGGGTGGGGTTTGGCGTTGGTAGATAATGCCTCTTGTTGTCTATCAGTGGCTTCTGTGATGGATGAACCAAGGTCATCTTTTTCAACTACTTGTTTGCGGGATTCCACATCCTCGGGCACCTTCTCTTTTAATTTCTTGTCTTTTCCAGCCGTTTCCTGTTGCTTCGGCTTGGCACTCTGTGAGTCAGCCTTGCTGGCCAGTGACGGGGCTGTACCATTGCCAACATTGACTGCCGAGGGCTCAGCATCAAGCCGAAGGCCCGCCATGTGTTGCACAAGATCAGGAGAATCTGCGACCGCGATGCGATTGTCTGGCTTTCTACCGGCTGGAATAGGAGCTTTCGCAGCTCTCTTGGGCTGAAGATTTTCTAGTATTTCTGCCAAAGACGCAATCTCACAACCTGTGAGTTCGATCAGACTTCGTACTGCCGCGAGCTGTCTCTGTTCGTTGCGATAACCACAGCAGTCTTCGACAATGGTGATTGACAATCCATGGCCGGCGGCATCCAAGGCAGTGGCGTAGACTCCTACATTAGCCAATGATCCGCAGATGTAGACTTCCATGACCATCTTTGCCCGGAGCAACAGAAGGAGTTGAGTCCCTCTAAAACCAGAGTATTGAGGCTTTGACAGAATGGTGTCTCCCTTTTTCACCGCAATTTCCACAACTGGGCTCATTAGAGCTCCCCATGATGATGACTTTACACAGTTAGCTTCTGGGTGGCTTAGGAAAGCCTCGGGGTCCAATGGCTCATCTGGATTCTGAGGCAAGGCGGGAGCAGCATGTCGTCCTCGGCTTCGACGTCCTCGGTGCCTCGTCACCGGCGGTGCATCGGAAACAATGATGGACTCGTGGTCCACTAATACAGGACTTGAAAATTGCGACTGAAGCCAAATAATATCGCCGTTGCCACGAAAGTTGGCAACTAGTTCAACGGCGCGATTTATGAACCCGTCGGGGTCCGAACAAGGTAAGGCTCCATCAGGATCCAGGAAATCGTTTTGGAAATCAACTAGGATCAAAGCTTTCCTAGTGGTGATCTTGGGCAGAAGGGCCTTGTCGAATGAAAACATGCTGTCAGTTTGGAAGTCTGTGCCTCCAAAAACGACGGATTCCTCAGCGAAGATATCAACAATTTTTTTTATGTGTGAGGGGTGCGTTGTGCAGCTCCCAGCAAGAGTAAACGTGTAGCGTCCGTATGATGACAGGTTTCCGATGCTAGCTCAGTGTTGATGGCTTCCAGACAACGACAAGCTTTAGAGTTAGTTTTGTCGCCGAGGTAAATTCCCTAGAGGCAGCTTCATGGTGTTCCGCGAGGGCTAGGGGAGCTAGTATATTACACCGGGCTGGACAGTTGAATAGAAAGAGCAAGAATATGGCTACGGAGTAGTCTCTGTAGGCATAGTAACCATATGTTTTGTGACAGAAGTGGCCATCAGCGCATTTCGACGCCATGGAGTGGAGACTCTGAGCCACCGGTCTTGGAGTACTCGGTAGTCTGTCACCAGAACCAAGTACGAGGTCGGCACTTGGTCCCTTGTCCCTTGGGGAGTACCTCGCATCTGCTTGCGTCTGGACGTTGGCTACCGAGACATTGACGGCGGTCTGCGGGAGGAGAGGGAGGATATTGAGTTTGATGGCACAATCGGCGTAGGACTTGTGGCAGCCACCTGGGGTTGAACCCGCTAGAAGTGATGCAAATAGTGCGACGTGATTTGCGGCTATGGGCAGGCCCGTCTCTCAATTGTTGGCGTTGGGCAAGGCAACAGGATTTGTGCCACTCGTTTCGATCTTGTGGTCGAGTGATGTTGTCAGTCCTCAAAACACTACGGAGTCTCTAGTAGGCACTGGTGGTGGTCGGCACTCTGTATACCGAGTGGCTGCACAGACTGGCAGCTAGGAAGGAAGGAGCAAAGAGAGTAGGCGCCTTCCTCATGCTGATTGGAGATGAAGAGGATAGGATGGCGTTCTCCAGGCCCTACCGAGAGTGAGCCACCGACATGCCCGCCGGGGCGGCGGCAGCATAGTAATATATACCAGACATGGAACAGGGACCATCAACTGCCTGCCGTATGTCAATGCAATACCATAGGCCCAACAGCTGGAAGTACGTATTCCATAGCCGGTAAGAAATTCTTGAATGTTATCCAATCGCAAACAGGCATATATAGTCCAAGCTTGACGGACTGTACGACTTCAAAATCACAACTGAAACTTGATTCGCCTGGTTCCGGGTAGCAAGCAAAGCAAGGACGGGGCACAGACTAAGGTGCAGAAGGCGCTGCGCCAGGGAATCTGGTCACATGTGCAGTCGAGCAACCTTGACGCCTAACTGGCAAGGTAAGTACCCATTGTTGTCTCCGGACCCTTTGTTGAGATTGCCTGGCAAAGATCTCGCCGTACGCATTGTAGCGCCTGCTCTTTTGACTTTTTTCTCTTTGCGAACCGTTCCTGCGGGAGAAGGAAGGTTTTGGCTGCTCCGAGTATTGTTCCAGTGCCTAAGTAGGAAGTGGCTGCATGTCTTCAACTAAAGTACTAAGTACTTAAGTACCTAGACCTAAGTACAGTAGGTACCTTAAAGGTACCTAAGCTTCCAGCATCCCTGACATAAGCCGAGCATTTGCCGAGTGTGCAGGCCTAGAGCTCGTCGCATCACCACCGCTTAGTCAAGTCGCCCGCTGATTCCATTACTTTTTATCCATTATAACCTCAATAAGAGGCACTGCTGAACACTTCTATGCTGTTAACGTGCTTTCCATATCCTCCTCAGATGCACAGCCTTGAGTCGGCCTACATCCTTTCGGTTGAAGAACTTGCGTAGCCTCTGGCAAACACAGCTCCGCTGAGAACCTCCTTCGTCAACCCACCTACAGGCTACAAGTCTCTCGAGAGCTTGCATCATGTCATCGAAACGTAGCCTCTCTCCGTCGGACTCGGATGGAAGCTCCAAGCGACGTAGGCTAAGCGGGCCACATCCTGATTGTATCCAAGATGACATCGTCTCTGTCGACATGCTGGAGGCCAGGGACGACAACGAGGTCATGGCGGTCAAGTCCTTTGCGCCCACACATCATGCCAACGCAAGGACCGGCATCCAACGTTCAATAGCTTTGGTTTTAAAACATGACGGTTTTTCTTCTGCTACGCCGGAGGCCATGGAGAGCTTCACAGCCCTCGTCGAGACGTGTTAGTTTTCGTTAGTCAACATATATCATATTGATACCATACTGACACAAACCCAGATCTCGAGTCCATAATTGAGGAGACCAAAAGATTGGCTCTCTCTTCTCGCCGCGACCATCCCGTACCTATGGACTTTGAAGCTGTTTTACGGCGGTTTAACCTACCAGTTTCATCACTGAAACCCCATTTAAAGAATCCATTACCCGCCGAAGCCTACATTCCAAGGTACAAAAGCGTTCATGTAGCCGACGACGATGCATATACGACTCTCCCCCTCCTTGGCCCTGAGCTTAGTGGTCAGCCCGACAAGAAATCAAAAAGCTACATCCCATCCAACTTCCCTGACTTTCCTAGCCGCCACACCTATAAGTTTACCCCACAAGAGGACACGAACGCGAGAGATGCCCAGAAGACACGAGAAGAAGCTGCAAGAATAGCACAGCAAGGCGAAGATGCCCTGCGTCGGCTAGTTCGTGCCTCCAAGATGCGGAAGCAGAAGGAGGCCAAGAACTTGGTCGAAAAGGATGTACAGGGAAAGGAACGGTTCCGGCTGTGGGAATTAACCATGAAACGCTTTATGGGAGCTGAAAATCGTGGGGAAAATACGGACAATGTTGATATTGCTGATCATAGCATGATTGTCAACGGCGACGCCGTGTTTTCGCGAAAGGAGGTTTCCCGGATAGGCAAGCGATTGACAGTATTGCCTTCGAAAGGCAACTGATGTGCTGTTTTCACAAGGCATGTTGCACTTGGACGTTGCCCTGGCAAGGCGGGTTGAATGTATGACTATTGATTGAGCAAGATGCTTTGACGGCTCGAGATACAGGTGCCGCAGATAATTTTACCGTTCTGATACCCCAAGCGTTGATAAATTGGGAATGGGATATATATTGGGTTGTGCGCAGGTTGCCGGGCTCGGAGTTGGGAGTTGCATTTGCAGGATGGTCTTGCGAGCAATAGTAATTATATATTGGAGTACTCAATTGTACTGGTATTGCTTTTCTTTATCAGAAACTGAGCCATGCCTGTTAATGCTGTATTGCTGATGTCGTAGTTGGTGATGTTGCTGGAAAGGTTAATACGGTATGGACAAACAAGGACATGTCACTGCGACTCGTAGCACCGACTAATTGATCGCAATAAGCCAATCTTACTATTACACAGAACCAAAAGTGCTTAAGTACTATCAGCATCCTAGAGGAAGCGTTGACTCTAAGTATTTTCACCAACATTGTGGCTACTCGGTACAAACACTTGGATGTAAGCTAATATTAGCGCCCCAGCAAGATGGTACACTGGCCAAGTAAGTACCCACGTACCTGCGGGACCACTTTACTCAACTCGCAATGCGGCGGCCCTAATTTTTCACCCACACAAAAAATATCCCAATTTCAGCCGAGCCACCGAGACCACTTGCAAGCGACCCAGTCCGGTTTTGCAGAAGAGCCAGCCCTCGCGAAACCCTTCAGACTTCCTTTCTCCCTCCCCCTCTCACTGCAACTCTCGATCTTCGTTGCACCGCCTTCGTCTACGTCGCCATGGCTGAACAATTGATCCTCAAGGGCACTTTGGAGGGCCACGTACGTTTTTCCTCCCACTACGCCCTGTCTCCCGTCGCATTGAAGCAAAGTCTGTGTCGGTTTTGGGACCATCATATGTGCTCCGATTTTTCTATGTCAGCATGGAGAGATGGGACAGGCACAGTTTGCGACGGTTTTGATTGAAAGCGGAAATACTGACTTGGTACAATAGAATGGCTGGGTCACCTCCTTGGCCACCTCCTTGGAGAAGTATGTGCGATGACTTCTCGGTTTTCCTTTTTGGCCAACCCTCATCTCGAAGTCGAAACTATATATCGATTCTTAGATGGAACGAAACACTAACGTTGGACACCTTGCAGCCCCAACATGCTCCTGTCGGCTTCCCGCGACAAGACCTTGATCATCTGGAACCTCACTCGCGATGAGACCCAGTACGGATACCCCAAGCGATCCCTGACGGGCCACTCCCACATTGTCTCGGACTGCGTATGTTATTCCCGGCGGACTTGCCATGCTTCGACCTATTGCATAGGGCGATGGGCTATGTGACGGACACTTGGCTGATGCGTTTGGAACAGGTCATCTCTTCCGATGGTGCTTACGCCCTGTCCGCGTCTTGGGACAAGACCCTCCGCCTGTGGGAGCTCGCCACCGGCACCACCACTCGACGATTCGTCGGCCACACCAACGACGTCCTCTCCGTCTCCTTCTCCGCCGACAACCGTCAGATCGTCTCTGGTTCCCGCGACCGAACCATCAAGCTGTGGAACACCCTCGGTGACTGCAAGTTCACCATCTCCGAGAAGGGCCACACTGAGTGGGTTTCCTGCGTGCGATTCAGCCCCAACCCCCAGAACCCCGTCATTGTCTCCTCTGGCTGGGACAAGCTTGTCAAGGTATGTTGTGTGCAGAGTTGTGAAGAATGCTATCCTGGTCAGGGCCAAACGCAAGGAAACCAAAAGACGTACCCCATTTCCACATGATGTTTGCAAAATTATCAAGTATTTGCTACTTCAGAGCCTTTTCTGGCCATGAGACAAACTAATCACCTTTGCCTGATTTTCACACGAAACCCCTGGTTTTATCGTGGGGGTGCCACACAAAAGCTCATCAATACCTGCGTCTTGGCCCTGGTCGACTAGCACCGGGGATTGCAGCTCGCTAACAAGTGATGAAACAAATAGGTCTGGGAACTCTCCAGCTGCAAGCTGCAGACCGACCACATGGGCCACAACGGATACATCAACACCGTCACCATCTCCCCCGACGGCTCCCTCTGCGCCTCCGGTGGCAAGGACGGCACCACCATGCTCTGGGATCTTAACGAGTCCAAGCACCTGTACTCCCTCAACGCCAACGACGAGATCCACGCCCTCGTCTTCTCCCCCAACCGATACTGGCTGTGCGCCGCCACCGCCAGCAGCATCATCATCTTCGATCTCGAGAAGAAGTCCAAGGTCGACGAGCTCAAGCCCGAGTTCACCGCCGTTGGCAAGAAGAGCCGAGAGCCCGAGTGTGTCTCCCTCGCCTGGTCTGGTGACGGCCAGACTCTCTTCGCTGGTTACACTGACAACATTATCCGTGCTTGGGGCGTCATGTCGAGGGCATAAATTTCTTGAAAACTTTCTTCTTCAGCTCCCTTATCTGCTTTGTAACTAAAGACTAGGGCTAAGAGAACCTAAAAAAAAGAGAGAAAAGAAATACAAGAAATTTTTGGCAAAGAAACGCAGTGTAATGTTTGCGCACGACAAGAGAGAGAGAAAGAGTGCGCGAGACAAAATGGGAAACAAACGCTTCTGATGAGTGAACCGGGGAGGCAAAGGACAGGGAGGCATCATCGAGTGGAAAGAATGGTAGATCATGGTGGGGCGTCATATGGCTGGCTTCATCCTCGCTTGGTTTGTAATTTTTTTTTCTCTTATTTGATAGGTGAAGGAAGAAAAAAATTCAAATATCAACGGGGAACAAGAACACAATGAACTCTGTCTGACGAGGCGTACGACGCATTGCTGCTGGTTAGGCAAAGCCTCTGAAGGCGGCATGGGCATGGCATGGCATGTTCTTCCAATAAAGAACTCGACTTTTTTGAACTTTGCGGAATACTCGTGCGTGAGGTTTCAAAAAAAAGAGTGGTTGATTTTCTAATCTGGTCTATCAAAACAGAGCGTACGTGATTTTCGAATGTCAACTTTAAAAACAGAGTGCAAGTGATTGTCCAATCTAGTCTGGAAGCGATTTCATAACAGAAAAAGCAAAAGGAAAAAAACAGAAGAACTTTGTTCCAATACAGTCCGTGGCAGAACATAATTGCCCACAGAGAAGTATACACTACTATACCATAACATTGACATTATAGTATAGAGCGTGATGGCCAGGCACCATGTCTGGTCAAATACTTCCTGCCTCCCCCTCGGCAGCCGGGTCTCGTCATGTCCCGCATGGCTCTAACCTCTCCTCCCATAATACCCTCGCCACACCTTCACTTCATGGAGTTTGGCTACATCTTGCCAAACAACCATGCCATGTCTTCATCGGAAGTGACGCCTAGCGCATATAATAACTCAGTTAACCCGTACCGATCGACGATATTGACAGCGGGTTCTGGCGCGTGCAGCAAATGCCAGACAACATGGAAGTAAGATTCAAGTTCGGGGCCGGCCGCAGCCCAAGACAATGGCGTCAGGTTGTCTCGGCGCAGCTGAGCCGTCTGCTTATCGCGCATGTCGAGGAGTTTGCTCACGATGTTCTCGTACTTGGCAAATGCGCCCCTCGATTCCGACCAGTGGAAGTGGTAACGGTCCCAATCCGGGCCTCCATCAGCCCGATCGAGCAACGTCTGTGCTACGAAGACTTGGCAGCGTAGGGCTATGTAGAAGGGGGACTCCTTATCCTCGTTGGCGAGCTCGTCGTCCCTGATGCCCAGCATCGCCTTGACGACGAGCTGGTACTGGCGCTTGCGTGCACTCCAACCTCTCACCCCATGTAAACTCGTTCTATAGCCAAACACTTCATTGAACCGCCCTTTCAACAAGGAGGATAACGTTGGCAACTCTTCCAGTAGACAGCCCTGGGGCTTGGGGACTCGGCCATTTAGCAGGCCGAGCAGCATCTGTACAGCTTGTGGTTGCAACAATCTGACTGCATAGTACATGCCCACGCAGAGATCCGAGGTGGCCTCGTCTGTCTTCTTGCTATAATAGTCGAGCAGCAGCTTGACGATGCGCGGTTTATTTTTTTGTATAGCATAGGCCAGTGGTAACTCGGAGAAGGGATTTTCGGTTTCCATGCTAACGCCCAGATGCAGTATTTGCTCTACAACACGTTCTCGCGCACATCGAATTGCAGCCGTCAATGGTGTATCTGTTCTGTCGCGCCATGGAGTAGGGCCTCTCTTGCAGTCGGCGCCGCGCTTGATTAATAGCAATGCAATGTCTTCATGGCCTTGTTCAATGGCCTCCAGTAGTGGCGTGTTCAAATATTCGGCCGTTTTGTCTATGTTGATATTCGGATGTGAAAGTAGGAGCTCTACCAATGGCGTCGAACCGGATTTGGAGGCCCAGAATAGCGCTGTGTATCCGTCTTTGTCGGCATAGTTTACACCGGTCCTGCTAGCATGGACTAATTTCGGTGCGAGAAGTCTGGGGAGTTTCTGTGCTAGTAGTACTAGCAATTCTGAATCCTTGTCCTTGAGGTCTTCTTCCTTGACATGATCCAGTAGCAGATTCACGATCTCAGCTTTTCCCGACTCAGCTGCATAGGCTAGGGGCGTTCTGTTTTTGTTGCATCTCGAGTGAGCCGTCACGGAATACTCCTCTAGTAATAACCTTGCGATGCTTTCGCGTCCGTACTGAGCAGCAAACGACAGTGGCGTTCGACCATAGATACCTGGCTTGTCTGCGTGAACACCGGGTTGCGATAGTAGCAGCTTTACCACCGCTGAAGAGCAAAACCTGGCAGCTTTGATCAACGCACACTGATTGCTGCTGGTTCTCGTGCTTGCATCAACATTAGGCCTTGGTAGTAGCAGCTTGACGATGTTTTCGTCACCCGTTGCAACTGCACATAATAGTGGTTTTGCACAATAGTCATCTTTCCCGCCTCTGTAAAGATCAGGGTTTACCAGTAGCCGTATGACTTCTTCATTCCTCGCTTGAACGGCCTCTGATAGTGGCGGTTGACCAGAGTCATCTTCATGGGCCGCGTCGACCCCATCCTGAGACAGCAGAAGCTCTACGACTTCTTTACTCCCAGCAGCAGCGGCATACATTAGTGGTGTTCGATTCTTTTTATCTTTCTGGTTTGCGTTAACCCCATTCTGAGATAGCAGAAGCTCAACGACTTCTTTACTCCCAGCGGCAGCAGCCATTAATAGCGGCGTTCGACCCTCTTTATCTTTATGGTTTGCCTTGACCCTCCGCTGAGATAGCAGAAGCTTGACGACTTCTTTACTCCCAGCGGCAGCAGCTATTGATAGTGGCGTTCGACCCTCTTTATCTTTATGGTTTGCCTTGACCCTCCGCTGAGATAGTAGAAGCTCTACGACTTCTTTACTCCCAGCAGCAGCAGCCTTTGCTAGTGGTGATTGCCCATTATTATCTGCCTGGTCTACATGGACCCTATGCCGAGATAGGAGAAGCTCTACGACTTCTTTACTCCCAGCAGCAGCAGCCCATGATAGTGGTGATTGCCTATAAACATCTCTTCGGCTTGCCTTGACATTCCGATGAGATAGTAGAAGCTCTACGACTTCTTTACTTCCAGCAGCAGCAGCATATGATAGTGGAGTTCGATGAGCCGCATCCATCTTATCTATGTGGCGTATTGCTTCACTGCCATGGTTGTCAACGAGCCTTGTGTCGGTATAATGCGGCAGGAGCCGTCTTGTCAACACCAGGTCATCCTTCCCGGCGGCATACGACAACGGTGTTCTCCTGTATAGGCCTGGTTTAGCGCCATTGACGCCTTCTGCATCGAGTAAGAGATCAATAAGTCTTTTTTCCTCCCGTTCAATGGCATAAATTAACGGAGTCTGGTATTCGAGAAGAGGGAACCATGAATTTGCATCGACCTCTTCTCGCTTCAACAGTGCCTCCGTCGCCTTTTCATTCTTTGAAAATATTGCATGGGCCAATGGATTGTTCCGCCGTTGACATATTGGGTTTGCGTCAACAGCATCATTGGCAAGCATTTTGTACAAAAATGCCAAGTCTAAAGCCCTGGTTTTGTCACTAGTCGTCGCAAGAAGATGTAGGATAGAAATGCCATCCTTCTCAGTGTGAGCAACATGTCGAGAGCTAACCATTCGTTCAAACGGGGGAATTGCGTATAACAGAGCGAGGAGAGGGCGGGCTGGTAGCAAATCAAGAATGGCTTGCAGCGTCTCAATAGGCAGTTTGCGTAGTGGACCCGAGATGGTCCACCGGCAATCGTCGAGCGGATCTGGTGTTGAGGTGGTCGGCGACATGATGTGAGCTTTGCGACAAGAGGAGGGTCGCACGCTGCGTCGTTCGGATGCCGTAATAACTCAATCTCGGGCAAGCAGGTCTTGCTGCAGACTGTACAGTCTATGGGAGAATATGTTAGCCTATTCAGAAGTATACGCCAACATACTAGATGGTGCGGTAGTTAGGTACCTGATTTGGTAAAATGCTTTGTGCCTCCCAGTGTATGCTTGGCTTGACACTTTGTTGGTGGGCAATTAAAAAATAAAGTCGAGTGCAGGTAGGGAGCTTAATATATGTGAACCCAAGGCAGAAGAGCTTGAATGCCAAGACATTGATTTCTACCGAGTCCTTCACAGTTTGCTCGGTGATCGCCTTTGTTGCCACTACAGTATGCACAGCTCCTGAACACGCAAGAAACAGAGATGTCGAAAAAAGGGGTGCGACAGCGGGTCTAAGAGGTGTGAAACTTCTTTATTCATCCTTTGTATAAATTCGCATGGTGTCTAGTCAGCGCCCCCGGTACTGATAATGTACATTCTACATACAATCGAGGTGGCCCCTGGCCCTGAATCTGCACCTGGAACCCATGATTCTGCAGAGACATGTCAATGGCAGCACCACACCAACTCTGCCTGAATAACCTGGAACATGGCGAGTGAGCCGAGTCGCATTCCGGTCTGTGCGCTCACATGAATGGTGGCAGTGAGAATGGGTAGCTTGAGTTCTTGACACGAAAGACGCTGAGCAGGAAGCTATAGATGAAGAACATGGCGGCTCCCCAGACCAGTACAGCAACGGACTGCGACTTGGGGCTGGTCATGCGTGGGACCTTGGTGGCAAGTGCGATGGTGCAGAAGCTCAGGATACCGTCTACAAAGACAAGGTTAGATCATGAACTCCACACAATGGAAGAACACTGCCGTCGGAACTTACAGATTGCGGCAACAATCTGGACTTCAAGCCCAAGTTGGTTCTGGAACCCACCAGTGAAGTAAGTGATGCCGCCTTTGCCATCTCCCGCGACGTAAGGGACCTTTCGAATGTGGTTGAACATGTGGCCACTAATGAAGAGCAGAATGGCAATCATGCTGCCAGCAGCCCAGAGATTTCGGTTCTGTATAATAGGAAGAATATATGGTGACGCAGAGACCATTGCGGTGACGGCGCCAGCCACAAAGGTGAAGAGAGACGCCCATTTCAACCAGTTGATAGGGCGCTTGATCTCAGGGTGAGGGCGACCAGGAAGATGGCGGGCCAACCAATTTCGGACTTGTTCAGCGGTGGGAGGTCTGCGCAGTTCATTCATTAGCCTACCGTGAACAAAATTCACTCCATTCTTATCGTTTCTCACCCAGTGGTAAAGTCATAGCGGATGGGTTCGGCAGAAGCGACGGCGTGGGGTCCTGTCGTAGGAGGGAAAAACATCAAGACGGGAGCTGTTTGAAGACCGAGCTGCATAAACAGCATGTTAACGCTGTAGACCATGATTTTCAGCCGGCAGCCTTCCATACCGATAAAAAGGTTTCTCTGCCCTCAGTGAAATCCAAAACACCAAAGAACAGCCGAGACTCTTGTTGCTTATCACCTCGAGCCCAGCTCTGGGCGATCAACTCCCACTCTGGTTTGAAGTCCCTGCAAAGCTGGCACCCGAATCGAGTGTCCTGGGCCGTCAAGACAATAGCAACGGAATAATCCCGTGGTGTGCTCGTCAGTGACTTGTACGAAACATCGTTGAGCTGGAGGGGAGACGAGAGACGGGCGAGACGGTTGAACTTGATGAATCTCTCCTCGGTGGATTGCTCGGTGGCAAATGCACTGGCGACAAGCGCGCTGGCTGAAGCTAGTAAGGGCAGGAAGCGCATTGTGGACAGCAGTGAAACTGTCGTTGTTGCCAATTGGGCTTGTGAGAGAAGCAGTGATTGGGGAGGGAGTTGAAGCTCACGGAGCTTCGTCTGCAACATGGAACTTGAAGCTGAGGTGTCCTCACAGTGGACTGGTAACGGTGGCTTGGCCAGGAGCTTAGCCACAGAAGACGCCACACTTCGCCAGCCAGGGTATATGCTGGATTAGTCAGCCATCGCCATGGAGACATCACGTGCACCCCGCTATTTCCGAACAAACGGCTGCGCGGTTACGCTAGGCTGAAAACAGCAAAATGTTTACTCCTTTTGCGGGATGCCCAAGCAAAACACAGGACCACCCAACAGTTGCCCAAGGCCACCAGCAGCCAGCTTCATCACCCACCAAGATCGTGGTCGACAACGGCAGACAACTGTATCTGGGGACCGAACCCATATGACAGAGGTTGCACGGGTATTGCAGCCAACGAGCACACGTTCTTGCGTTCAAAGTCTTCATTTCCCGCGTTTCTCACACCCAGAGAGTCTGGCCTGCCTGGGAGGCCACACAAAATATAGCAACTATGGGCAGCAACTCAAATGAGGTACGGCATTTACTGGCATTTTCTCTCTGCATACTTGGTAGGGGCTGCAAATGCTAACTTGTTCTAGCGCCTGGCGCGCATTCACGAACTTGAATTGCTCAGGCAAGATGCCCTGCACAAGACTGAATCCATCACCCGCGACGAAGAAGCTCGACTCTTGCAGTTGCGGCTGTTAACGATGCGAGACGAAAATGCCAGTCTACGCGAAAAACTTGGCCAGAAAGACTTCAAGATTAGCACACTTATCAGAGATTCTGATCAAATTAGGATCGACTTAGATGACAGCAGGCAGATAATTCGTGCCCAAGAGGCACGGCTGAAGAAGCAAGATGTCGACAGGGCCAGCCTCAAGGTATGGCGATACGATGATGGCTGCGAGGCCTCAGTCACACTCACTGACGTCTTCTAGGCTGAAATCGAAGCATTAAACGGCACAATGCAGGATTCTGGAAAGGCCATGCAAGAGAAATTCGCATTGACGAGGGAACTGAATCGAATCAAGCCGGAATTAGAGCATTTGCAGTCACAACTCACCAGCTTCCAAGCGACAGTGGCCGAGAGAAACGATCTCCGTCGACAGCTTGACTCTCTCGAAGTGGAACTGGAGAATGAAAAGCGGTCAAAACTACGGTTACAATCTAGGGATGATGACGCCGCAACGACAGAGCTAAAGTCGCGGCTGGAGAAAGCCGAACAGAAGCTCGCTGCGGAGAAACGAGAGCGCGAGAAGATGAAGAGAGAACACGAGCGAGAGTTAGCCTCGGCAAACGCAGAAAACGAAAGACTGGAAGAGCGTATCTCCGACCTGAAAGAAAAGTCTAAGGCTTTACAATCTGATCTCAAGGGGGTAAAGGAGCAGCTCGAGGACGCGCAATCTGAGCTGGTTTGCGACAAGCCGCACGTTCTTCCCCGCGGAGGCGAGGAGAAGCCTAGGAAGGCTGTTGCTTTGACAGCTGACGTTGGAAAGAAGCGTCGTGCTGCAGCAGAGATGAACTTTGAGTCAATCACGATTCAGACGCCAGGCAATGACATTGTCGCGCGGGAGAGACCAACGAGGAAGCGTGGAGCAGACAAATCTACTGTTGGGGAGAAATCGGCCTTCTCAGTCACGCCATTCTTGAATCGAAACAAATCACTCACAGATGAATCTGGCCAGGAGTCGTCCCATGATGTATCCGCAGAAGCTGATCCGGATCCCGTGCCAGACGAGCCAGCTGATCATGGACCGCCTTCAGAATCAGAGGACGAGGAGGAGCCCGCTCCTCGGCCCAAAGTCTCCTTTAAATCTACTGTTTCGTTCAAATCCCCAGCTAAGCCCAAAAAGACTCGTGGGAGACCGCCAAAGGCAGCACCAGCGCCTCTCGCCGAGTCCACTCCCGCAAAGACAAACCGCGTCATGAAAACTCGTGGAACGCCCAAGGTGAAGTCAATACCAGACATTTCTGTCGAAAAGTCCGCCGACAATTCAACCAGCACAGACCAGGAGAATGTTCCTATCGCTGCTTCCAAGAAGGCAACCTCTGTTTTGCAGTCTAAGGCACCAGAAGGAGAAGTCAAGAAAAAGAAGCGCAAGTTACTGGGTGCTGCAAATGCGACGTTGTTTGACGATGATGATGGCGAAGCAATTGCCAAACCCAAGCCTCAGCCTGCCACTAGCAGGAGGACGCGAACCGTTCTCGGGGGCGGCGTCAGGAACGCGTTCGCGGCGGGCTCCTCGTTCTCACCTTTGAAGAGGGATCGGAGAGGTGTCAACGCTAGCTTCTTGGCTTGAGCGTAACTTGATGGTGTCATGATTGGATGAGTGCAAGAGCGAGTTTGGAGTAATTGGATGTGCATTATTGGGCTTGCATTAGTGGTGTTCTTTGTTTTATGGGTATATGGACATGGGAATAGGTTTCAATAGGCGTATTGTAATATTATTGAGCAGTCATTTGACTGCATGGTCATTTTTCAACCTCTCTCTTCATGTTGTTCTGTTGGCATTTGGTTGTGCTCCTAGTATTTGCTAAGGTCATAGAGTGGGAGGCAAAAAGTATTTGACCAGGCCAGGTACCTGGCTATCACGCTTTATATCACAACAATTTAGGGTATACTTCTTTTTGGGAAAAATATTTCATTATCCATTATATATTGGCATATACTTGGTGGGCGAATATATTCTGTCACAGACTGTAGAAGTTGTTCAGGGTAACCACTTTAGAGTTGGCATGTCTATTAGACCCACATCACCAGTTATCAGAACCCATCCAATTGAGAGTGAAGAAAGCCAGACTCTTCATGGAATACCGAGTCCAACATCACACATGAACCACAAACTACGTCTCAATCGCAAACCATGATAAACTTCAAATAATGAGCAGGATATAGAATCTAGGCAGCTGAGATCGGTCCAGCGCCACCAGTCCTCTCGCAATGACCACTCGACAGCCCCTTCGGATACTGAGCCTCCTATGCTCCCGCCAGTGCACCAGCTCTCGCCGTCTCGCAGCAGCCACATCCACCCTGAAGGCTGACCTCCGCTGGTCGTCATCCAGCTCGCGATGGAAGCAGCGCCAGGGAAGGGACGCATTCTCGCGAGGAGCAAAAGTCCAAGGCTTAAAAAGCAGAGCTGCCTTTAAGCTCCTCGAGGTATTCTACACCGCGGCCCCCCACCAACATATTGTCTAATGCGTTGCAGATGGATTCCAAGCATAGGCTTTTCAAGCCCGGACAGACTATTGTCGATTTGGTATGAAGGCCGTGTCTCGCGAGTTTACGTTTAGTTACTGACGGCGGGGTAGGGATACGCGCCGGGCAGCTGGTCGCAAGTATGTCAACCGCCCCCTTCTTACTGGAAGCTGTTTGGTGTGAAAAATGGTGGTGTATTAATAACGTAGGTCGCGCAGGAACGGACCAGGCCGCACGGGAGGGTCATTGGGATCGACCTGATTCCCGCGCAGCCTCCGCGCGGCGTGGCTACTTTCCAGGGGGACTTTCTGTCGCCCGGTGTGCAGAGGCTTGTGAGGGAGTTTATCGCCCGGACGGGGAGGCCCGTCGAGAAGGTTGAGAGGGGGGAGGAAGGGGAGACGATGAGCTATATTGATCGCGAGAGACAGGCTTCCGAGGAGAGGGAGGGGAATGGGACGTCGGCGTCGGTGGATGTGAGTGCTTCATGTGTCTGGTGTTGCTGTCATGTGTTTGAGCTGACTTTTTTTTTGGTGTTGAGGTTGTTCTAAGTGACATGTCAGCACCCTGGGATCAAACCTCTGGCTATATGTCCAACACGTTGACCAATCCGTATCGTAGGCTGATGAACACGAGTGGTGTTGCGTTTCGAGACCACGCAGGGAGCATGGTATGTCTCTTCGGGCTGCGTTGCGAGCCGAATGTCCTTTTTTTCTTGTTGAATTGGACTCGGGTTTCTGCTTTGAACGTGTTGAACATAGAGGAGCTGACAGGGGTAGGACCTTTGTGCGGCGGCGCTACAATTTGCAAGCGATACCCTTAGGCCAGGTGGGCATTTTGTGTGCAAGTTTTACCAGGGGAGCGAGGACAAGAAGTTTGAGGCGAGGCTGAAGAAGATGTTTGCAAAGGTGTTTAGGGAGAAGCCCGAGTCTTCGAGAAGCGTGAGTTTTAATCGCCATTGTCTATTGTTCCGTTTTTCGTCTTGTATGTTGATGGGACTGACGTTGCACAGGAGAGCAAGGAGGCTTATTTTATTGCCTTGAAGCGGAGGGCGGGTGTTGTCGTTGATTTTGAGGACTCTGTATAACATTTGTATGATAGCTTGTTTGGGCAATGTACAGTCTGTATCAATACATATTTACCTACCAAGAAACATACGCCAATATACTATATTAGACGATAATATGGAGCGCGACAGCCAGATACCTGACCTGGTTAAATACTTTTTGCTTCTCGCTGTACGAGTGAGACTTTACATAGGGAGTCCCAGTCATGTAAGATATTGAGACGATTCCACCACACTTTGCGTGGAGAACATATGAAGAATTTGGTCACGGAGAAAAATCACACTTGCATTGAGAGCCAGCATGCGCAAAGTCATGTATTTTGTCGTGAGATACCAAGACACGCCTGTTCCATGCAAAGATCCATTTACTAAGCCTAACCGGCGTCCCTTCCCATTCGCTGCCGCACACCTCACACGGCACAGACCACAGGATATTTTCACCTCCGTTCCATCTACCTAACCGCTTTAAACCTTGAAACCGCGAGAGCGTCTTCGGCCACGAGCACGCTCGAACTTGCGGCCCTTGGAGACAACATGGGGCTTCTACAAGGGGAGTTAGTCGCCGTTTTCAAGGCTGGGAGTAACAACCATTGCAGTTCATAATTTTCTGCTAATGCAAAAAACTAAAACCAGGTATACCCAAAGAATCGAGGTGCGGAGCACCGAGGAAAAGATACTGACCTTGTGCTTGTGGGGACCCATGCCGAAGTGCTTGACAGCCTCACGAGCATTCTTGGGGCCACGCAGGGTCAGAGTGTTGCTGCCAGTAGGGGCACGCAGAGCAAGCTGATCCAGGGTGATGGCCTCGCCGCCGGCCTTGACAATGCGGGCACGGGCAGTGGCGGTGAATCGCAGAGCAGCGACATTGACCTTGGGGAAGGTCAAGAGACGGTTGTCGTCGGTGACGGTGCCGACGACGACGACGGTGCGCTTCTCACCCTCCTTGTTGATGTTGCCGACGATGCGAGACAGCGAGACAGGAGGGCGGTTGATCTTGGACATGAACAGGCGTCGGAGAATGACCTTGTTGAAGTTTGCATCCGTACGGCCTGTAAAACTGTCAGATGCGGCTTCCCGTACTCGTGGAGACCTTGGTGTTTGGACGCCAAAAAATTATGCCCTTCAAGTCACAGGGTTGTTAGGAGCTTCGGGATGGAGAGAGCAACATACGGGACAGGAAGCGGTAGAGCTTCACCAAGAGCTTGAGGTAGACATTGTCGCTCTTGGGGTTCTCGCGATGAGTGCCCTTGACGTGGTGGCGGTTAAGATCGATACCTGAAGGTGAGAAAGTTTTCCATCGTCAGCCATTTATTCCAAGCATGCTCTGAAAAGAAAGCCGTCATCTCCCGGTGTTGAGAAAAATTCCAAATCGTCTCTTCTCAGACAGTCCAATCGCATCCATATTTCAGGAGAACGTAGTTGGCAGAGAAAATTGACAATTTTTGTGGTGGAAAATTCTCGACCGGGAGGCGCTCTCGACCGCAAGAAGAGGCACGCAATCAATTTCCCTTCGCAAATAGAAGGATGTAATTGACGCAGTGACCTCTCTCACTCGCATACACAGGCTAATCGAATGGTGTTTTCACGTACCCATGGCGGCGGTGGTCGCTGGTGTTCAGTTGGCGATGGGGATCTTCGGTTGGAGTTTGCGCGCAGACGAGCGTAGAGGTATTTCGAGAAAATTCAGGGCTTGGGAGTCGTGCGGGGTTGTGATTGGCTGACAGGGCGGGAGGGAAGGGGCGGTGAGTAGAGGCAGTTAGGGTTTGCATGCAGCTTGGAGAATTGCAAGGCCACACGTGAGTGGGCTGGTGACTTGCGACTTGTGCCTGGTTTCAAATGTGGAGCCGCTCGTCTTGAAACAGGTGGAATTGTCGAGGATGCTGGACGGCTATCTGGGCGGATATAGAGCATAACGCTACGTAATGAAGAGCTGTTTACAACCCGTGCTAGATCAACCTGCAGTGTTGGTCTTTCTTTGGCTACATGAGCCAAGTATTGGTTGAAAAGATGGACTCCGATTCTTCTCAGTGACCTTAAGCATCACCCGGACACACATGAAGCTAACGGCCAGCATTTATCGATGTCATCGCATGAGCAGGTTGCTCGTCTATTCCAGGCTCCGTCTATCCACGTCGGATTCTGCCCGTACTCGTATAACCCCCTGCCATCATGGTTTCCCTTACGGGCCTTCGGTCTAGATATCTAGATCGAGTCTGAGTCTTGATTTTTTTTTCAGCCGCAAATAGCCATCTTTATCCCCCATGTGATTTTACCCATGATCCCAGCAGCTTTTCTTCTAACATGAAACATCCGCCCAAAACAAAATGCCAGCTCAACAAAAGGGTTCGGGTCAAAAAAGTGTGAATATACTGAACAAAGTGAACAACCAAAATAATAAAAATTTGGACAATGTAGGGGCCAAGGCAAGATGGAATGGTTGAAATAAAAGGGATGGATATATATGTTTGAGACCGCACCCATGTGAAGGCATTTCCCATGGTGTTTTGTTTTTTTCGTTCTCCAAAGGTCTTAGTTTGTACATGCTTTATTACAAGGCCTGTTGGCTCACTTCTGGTTTTAGGCCAGTCAGGAAGTCGCGTGTCATTTCGAAACTCAACCAGCTCGAGGCCATGCTGGGAGCAACCTTGAGCAAGTTGGGCACGATGCCTTTGTAGAGGCCGCGGATGCCTTCTTGGCCGACAATGACTCGGATGGCGTCGAAAACGCCTTTGTATTGGTATCCCATGCCGGACATAGTGTTGATTTGGAAACGTCGTCGAAGGACGTCACTGACTGAGTTAGCTATGCGTGGCCACTTATAATACAGCGCATTGGATTCGACGTACAATGGATAGGTGAATGTTTGAGCAACAGCTCCGGAGACGGCACCTGCCAATAGTTTTCTTGATGCGCTGGGATTTTGTTCCCCATCATAGGTTAAGTATTTTCTGACAGATTCATAGACCATGAAGTTTAGACCGACCTTCACACACTTGTTTAGTGCTCTGCATGCGACAAGTTTTAGGGGTTGGTGCAAGTACGTACATATGGAGCAACACCTGCAACAGTCGGGATAATGCCACGATACAATGCTTTCATGCCACCCTCGGTCCTGTACATCTGAGCCATGGTGGCCCACATGCCAGGCATATGTGCAGGTTTTGATCCCAACTCTGCAAAGCTGGCCGTCTGAATAGAAAGTCTCGTTCGAACGATATCAAGGGGGTATGTGAAAAAGACGGAGGTAATGCCGGCGATACCACCACATATCAGACGGGTAAAGGGAGCCAGATCTTGTCCTGGATACGATTCGAAGATATTCTGCCGCCCCGAAACGAGTTAGCATTCACCGACTTTGTCCATCTATTCCCTGTAGCCGCCATAACAACTGCTTACCCGTTTGTAAAAGTTATAGCTGCTAAATTGCACAGCAGAATAAGGCACGATGCGAATGCAATTCGTTCCATTCCCGCGCATGAAGCCCCTCCATCCCTCCTCCTTCCACATCTTTGCCAGCGCCTGCCCAACAGACAACTTGTAGGCATCCCGTCCTACGCTCTGTATCTGCAACAGGATTTTTAACCGCTCGAGCGGCGAGACGACTGTTCTCGAGACGGCACCGGCAATACCGCCCGCGCAAAACGCTGCGATAACAGGCTGTGAGATCCTCTCCTTGAACCCAGCAAATCGATCAGGAGCAGGGACGGCCTGCGGTCGGGCAAGGCCGGTGTCGGAAGGCTGCATCTGGGGGTTCAGCGGAGCCGGTGACGGCGATTGCAACTGAGATCCCTTCACCGCAGACATTGTGTGACACAGGCAATGGCCAAGGAATGACCCTTTGAGAAGAAAATCGAAAGCGGCTGCAAAATCGAGTTGTTGCCAAACCCAATTGGGTATCACAGACCCTTCCCCAAATCACTGAGCCTGAATCCCCCGTATCGCCTGGCAAGCTGGCATCGACTGCGATCAAGGAGAGGGGGAACGCTTCCGAGGCGATGAGTTTCCGTTGGGTCAAGATCCCCGATGGGTCACGTTTCGGAGGGAGCGACGGTGGCGGAGCTTGGACAGTCGAGCGCTGCGAGGACGATGTGAAATAGCAGCAGAAAGCAGGTCGCTATGATCTTGAAGACGAGGGCATCGACAGCATGCTATGAATTTCAAGGAGGACAAGCCGCCTCGTTGGGGTTTTCTGCTGTGGTAGAGTGGAGAGTGCGAGAAGCGGGTATCGTCGAGTGTGTTGGTTCTCGTGAGTGGTGGATACGGGGTACAGCTACTTTTGATTCCGCGGACGGTGAGCGATGCGCCGATGCTGCGATGCTGGTGGCGATGAAATGTCCGGGTTAAAGCTCTGCGGACCAGGTTGCAAAGAAATCCTGTCTTCGCGCTTGGGTGCAGGTATGTCGATGAAGAATACCGAGGGCAGTCGACAGGGGGAAAAAATGGGAAGAGTCATCAAAGTCCGGGTTGTCGAGGCGTCGTGGTACACGCGGGAAGGGAGGGCCAGGAAGGAGGCTGAGGGATTGGCGGGCCAGGCGTGAGCACTAGGCTTGGCAGATTACAGTTGTAGCGGCTATGTTGCGTGCTCGTGGCTATTAGTGGACATTTACGGGCCAGCTCAGCAACCAGACCGCATCAAATTGCATTGACCAGACCAGTCTGCACGGTCAACGGCTGCGTTGGAGCGCCCAGGTGCCGCTGGAAGTGGACCCGGTCAGCCAGCACTGAGACTGAGCACCAGTTGACCTCGAGTGCTCGCATCACCTGCACCAACATGTCTGAGCCTCATAGCCAAAGCCAACACTCAAGACAATGCGTGTCTCTAAATGGGGGACAAACAAGCGAGTTGACACGCTGTTGACATGTCAGCAACGCTGAAAGCCAAGCGCCAGCTCTAGAAACGATCCACAGGGCTGTCACCTCAATGAGCGAACATTGAAGGGCCTCGACCAGTCACGGACTCAGCTTGTGCCAGCGAGCCAGCGAGCCAGCGAGCCAGCATCAGCCGAGCTCGCATCAGCCGAGCCCCTCAGTTTATCTTTTATATCGAGTAAAACAAAGCCATTAGCATTGCTGCGAAATAACGGCAATTGATGCTCCAAGACCTGGAAACACTGGGTCTGTTCACATCCGAGCTCCCTTCTACACTCTGTCCGTTCGCCTCATTTTTATACATGCGCCCGCCATACCAATGGAATTCCGGGCCAGCACCAACGCCTGCCCTGGCCGACACCAGACCCTCATCTCGGCCAGTATATACGGAGTGGTAGTAGTTGTCCATCTCAGGAAATCGTCAAGCGAGCGAGCTCCCGGCCCTCTCTCGGGATGTCCGTGTGACTATCGATAGTGTTTGGTGCCACTACTGTTTCAGACGAGGCCGTGATTGCTGAGACGACATTCCAACCTCATACTTCCAATTTACAACCTATCACACCATCGTAAATGTGAGCAAGGCAGTTTTCACGGCCGCAATGCCAGATCAGTTGATCTCCAGCGGACGGAATCAACTACTGCATCGTAGTAGTACACCATTCGCATCCAACACAGATTATTTGTTGTAGCCTGGTCAATTAAATTCAATGTCAAGTATAAGCCTATCCGTACAAATCACTTTCTAACTAGCCTGAGATGTGCTTTCGAGCCTCGGCCTTGTCCCTACATATTTTTTTAAAGCCGAACAAGCATCTTGTGGGTGGCATTACCAGTATGCCACAGCTCGCCAAGTTTTCTACGACGCTATATTTCCGTCTCGATCGACCGATTGGAAACTAGAACAATACAGAACCATGAGTGGGGAAAACGGGGGAATGGATAACAATCGTGTCGCGGTGCGCAGACATCAGGGAATAAGGATGCCATCAAAATACCCGACAAAATAACTCCGATCATGGCGCTGGATTGATTTGTTACCAAGCTGTTTCTGTCTACTCAGCCACATCAAGATCATCGTCGCGAGCAGGAGGAGGGCTATCGTCGCCTACGTCGTGTCAGCGTCTTGTCCAGTGTCGTGAGGGCAACTCGCCATCGTTTGCGCTCACCTTTTCTGTCATCGCCGTTGGTTCCGTTTTCTCGGCGGTCACGATCATCACGGTCGTCCTTAGCATCACGATCGCGGTCGCTGCAGGGCAAGAATTAGCCACTCGAGCTTCATGTTTGAATAGACGTACTTGGGACTTACCGAGTATCGGGGCTGCGAGAGCGGTCGCGATCTCGACGGCTGTCGCGGTCGTAGTCGCGGTCACGGTCACGGCGGTCATCCTTGCGCGGAGAGTAGTCTCGTGTACTCCGTCGAGGAGACGGGGACCGGCCACGACGAGGAGATCGGCCGCCACCACTGCCGCTGCCGCTGCCGCTACCACCACCGCGACGGTCACGGTCACGACCGGACTCGAATCGCCATGATGCTGAAGGAGGAGTTCTGGCCCACTGCGCCGTGTTAGAAAAATGTCCTGTATTTCTTCGAAGGCAATCACGACGGAATACGTACCTCAATTTTCAGGATATCGTCACGACCGATACGCTTGTTATGCATCTCATAGTAAGCATCATCGGCGTCTCGTCGATCCTCATACTCGACGAAGGCGAAGCTGGCGCAAAACGTAAGTATATGTGCCGTGGTAGAAAACAAAAATAAGAGTACCGTGTCAAACTTACAGTCGGCTAGATGAAGATCTCGGAGCTGGAATATCGCACCGAACTAGACGTCCATAGCTAAAGTAACATCTTGTCAGTATTTCATCAGTAGAATAACGTACGCTTAGACACTCTGGTTGATAAATTCGATATCGAGCTTGGCCACCGAGGGCTGATATCAGAAAACGTATCACTTGCACGCGCCGAGGTGCAGGCTAAAAATCGACCCGAACGAAGAGCGCTTCTCGAGGCGAGCTAGCATACCGACGACCGACGTGAAAGAGGTGGGAGAGAGCATGGGGAGGGACAAATTGGGGCGGGTAGGCGGTTGCGACGAAGACGGAGGCACGACGAGACGACGGGGGCTGATCTGGAGCGACACCGAGCCTAGGCAAGAGGACGGGATGCCGGGAGGATCTATCTCTCGTCGGCGAGACAGGACGGGGTGGTGGACGGAGAGGCGAGGTACGGAGGACGGCAACGAAGGCGAAGAGCGTGAGCGTGGTTGACATACCGTTCGAACTCGTAGGCGAGATCGCGAGCGCGGGTGCCGTGGCTGAAGCCGGTAACGTACAGGGTGTTGCCGCCGCGAGACATGATTGCTGTGGGTGCTGCGGTTGAGGCAGTTGGAGAAGCGGGCTATAGATCTAGAGCTAGGATTGCAGGACTGACGGAACAGTTCTGGACAATGCGCCAATTGGAGAAGCAGAAGTCGATGATGATGCAACCGCTGATGAGGCTGGCAGAGTGTATGGTTCAGCCGTGGTTGGCGGAGTGGTGAAGCAAAGTATCAGTGTCGACAAGATTGGCTGTAAAGTTTTGCCTGCTGACGTAATCATCGAGGCGAAAAGTGGAGCCGTGTCGCCTGACTGGTTGCCGAGTCTTGCAGCGGAAGCCCGTCAAGTTGATGTCATCGGGTGTACATTGAACGGCCAACATTGAAGCACGTTACAGAATGTAAAAAAAAAAAAAAAAAGGCGTTGGAAAGTGTGAATTTCGGCATGCAATGTATCATTTAAAATTTCCATCTGTAAAATTCTGTTATTAAAAATGTAGAAATCATTTACGGGCAGTAATTTGCTGCCCGTTTGTGAATAAACGCTCGCGGCCAAACCGGACATGATCCACAGAAGCGTCAAGTACTCTCCAAGTTGGGAGTACCGGCGATGTCGAAACTTGCAACATTGAATCATGACTTACACAGGCTGGACGCAGGGAAGACGGACAATGCAACAGTCCGACGGACACGAATAATCCACAGCGCGAGCGTGGATTGTTTTCGCGGGGATTATGAATAATCGGGGATATATGTTAGGTTCGGGATCGTGCGGAGCTTTAAGTTAGCACTCTACCAGTTATTTTGGTTCTGTCAACCTGCCAAGTTCACGGGTTGCTCGGATCCCAAGCTCCAGCTCGGACACCGCAGAATACCACAACCTCCGACTGCCGACTGTACATGTTTAAACGAGGCACTAGACCATGAGACCCTACATCATCGCAGTTTTTCCAGTCCTTCCGAGTGAAATATAAAAAAGCTGCTGCCACGAAGACCACAGCACTGCTGGTACCATTGCGGCGTCGTATTTAACGACATAACTTCAGAACAAGAGTCTCTACACAACTTAGCCTTTGGAGCATCCCGCAGCTTCCGCATCGTACTTCCTCAAACCACGGCAACGTCATACAAGACACAAGCCAAGACCAGCTGCCGACATTGGAATACTAATCGGCAGGCACGACCTGCAGGTGGGCTCAAGTTGCCTGGCATTCCCATCACGCCCACTTTTGATAAATCATACACGCTGGGCCACTTTCTGGCCTCCAATGCGCTAGGTTGCGCTGACGCAAAGTCGAACTTTGCACAGTCGCCTTTCTCTGTCATCCCCCCCAAACGACGAGGATCATCATGAGGATTGGCGCTATGCACAGTACCGTGACGCAGACTCCAGATGAGCGGGCCCTCAGCGCCCCGCCCACGCGGCATGTGGATGCTGTCAACGGCGGCCCCCCGGATCACCATCCTCGCCAGACGCAGCCAAGGTCTCTCGGCGAAGCTCTCCGTGAGGCTGGCGTCTCGCTGGAAAGCTCCGGACCCGCTTCCGAAACACCCAGCGAAGAAGATTACGATGAAAATGTACGCCCAGCATATGCCATCGGGGGCCAGGATCAACAACATCAGCAGCAGCAACCGCAACTGTTGCAGAGGACAAAGAACGAGAGGCATATAGGCAGAAAGGGGCTCGTCTCTGCACAAATTGACTCAACCATAGTTCGCGATGATGCAGGCGGAGTAAGAATATATCCTGCAAACGATCAGGCCCTCCAAGAGCTTCTTCGACGGACTTCGGAAACGGCTAAACATCCAGACAAGGCAGCTAAACTGAAGCGCAAGTTCCGTGACCATTTTTTTACTCACCAGTTTTCGGCCTTTGATCCCCATAATTCGGCCGCCGCAAATAGTCCTTTTCATGGCTTCTATACTCTCTTTTGGCTGGCTGTGGCCCTATTTGTCCTAAAGATTTCCGTGAATAACTGGAGAGCGCATGGCACTCCATTGGGGTCAAACGAGATTATGAAGACCATGTTTCATCGGGATGGTAGGGCAAGCAGACAAAGCGTTTTTGAGAAATTATTGTTTTTGCTAACTAGTCTTGGTAGTAATTGTGCTCCTGCTTTCGGATGGAATCATGTGTGGACTCACCGGTGTAAGCTGGCTCATTCAGAAGTTGGTATACCACCGCGTGGTCGATTGGGATCGAAGTGGGTGGATTATACAAAACGTATGGCCTCAAACGTACAAAGACCGAGGCTACATTCAACTAACCCAGAGCGGCAGATCTGGCAGACCCTCTTCATCACCGGCATTATCGCCTGGACCCATGTCCGTGACTGGCCGTGGACTCATACCGTCTTTTTCGTGCTACATGGCATTGTCATGCTCATGAAGCAGCACTCTTATGCCTTCTACAACGGCCATCTCTCAACAGTCTATTTGGAACGCCTATTTCTCCTGTCCAAACTGAAGCAACTCGACCTTGTCCATCCATCCGAGGAACCATCATCTGCTGTGCCACAGGTGTCTAGCCTATCAATCGACCACCTCAGAGTCCCTCCGACTGCCATGGAACGCCGCCATTCCCTCTCGCAAATACCTAAAACGGAAGAGACAGACATTGACAGGATTGCAAAGGCGATTGCCTCGCGTGAGCCTCTGAATGACGAACAAATCGCCGTATTTGAACGAATCATCAAGTGGGAAGTGGATGCATTGGCAGACGAACTCAGAGGAACGGCCAGCGATCCAAACAAGGCGTATCCGAACAACCTGACATTCTTGGGTCATTACGAATGGATACCTCTGCCAACGCTGGTCTACGAACTGGAATACCCGCGCTCTCAAGAAATCAGTTGGAAATATGTTGCCGAAAAGCTGGTCGCCATGGTTGGCGTGCTTTTTGTCATGAACCAGGTGGCACAGTACTCCATATGTACAGCATCCCCCTCTTTTCTCGCCACCCTCAACGAGGCTAACTCCTGTACAGACCCCGTGGTAATGAAGACGGTGCAGATGAAGGAGAATGGACTGCCGCTGGCCGCTCGATTTCGAGAATTTCCGCTGCTTTTGCTTGATCTCATCTTCCCATTCATGATGGAGTATCTGGTACGTCCGACTTCCATGTAGTGACCTGTTGCATATTCACCGGTGCTCTCCGTGTTCGCAACTAAAACCCGACAGCTCGTCTGGTATCTCATCTGGGAAACCATCCTCAACGTCCTTGCCGAACTCACGTATTTTGCTGACCGCAGTTTCTACGACGCCTGGTGGAATAGCGGTATGTTTGCATCTGTTCCTCTATCCGCATAAACACCCCAGCTAACGGGTGCAGTCTCCTGGGACCAATTCGCACGCGACTGGAACCGTCCCGTACACGTCTTCCTCCTCCGCCACGTCTACCACTCGTCGATATCATCCATGAAAGTCAACAAACATACTGCCACGCTGATAACCTTTTTCTTGTCCGCATGCATCCACGAGCTCGTCATGTGGTGTTTGTTCAATAAATTGAGGGGGTACTTGCTTGTTTTGCAAATGTGTCAGCTACCTGTATGTATTGGCTTGTCGTCTTGTTTCAATTTTGATTGCAAAGCTAACACAAGCTACAGTTGGTCCGACTCAGTCGTACAAAATGGCTAAAGGGCCAGAAAACGCTAGGAAATCTAATTTTTTGGCTGGGTATATTCACGGGTCCAAGTCTACTGTGCAGCTTGTATCTAATCTTGTAAAATGTGATTTGGAGCATTTTTGGGCATGGACAACAAATGGAAGGCGCTTTTGTTTCCCGGCGGGAAAAGGTCTTGGGCAATGGAAAGTACAGAACATATAGGAAATTGAACTAGTGCATAATATATGTATTTTCACTTAAACTGCGCTTTTTCTCTCAAACACATCCCACGCTCATCGTAGCCCGGTAAATCACACTCACAACTTTTCATGTGTCGCCATCAAAGAAGCTAGATGCTATTAGCCAAAATCCAAGTGTCTTAGGTCTCACGGTGAGGAAATTCTCGACTTACCAACAAAAGAAGTCACCAATTTATAGCGAACTTGGCAAATATCCTCCGGAACCAACCAAATAGTCGCTCCCATCTTTCTGGCAATGCTGATGCTCAACTTGGCATTCATGTAGGCCCTCTCATCATTGTCGCCGGCTGTAACAAGTTCATCATCGACGTAGCTGCTCTCCATGCCCTTCAGCACATTCAAAAGGAATACACCGGATGAGATGGACCGGTCCTTGAAGCTGCGTATGGAAGATGCGTGGCCGCCCTTGTGAGCCATCTTGTTGGCCCAGTCGACCATGATCTCGTCCGTCATTTCCTTTTTCCCAAGCTTCTGAGCGAGCGAGGCTAGAGTTACGTTGATGTCCTTGCGCATAAGCTGCCATACGAATCCCAAGGTAAGGGTTCTATCGCCTCTTGTAATATTGGAGCCTTCGGTGTTTCGGAGGATCATGCCATGCTTTTTACCAATATCAATCACTTGATTTGTATTCTGGAGAGCCTGGAAAAGCTCCATGTCAAGAATTCTCTCCAGATGTTCGCTTTCGGACTCCTCATCGTCGGGGTTGACAATCTGTGGACTGTTGTTTTTGGTGGGGTCGTTGTCGAGGGATCTGGGTTTGCGCACGCCACGCCAAAACACGCTGCCTTTGATAATCTTGTCGAAGGCTTGGAGCAGGACATACCCGTTGCCAATATCATTAAAGAAGGAGACCACAGGCGGCCGCACATCAAGACTGTTGAGCCAGAGAGTGAAGACGCGGGCTTCGCGGTCGCCCTCAGCGTCGAAATCTTCCACTTTGACCTTTACCTTCTCTTCGTCTGTGATGGGTTCGAGAGCAGGGTGGTTGTTGAAGAGGTTAGCGACGAAGGCGAGGTTGAGCTTGGAGTTACCGCCAACAAGAGATTTTGGTGTCAAGAATTTGCGGCAGCCGAGTTTGTCAGCCTCCTGAAGGACTTGTTCAGCGCGTTGGAGCTTGTCTCTTGTGTCGAGGGGCGCGCGCGTACAGCCGTACTCGCGGCCGATTTGGCTGAGGAGGACGGTATAATTTTCGCCATCTTTTATGTCATCTGAGAAGTTGTTCACACTACGGAGATAGGAGTTAGAGGATTTCCAGTTGAGGTACATGGTGGTATGGACAAACCTTCTGGGCCAGTTAGCGGCCTTGAGGTGGTAATTAAACCATCGCAAGAGGATCTGCTCCGGGGGCAGACGGAGGAACTTCTCAAGCTCCTCACCTTTTCTCAGGAGGCGGTACAGTTCAGGGTGGAGTTTGATGTCAATTTTACTCAGAAGACCGCGTCGAATAATCTGCCAGATGAGACCGAGGATGAGATGCTCACGGACCTCAATGATGTCTCCAGCACCAATATTGACGACGGAACAGCCAATACCCTTGGCTGATTCAATGACAAGGTTGTTGTTCTCGGTCATTTGAAACGCATTGAGAGTCTTGGTCTTGCGGCCAGCTATGTTGAGGATTCGTTCGTCGATGGTGTCAGGCACACTATCGTTGATCAGCTTGGCCAGGACCAAGCCATCCTTGCACTCGTCGAACATTTGGAAGGTATCGGTGGGGAAGGGAAGCCGGCTGCCAATATCAGCGTCACCATCCAGCACGGCGTTGATGTGGCGCGTGAATTCGGTTCTTTCATCCTCGTCGATAGTGTGGGTGACGTTTGCACTGGACCCTTGAACCTGAATCTTGCCGCCGACGCTGCTCTTGGATACATGACCTTGTCCGCGCCCGCCAGTGCGTTGAGCTACAACGCCACTGGGGCTAGCTGGCTGCGGGCCAGTGGATAGTCGCTTCTGAGCCGGCGAGGAGTCGCGAAGTTTGGTAATGAGCTGGAGCTTGCGATTAGCGAATATTGGGAGTGGCAGGATAGAACCAGAGCACAGGAATTTTTGAGTGACGGTTGGGTGTAGGGATGGTAGGACAAGACGCACCCCGAGGTAATCTTCAAGCTCTACACGCCGCGAAGAGTCCAGCTCAACTTCCCTGAGAGCCTGTCGCACCACATCATATGGCTGATTCTCGCTCTGTTGAGTGGCCTTGATGGCGGTAGCTTCGTCCAAGTAGCCCTTGTCGTCGATATCGAGACGCTGGAAGTTGCCAGAGAGCGAGGTAATTTCATCTGCTAACTGGGGGAATTTTCTGGATTCAGCAATGACGGCGGTTAGCAAAGCGCATCAACATACAATGGCGGAGAGAAACAGCAGGGTTGGTAAAAAAAAACGCACTTTCGCAATTGGAGGACATTCATGGTGGGGGTTAAGCTGAGGGGTTGCGATGGCCAACCCACGGAATAGGCGGAGGGAGAAAGAAGCCTGTAGTCTGTGACAAGCTGAGTGAAGATGTGAGGAATGCAACGGCTTGGGTTTTGGGGGCAGTCCTGTTGTTCTTTTGAGAAAGGGAGGAGGAGGGGAGAGGACGGAAGAGGATGACGAGGCAGGGGAAGATGGCGTGGTGACGATGACGACGGAAGGCTTCAAATGGCTGAAAGACACAAAGGCATGCTCATCAGTTATGCGCGGGAGCTGCGCAAGTGTGTCAAGTGGGCAAAGCGGGGCATGATGTAAACCTGAGTACTTCCCGGCACAGCATGGCCCCACTTGCAGGTACTTTCGTGCCTGAGCTGGTCGCTTTACAGCCCGCGGTTCGCCCTTTCGGCCCTGTCAGGCGGCAGCCATGGCCTGGCCTTGGCAGGCGACGGGGCTCGGAGGTCCCAGATGGCAGAGGCTATGCAATGAGTGGCAGAGCCAGAGACTGGCCCAGGCAGAAGCAAACATTGTGACGCACCTCATGCCTTGCATCAGCGGTAACATGACGAGGTTACACGTTGCTTGCACCCTGTTGACGCCAAGGGTCAACCGATATTTTAGTCAGCAACATTATGCCTACCGGCAACTATAAGATTAATAGCTCTGCTCCCACCAGACAGTTGCGACATCCAAGCCAAGTGTTTGATGGACTAGGCGCACACGATATTTGGGCTTTTACTAGCAATATCAGTCACTGCCTTCTTTCTACAGACTCAAGTCATCATGATTAGTCTTAGGCCAGTGGCCTGCCCCAAAATCTATCATACTCCGAGTAATGCGAGGGCATCAGCAACAGTCTATCATTCCAACCACTGCATATCCAATAGCTGAGCTCTTCATCATCCGATCCGCTTCCCCGCAACGACTTTTGAAAGCGTCCAGTGACTGGAGTATCCAACTCACACACTAGCTCGTGTCCTCGCAAAGCGTACTCATCGTGAAAGAGCATAAGCCATACTCCGCCCGGAATAGTCACATTGAATTCATCTCTAGGCCCAAGACCGCGCAGCATGTCTTCGATGGGGCCCAAGACGTTGCGCTGAAAATATGGAAGACGGTCCTGTTCGGGATGTTCGTCTCCGGATGGTACCACCCAGAATTGTATGCAGACGTGTAGTTTTTGAACGTTTGGGCACGCTTCCGAGATGCCTCGACACAATTTACGCAGTATCTTGTCCTCTTCGTGCTCCACGGTCGATGGATTCCACAGCTCCTGGGCCAGGGGATGTTGATCGAGGAAACGTTCGTGATCGCCCCAGAGAAGCTCAAGGCTGGTAATTTGCCGCAGGAAACGAGGGTATATCAACTCGGGCAGGTGAAGCAGTAGGTCCAAGCTGGAAATGTGAAATGTGCTAGTCGAGAAGAGAGCCTCGAGGCCCTCGGCGCAAGCACTGCGACATGACAGGAGCCAGCCCATGATGCCAATGAAGCACGAGTCGCTCCCAGTACCTTGTTGCGTTCCTGTATTGCACCAGCAGACGGTGCCTTTGATACATTCGTCGTCATGTAGCCCAATCGTGCTACCAAGGTTCCACCAGTTTTTCTCGCGCTCTGCGGCCGTCCACTCTGCGCGTCGGTGGCATACGCAGCCGAACCATTGCCAACGCCTCGGCTGACACGTGTCCGGGACTAATCTGATTCCGAGGCCACAGTGTCGAGCGTCATCTGGCGAGCTGCTGGTTGAAGTTGTGAGACTCGGCCGTCTTACCAGCGGGTGGTCAAAGGCCAGGTCAATGTGGATGGTGCGGTAGCCGAACGCTTCAGCGAGAATGATCCGACGGATTTCCAGAGGCAGACGATGAAACAAGCCGTATTTTTTTCCTGAGACGGTCAGCTTTTCAAAAATGCCATCCTCCGCTGTGAGGACTGGAAGTGGAAGATGTGGAATGGGCCGCGATTGTATAGCTGGACGCGGCTGTAGACGGCGACGAGGTTTAGCCTTCCTGCGGAACACCCTGCGGAGTAATTTGCGAAAAAAGCCAGACATGGAAGATGCACATTACGGATGGCGCGGCAGCAGAGGCATGACAAGAGTACGGAGTAAAGGAAATAAATACCAGGCTGGTACGACCATGTATATGCGTGCACGGTGTGTTGCCCGCGCCTGATGTTAAAAATTGGGGGTTAAATTGTTGTCGCTGGACCCTTAATGTCGAATCCACTTCCATCGACGTCACTTGAGCAACTTGTCGGAATCTTGGATGCCAAAGAAAAATTTAAAAAATTAAAATTTTAGTTAAACGTCGACTCGACTTGGGCGCGTCCAAAAACGGATAAATTCTAACCAAAGCTAGCCATATCGATTAAGACACGAACTATCAAGCAGATCACCCCGCCGGTTAGATTTTTGGATTGTTCTAAAAATACCTCGACACCACTTCCTGTCCAGTCCAACGTTTCAGAGACGCTTGAAACACAGCTCTCAGCCCTTCAGTGCTCCTTTCAACAATGTCAGCCTGCAAAGTTTGCAACGAGCCGCTCGTCCTCCGGCTGGACGACGACGCGGACAATGACGACACTGAAACCGCAGAGACTGTCCCCGATGATTTGGAGCTCGGCTGCGGATGCCATTTCCACTGGTAAGCCCGCGCACCATCCCGAACGCTTTCGTTTCCCAACACGACTGACCATCGGGGCAGGGAATGCCTCATGGAGGAAGCGTCCACGGTAGCTACATCTCTGAAATGCCCCAGCTGTGACATATATCTGCCGAGAAACCAGGCCGGCGCCTCTTCGACGACTCAGTTCCGCGAGGCTTCCGCCGCCGCTATCCTGGCCCAGTACAGCAACGAGGGCGGCGTGCAAAAGGACCTCGACATCATGGCTTCAATTACCGAAGAAGCGTATGTTCAGGCTCACCCCGAGGCGCGCCCTGCGAGGGCATTCCACGTCATGTGCGCCGAGGGGGACATTGCTGGCGTCATCGACTTATTGAGAGACGCGAGCGACCAAGGCGCGGATGCTGGAAGCATTATTCGCTACCAGGACCCCTTGGAAGGAATGAAGAGCGGCCTTCATTTGGCTGTTGAGAATAAGCAGGACGAGATTGTGTGGACGTTGTTGTGGCTGTCGTCTAGGATTTCTACGGATGCTTTCCCCCCTCTGGTCCGACAGATGGCCGAGGGTGTCGGATTGGGACGCATCAATGTGGATGCCGATGGGGATGTTCGCTGCCTGAGGGATTCCCAGGGCCGGGTGGCGGAGACTATTGCTCAGCAGAATCCAGAGGTGTGGTCGGCGTTGCTTGATGGAGGTGTTTTGAGTCCTTGAGTGACGGCCATACAGCGTATATGAGAAATGTTACGAATAACGGAACCAAGACCATAGTAACGAAGGGAGTGAATGGAAAGACACGTGGGCCGGGGAGTTGACAGGCTGGCAGGTGGCCAAGGGAGCAGAGGTGGCCGACACCCAGCTACCTGGTTCTTATTGACGACAGATGAAGAGAACAGACAATGATGAAAACGGATACACAATGTGGCGTCGGGAATGGGCTTGAGGCATAGGCAAAAACGGCGTTTAGAGGCTGACGTGGAAGATGCAAGCCAGACAGTGGGCGCCTTGTTTAATCTCTGAAATAGTATAGAGGCAAGATGAGTGATTTAGTCAAGGTCAAAATGCATATTTTAGACCCGTTCTGAATACTTCAAGGGGTGCAAGAATAGTACCAAGACGTCCCGAAAGCGTTGTGATGAGCTAATGTGCACCTAGGTAGATATTAGCCAAAGATTAACTGTGCTTCCTTGCAAAGTTCATTTCGGCTGTGAAATAAATAGGATTATTAGCCTGAAACAGTTTGTTTAGAGCCAAGGCGGGTGGCATAGTTGATGGCTCGGAAGGAGAGGTTTGGCTCTTGGGTGGGTTTAATAGGTCAATGACTGCAGAAATGGCACCATCCCCTATGTTGTCCGAAGGCTTATAGATGTTAGGACTGAGGTCGTAGCAAGTGAAGCATGTGAATGGGTTGATATGTTTAACAAGAGAATCAGCGCGAAGATAGTTGACAAGTTCAAACCTAGCCTAGACGACAGAGATTGAGAGCTAATATTCTTGTACCAAGACCAAGCTGTATACAACGATAGAGGTATTTTCTGTGTCTGATGAAAAAGCGGTTAGACGCAGATGCAGCTTATTTAATACCAAGAGTTGCCCGCCGTCTTTATTACGCCCGTGCGAGCTTGCCTATTCGGTTATGGTGACAAATGAAATTGGGCTGCATGTACGCTGTGACTCACACGGCAGACAGCGAAAATGGATCAGACTGATATCATAAAGACTCATACTCGAATCCGGAAATAAGACGCGGAGAAAGAAAGGTTGGTCATTTCTATCAAATATTTTCAGTGTACTTTTATAGTCGGGCAACTTGATATAATAACCACGTTGAAGGCGGCCATTTATCTGAGTTGGTCTCTCTCCACCATTATCATGAAAATTTACCTGCTTCTTCTTATAGTCCCATTTCTCTCAGATACGGCCCATTGAACTGGCACTGCTTCCACGATGGACAGGCCCAATTACGCAAGATATCTAGAATCCGTCTACCAAAATACTCGCTGGGAAGCAGCACGCACGCCCCACGGTTCCATCAACGCTACACTGCGCGCCAGAAAAACATCAGGCGAAGCCGGACCACAATCCGTAATCCTGAAGCATGCGAGCCCATTCTTCGAAGATGACGGCAATCTGCAGCCTTTTTCATTACACCGTCAAAAGGTAGAGCAGGTCATGATGACTCTCTGGAACGAGGGCGGCCTGCTCGCCGAGCACGCCGCCAGCCCAGAATCGTGGCGTGTACCGAAATGCATACGCCACGACGAGGGGACAGAAGCAGACTTGCTGATGACAGACAAGCGCGACGAGGCATCTATTCTCCTGCTAGAAGATCTTGGCCAAGTAGTCAATCTCCGGGAGCGCATTGAACTCTGGGCAGAGGACGGCCCGTCGCCAGACACAAAGAACAAGGTGGCACGCATTGGAAACATACTGGGAGATTCGCTTGCCGTCATGCACAGCCGACAAACTTCTCTGGCGATTGAATCCGACCCCAAAGCGGCAGAGGTGCTCTCCCAATCGTCGACCGACGACGTCGTGTGGTATCTCGCCATGGAGATTTTCCCGACGTATTTGGGAAACACCCCCAAGGCAGACGTATATTACCGGCGACTGGTTAGGGACATCAAGAACCCGCTGTATATATACCCCCCGTGTCTCGTACACGGCGACTTTAACTTTGGGAACATTATGCTGCCGCTGCGCGAAGACGACAGCCCCCGACCGGTTGTTATCGACTGGGAGTTTGCCACGCGAGACGGCAGGGGCGTCAATGGGGATGTATCCGAGTTTCTGTCCATTCTGCACTGTCGCCTGGTGAGCGCGCGCCGGCGGCCAGGGCAATCGACGCTGACCGAGTTGGTGAGAGGGCTGTGCGGGGGCTTTTGCGAGGGGTACCGTCAAAGGGCGGGGCTGAAGTGCACGATGGAAGCGGAGGATGTGAATTCGCAGCTTTACCGGTCGGCCTTGCTGCTGAGTGGGCGCGACATGATCAACTACGCGCAGGATGCCTGTGCGGAGGACGAGGCGTTTGATGAGATGATGGGGGTTGGGCTGTGGTATTTGGAGCGGGCGGGGGAGGACATGGGGGAGTTTTTGGAGGGATCGAATTCTGAGGAGCTTGGCCGGGAGGACGAGGGGCTGGTTCGATCGCTGTTTATGTTTGGCTAGATGTTGGTTGCTGGGGGCTGGTGGTGATGAAGTTGAGCTTCAATGTTGGGGACTTGCATCTGCATTTGGTAATGGTAACTAGTAACTACAGGGTATCTTGTGAATACAGAGCAGTGGAGCGTGCTGAGTTCTAACCACCACAGAGCATTTAAAAAAAGACAGATTGGCAATGTAACGTAATGTAATGTACTACACGTATTTCTCATTACCTTCCGGTAAAGGCTCGTCCGTGACCTTGAGGTTGCGTTATGTTGTGGTGTGAATGACGACTATGGCCGACTGTTCAATTTGGGCAAGTAAACCGGCTCTGTCTCGCTAGTCTTAGTCTGATTGAGCCGAGTATCCGGGCACCTGCTAGTTTCGGCAGAGGGTCCAGGCCTCGCCCACTGCCATTGGCCGATCACTTGGTTAGTTTGAACGTAGGACCAGCCTTACGTGGGCAATTACAAACCTCCACGCGCCAAGGAACGCGGGTCACGATCCTTTGGCTTCCGTTCTAATCGAGTGAAGAAGGGAGCCAGCACAAAGTGAAAATGGCACAATGACGGGCGCCCACTATTGGCCCTACCACCGGCATATAGTAGCGCAAGGCCTCAACTCTCCGCAGAGTGCCCAGACATTGAACCACAAAATGGGGCCCTCGTATCCGACAAGTGCCCTACCGGACCTTTCACGACTCCATATAGATTTGTGACGAGTTGGCACGAGTACGCTGGATGGGCTCACTGATGAATGGGATTTCTCCAAAGGCAAGCACTGGCGTGACTACCGTATATGGGCAGTTGTTTGACGATATTCACTTGTCTTGCCATTTCGCAACGGACCCAACAGGGTTCTCGGTGAAGCACTGCCATCGTGGTATCGCGCTTTGACCGGTGTGTTGTTATATTGACCCAATTGCACAAGCGCAAGCGTCCGGCCGCGAATGCGCTTATACAGGCTTGGAATCGGCCAAGTTCCGCATGTACGACCTATCTCACGCTCACCTTCCTGATCGATTAGGTAGTTACGATAACACGAGGCATACAGGTGACGAGAGAACTGGATAACATCAATACGCCATACTTACCTGCTCAATAGAGCTAGCTACCACAGTCAACGTTGCATATCGTGTGAAAAGAAGCAATGCTGTATTCGCCAACATGGAGTCGAACCTCGCCTGCGATTTTTCTATAAATGCGCCCGCTACCCATCGGACACAGTCTGAGAAGAAGATATATAACAAACACCAGACATCAAATACATCTCATATCTTGACTAGAGCTTGTGTTTCTACACCATGAAGACCGCATTACAGACTTCTGCACTCCTTGCAGCTATAAACACTGCACTTGCTGCGCCAGCCTCTGTCGGAGAGACGTTCAGTGTCAAGGCAAAATACAACCAGGATTTCAAGCCGGATACGACAGTAGAGTTGGTTCGCACGGCGCTGCGCTACGGAAAGCTGGCATCCAGAGACGTTGCCCGGATCCTTGAGCGCCGGCAGGACACCAACGGGACCGTCGTTGCTTCCCCCCCGTACAAGTTTGATAGAGAGTACCTCGCAGAGATTGAAGTTGGCACGCCGCCTCAAAAGTTGCTCTTGGACTTTGACACGGGTTCCAGCGATTTGTGGGTGTTCAGCACCGAGACCCCATCTGCCCAGTCCACGGGCCATACGTCGTGGAATGTCACGGCCAGCTCTACAGCCAAGAAGCTGGACAAGTACACATGGAGCATTGCCTATGGAGACAAGAGCACCTCCAGTGGCGACGTGTACACTGATATAGTGCGAATAGGCGGTGCTGAAATCCAGAACCAGGCGGTAGAGTCTGCCCTCCAAGTCTCGCAGCAGTTCACGCTGGACACGGCCAGCTCTGGTCTACTGGGACTTGCGTACGACAAGGGCAACACGGTGTCGCCAACGAAGCAAAAGACGTGGTTTTCCAACATCTTGCCTCGGCTGAAGGAGCCGCTGTTCACCGTGAGACTCAGACACCAGGCTGGTATGTTTGCTTCCCCCGTCCTCCCCCCCTGATATGTGCCTTTTTTGACACAATTTGCAGATGGGTCATACAACTTTGGATACATTGACAAGGCACAATACACTGGCGATATTACTTACACGCCTGCTTTTACGGATGATTTGGGCCACCGTCTGTTCAAAGCCAGCGGCTACCAAGTCGGCAGTGGCAGCTTCGAGAAGCTCAGCATCACGGGGACCGCGGACACTGGCTCCACGGCGGTCTATCTTCCGAATAGCGTGTCCGATGCGTACTGGTCTGGGGTGAAAGGCGTCACGACCCAGGGCGGCTTCCTCGACTCGAAGGCCTACAATTTCCCCTGCGATGCCAAGCTGCCCGACTTTACGTTTGGCATCGAGGACGCCAAGTTTACTATCCCGGGCGAGTTTATCAACTACGCGCCCACTGCGGAAGGCTCGACTATCTGCCAGGGCGGAATTTTGGGCATCGGCACCATCCCTGAGTGGCTGGGTGGGATTAGCATCTTTGGCGATGTTGCTCTCAAGGCTTCGTTTGTCGTCTATGATGATGGCAAAAACCGCCTTGGCTGGGCTAAGGGGGCTTGAAGAAAACTACCTAGGTATATATTATGGGGGTTGCTTGGAGACGGGGTTGTGAATTGAAGACAATTATAGCTGTTGTACTTTGTGTGGGTACTATAGTGGTAGTTGAGAAAGGATTCAGTTTCCCTGCCAAACGTCTGCTTGTGTCTTGACTTGAGGTAGAACCTGATTCCGTCGCATGGCTTACGACTGATGGCGCGAAGCACGCAGGGACTATAAAGTGTGCTATAAAAGATGATAAAAAGACTATAAAAGATGATATAAATAAATAATACAAAATATAATAGCATGTTTAAAACCAACCATGACTTACATGCAAATGCACGACCAATAGACTGCTCAGGCGTCGAGGACCCACTCGCCGTTTTTGGATGTCGCGACTCGCAGATCCAAGCACATGCCAGCTCGAAAAGCAGGTACGGACCCAGTGACGTCGTTCAACTGGCCAGTCAGGACAGACCAGATATGACTTATGTCAATGATGCTTCACCACAAGCTTCCTTACCGCCTTTCGACCTCGCAATACACTGAAACCGCCCAACGCTCCCCGTCGTCCTAGTTTGCGCGTGTATCAGCCAGCCTCTCGCAGCCCCAGCCAGACCCGTTCTCGGGCGGCAAGCTTCACGACGTTGGCGCTACGCATTGGAGCCAGGTGCGCCTTGCGCTCGCAGTACCAGCACCAGCCGCCTCTTGGTTTTCCTCTTGCTGCCGCGAAAACCGTACACCCCGTCGCATGGCTGTCCTTTGGGGCCCGCCCGCCGAAAATGCCTCCCGCACCGGGCGATAAGAAACCTGAAAAGTCCTACTTGAGCTCTGCGGTCGACGTCATCTATCCGTGGTCGAGCAGTCGCACGGCGACGCCCACGCCGGAGGACAAAAAGAACGAAGGGAAGGCCGCCGTGGCTGATGGGACTGCTACGCCCAAGGCAGCGGCTCCCGCCGACCATGCCATAACGCCATTCTATGGACAGAGCTTCCGGACGTATCCCAAGGATTGTCCGCCACTAAATGTGCAATGGTTTCATGCGGCCGATGTAGGTATGCGAATGCTTGGATGAAGTCTCGGGGCTGACGTGACTCAGGTGCCGAAACGGAAACCGAAGCTGATCAAGGGACCGAAGAAGGAGGACAAGGAAGCAAAACCGCCTGTTCGGCCGAAGAAGTTTACCCCATTCTCCGAGTCTGACTCGCGGAGGACGGAAGCACGCTATCAGAGGCTTTTGGAGGCGGTAGAGGAAAAACATGACGCTCTCAGAGATTCTCAAAATAGGCCCTCAAAACGACCCAAGTCGGATAAATCTGACACTCTTGACGACTCATATCGGGGCCATACCCGGGTTCCTGTCAACGAGGACTACCTGTTTGATCTTGACATTGAGGAGAGGGAACTCGCGCCGGTGTACTGGTTAGGGCCAATTTATGAAGGTTGGAAACCTGTTGAACTCGTGGTATGGAACATTTGTGCTGACGATTGTGGCCAGTACGACGTGGCACTTGGTTCTTCCAGGAGGGCTCGGGTCTGAGACCTTGCGAAGAGAACCTTGCAGCTCAGCTAGAAGAGGTAAGTGCTCACACTAATCGGAGGTCGAGTGGTGTGTGTCCTAATCAAAGCAGGGCTACTTGAAAACGAAACCGTGGCTGTTTCCTGGTATGCAGTGGACAAAGGTATTGGGTATTGAATCATGCTGACGGTAATCACAGGTCGAGCCCGAAGCAAGTCTGAAGTAAAGGACACTGCAGGGTCTGCCAAAACAGATAAACCTCACGCAGCGGCGGACCAAACGTCCCCGACAGCTACAGCTAGCATACAAAAGCTACCGGCGGGTACCACCCAGGCGCCGCAACCACCACCAACATATCGACTATTTGGTGCTTATATGAACAATGTCGCTACATATGAGGACTCAAAAACCGCTTGGATGACTACCGATGGCATGCTCTCATGGGTAGCTGCTTCGGTGTATGAACGGTTCGCTGGTGGTGGCTACATGAGCGGTGTCAAATTGATTAGAGGGTATTCTGAGCCTAAAAAATCCAAGGACAAGGAGGAGGCGAAGCCTGTGGAAGAAAATCCCGATATTCCGGGCCTAGACGAACGACAGCAGAAACTGCTGAAGAGAAGATCAGCTCCTCCCGCCACACGAGATTCGTTAGAGGACTTGGGATATAGCCAAGTTGTAAAGAAGGAGACCCAGGAACGGGAGGCAAAGCTGCAGCGGCAATTGTCTTCCCTTATTGAGAGCGAAGGGCGTACCGCCGAAGAAACCGAGGAACAAATCAGAAAACGCGACGAGCAGGAAATAGAAGACGACTACAATGCACAGGATGGCGAGGCTCAGGGGCGTGAAATTGAGCATTTAGTTCTTGTAACTCATGGCATCGGACAAAGACTAGGTTTGCGGTATGTTGCTTGCTGAGTTACATGTTGCACGGCACGCTAACTTTTACTACCCAACAGCATGGAAAGTTTAAACTTTGTCCACGATGTCAACATCTTGCGCAAGACTACCAAGTCTGTGTACAGCAACTCAGCAGACTTGAAGGCACTCAACTCTGAGCTTGGTGCTGGGCCCGGGAACTGCAGAGTGCAAGTTCTTCCTGTGTGCTGGAGACACTTGATTGAGTTTCCCAGGCAACAGCAGAAAAAAGCCGAGCACGATCTAGGCGATGCTACAGATGAGGATGATAGCTGTGAGATTTCCGATTGGACGCTGTTGAGAGATGGTATACTGATTACCAACCAGACCCTTCACTCGAAGACATAACCGTGGAAGGGGTTGCCTTTGCCAGATCCCTAATTTCGGACCTCGCGCTCGATGTTTTACTCTATCAAAGCTCGTACAGGGAAGAGATTTCCAGGGTTGTTGTGGCAGAGACTAATCGAATTCTGAAACTCTTCCGAGAGAGAAACCCAGAGTTTAAAGGAAAAGTGCACCTCATGGGTCACTCATTGGGATCTGCCATCTTCTTTGACGTTCTCTGCCGTCAGAGGGAGAGGCATCCTGGTGAAACTCGCCACCCGCTCCGATTCTGGCCCTCGCACAACCGACCTGAAATCAGGCCAAAGGACGAGGAGCTGGAGTTCAATTTCGACGCCTCTGACTTCTTCTGCCTCGGGTCTCCTGTTGGCCTGTTTCAAATGCTGAAGGGGAGGTAGGTCGTATGGCTTGTTGTAAAGAGGTGCTGGACAGACACTAACGGTTGTCAGGACTATTGCTGGCCGCCATTCGCCAAATAGCTTGCCCTCAGCAAGCCCGATGAATCCCGAATACACTGATGATCCGTTCCTGACAGCGCCTGCAGGTACAGGCATGGATGGCATTTCTCCAATCAGCGGTCTGCCCATGTCGGTGTCATCACCCAAAGCGGAGCAGCTCTTCAACATCTTCCATCCATCCGATCCCATTAGCTACAGAATGGAGCCGCTGATTTCCCCTGCCATGGCGTCACTGAAACCGCAAGCCCTTCCGTATACCAAGAAGGGAATCTTTGGCAATGTCGCGCCACAGGGCTTAACAGGCATCGGGGCCAAAGTCGGCCAGAGCGTCAGCGACCTGTGGTCGAGTCTAAGCGCCGGCATCGCAAGCAACATACTCAACCGCAGTCTTGGCATTACCAACGAGGAGGTTGCGCGTCTTGCTGCAGAGGAGCGCCATGGGGACCAGAAGAGCGAGGCGACTGGCAGTCAGGAAGCGGCGGAACTATCGGATGAAAGAAAGAGGCAGCTGGCTGAAGCGGCGGCCAGAGGACGTCGTGTGAGCGACAATGGTAACTCGGTGACACTTATTGACGACGAGCTGGAGACGTTGTATTCGACGTTCCAAAAGCGGCACGACACGATGCATCCGGACGAGGAGATGGCTCATGTTAACGATGAGTCGCGCAAGGCTCGTAAGCTGCGGGTAGAGGAGGCCAAGGTGCGGGCGCTGAACAGAAACGGCCGTGTTGACTATAGCATTCAGGAGTAAGTGTGCCGTCGATGGCGCCCGATGAGTATCGTGCTAACATCATGTAGAAGCGCCTTGGACTTTAATCCGATCAACACGATTGCGTCGCACATGAGCTACTGGGCGGATGAGGATGTCACTCATTTTGTTTTGTCTCAGCTTTTGTCTGGGAAACCGGTGGATAAAGGTGCTAAATGAGTTGTACACGAGGTATCGGAGACTGGTGCAAGGTCATGATGTTACGTCTTGGGAATGGGTTTATGCGCACATGTACATACTGCTGCCGTACGGCGCTGGATTTGAGGCCTTGTATAGAATTGGCTGCAATAGATGGAGTTGACGACGCATCTGACAATCTGACTTGCTATAGTTGGACTGGTGGGAAGACGACAAGGGCCATGACGAGCTCTTGGTTCTTGGTTCAAGGAGCTTTGTGCATTGAGAAATATGATGCCGTACGAGGCGTGGGCATGAAAGTTTGAATGCCAGGCGTTACTTGCACGGCCTGGAATGCAGCATGGGGACCCACTAGCACCGACTGGATGGGTCGAGATTGGATTTGATTCAAATTGTCAATTATTTATGCGCTACGGAGTACAGATGTATAACGGACGACACGGCCGAGGCTTGGCAGGGTCCTGTCCACAAAATGCCGAGCCATGGCGGCGGCATGACGCGGAGGGTTGGGCGCTTTTCATCGGCCGTCGGCGGCGGGACGTTGCGGGTCAACCGCACTTGGGGATCCTGTCTACCCAGCTTTCGGGGTTGATTTTGCCTCGGATACAGACTTCGTCGGGGAAGATGTGCGACATGAGGTTGCCCTGTCGTTTATTTGCCTGTCGCGTTAGTGCCTGCCCACAAGCCGACTTTGTCGTGCGTGGTGCCCAAGGGGCGGGCGTACCTCGTCGGATGCGTAGTGGCAGCTCTGGCGGCCGAAGCAGAGTTGGTTCTTGGCCGGTTTCCAGGACGAGCTTGCCTGCGCACTGGCTGCGGCGAGCATGGCGAAGATGCTGAAGAGAGTTGCTGAGGGGACCATTTTGGTGTGAGGGGAGGGATGCTGCTTGGTGGCTTGGGTAAATCGCCGCCAAGGAGGACTGCATCGAATATATATATATATATATATACATCAAGTTTGTTGTTTCCCTCTCGGGTCAATGATAATACGAGCAATATATATACATGGCCACTTCTGTGGGGGCTCGACTGCCTATGCGTCTCCTTTCGCGGATAGTCTGGTGCTGGGGACGCTTTGAAGCACAAATTACAATCATACGATGGTGGTACACGGGAATGGACGTGTTACACAAGGGCTACGGTCACGGGACCTAGGGCAAAGTCGCTCACTGACTTCTTGTATTTAGAGAGACCTTTATCCCTTAAGGCCTTGAGGAAAACCAAGGAACTTTGATATCAAAGCAAAGTATTAGCTGAATATGAACACCGTCCGAAGTCCCTGCACACAAGGCCCTTGTCACACACACCAAAGGCTTATATAGAGATGTTTATGTGTAATGAGTCACCGGCTAGATAGTTACAGCTTCGAGGCTTCGGTTAATCCCACAAACGTGATTGAACTAGAGCGTCTACTTGACCAGGCTTGAAATCCAGCTAGCAACTTCAAACCTGTGCTTCTCAGAAATCTACCCGTTGTAACAGGCCGAAATGGACGCGGCATGTCTATTTATTGAGTTGGTGCCGCATTTCGACTCTTGGTGGGCGGGGGTTTGTGTGACAAGGGCCTGTGTTTAGGGGCTTGGAACAGTGTTCATATTCAGCTAATACTTGGCTTTGATATCAAAGGTCCTTGGTTTTTACTGAAGCCCTAAGGCCGGAAGACCTCTATTTATATCAAGAGGCGGTGAGGGACCTTGCCCTAGGTCTCGTGATCAGAGCCCTTGTGTAACTATCGTCGGGTTCAAGATTCGGCCCCTGCCTTCATGGCAACGTGTCATCCGTGTAACAGTTCGTCACTAACACCTTCATTCTTCCCCTGGTTGAAGTTGTCCTCGCCATCGTCGACAATCTGTTGGGCCGTATCGTGTGCATCCTGGTGTGCCGATTCCTTCTTTTTCTCGTGCTTCTTCACCTCCTCAAAGGCCTTCTTTCCCCTTCTCCTGCGTATCCCTATTCTAGCAACCTACTTATTGGCCTCGCGTGCCGCACCCTGAGCGGGCTGACTGGCGTCTCTGGTCAGAGGTTCAAGCTGGTTTCTCGGCCGGCTAGGAACGGCCTGCAGACCTTGGGCAGCCAGGGCAACTGTGCTACCGAAGTAGCTGAGTACATCGGAAGCATTTCACGTCAGTACTAACAAGAGATGATGAAGTTAAAGCGGACCATGTTGACGGGATGGCTGTGTTGGTGTATTGCTATTGCTGTTACTTTTATTAGTAACAGTAAAAAAAGGACAAAGCCTCAATAGCTCCCTTATTTAGAGCTCGAATACCCAAATTGCCTCTGGCCTGGCATATTTCGAGTCATGCTGAGATGGGATACCCTCTTCGGCGCATCACGTCAGTTGTCTGCTGCTGAGTGGTCATGATAATCGCATAAGTGTTTCGTCTGATTCGGAATCGTACGACTGATCACTTGCTTCTTTCCAAAAGAGGAGCCTCTTTGCCTTGCCGGCCAACTTTAAAACAAGGTTGGATATTCTCCGTACCGAGCATTGCAGGAGGCAGGGCTACCCAAGCCGGGAGCCCCAAGCTGGGAGCGAAGGCGTACTCTGTTTCAGAAAGAGCGGTTGAGTCAGGCGAGTTAAGCGCCCGGCAGCTGGGCCGGTAAATAAATGCGCAGTGGAGCGTGACGGGACCAACAAGGCGTATTCCAGGTGGTCATCTTCTTCTAGGCAAGGCAGATTCGAAGCAAGACATGCCGTTCCCTGGCGACTACCAACATCTCGACTCCGCCATTCACCATGCGTACCAGACTTTGGAATTGTCAGGTATACAACACTTGTATCAATTTCAATAATTTTAGAAAAAAAGATCAGAAGAAAGGGCTAGATGATCATGCAAGACATCTGGGGACCCTATGTTTTGGCTGATACACTTATCCCCACAGCACTTATGCCTACAGCTCCCAATAGAGGGAAGCCAAGCGAAAAAACTCGGGGCGCTTCAAGCCAATTGCATCGAGTCTGGCACACACGTGCATGCCTCCAGCCGCAACGCCTGACTAGTCCTTGCACAATGTAAAGAAAGAAAAGGACGAGCAGAAAAAAATTCGATTTTAAAAATGGCAAAAAAAATGTTTAGCTTCTCTTTGATTGAGCGTGTCATCCTTAGTGCAGGGGCCATGCTAATCTTCTCTGTGAGTGTGTTAGTAACAGAGTTCGAACCATCAACCTTATGGAGGAGGAGTTGTGGGTACCGACCTGTATCGTTTCAAATAAACCAAATGCCCGAAGGCGAAGGAAAGAGCGGTATTTAGCTTTATATAGTCATACTTTTGTGGGCCGCTCGGGCCGCAACCGCAGCGTCGCACTGTCCATGGACGATAAAAGCGCTCATAAAATACATAACGTGACCAGAAAAGTGCTTTGATATGTGATCATGTACAACGCAGCAATAAGGGGATAAAAAGCGAGGCATACTGGTCAAGAGACGAGAAGGCGGCCTGGCGGGAGCGACGGAGAATTGGCACATCATGTACCGTACGAGGAAGGGTGGGCTTGTAAATTTTTTTCTTCTTCCATTACATGGGTTTTGTGTAATTGTCCATTTGAAACCAACGAATAAATAAGGAATGCAAGCTTGTGATTTACGTGTCTCAGTTCATTGTTGGTAGCCTCGTCGAAATTATCTTCAGACTCACTTCTCCGGTACTGAAGCAACATAAACGTCTCAGGGCTGGAAGCATCGTGGCCACAGCTTGTAACAGCTCTCCGGTATAAAGGGGTACAGTACTAAAATACCCAGAGCGCCAGTGCCCAGACGATCGCTGTTTGCACCAGTAACACGAGAGGCACTGGAGTTAATTTGGAAGGTCAAGCCCTAAGCTCTCTGCTTTTATAACTCCATTTGCCTACTCTATATTATCTCTTGGAGACTTATGAACACCAAAACCGCAGTCTCAGCGAGTCCCGGATAAAGGGGTAGGTAAAGTGGCGAGAGACGGATATTCGTCCCTTGATCGAAGCTGCCAGAAGCTCTGCGGGAGTCATGAAAGTGCTATTTGTCACGGAGGGCTTCACTCTTTTATGAACTGTTTTCCACCAAGGATTCTGCCTTGAGATAGTTTGATACATGATGGCAAGGCACACATCTCAATTCAGAGGCCGAGAGGGAAGGTAGGGTCAGATCCTGATGCTTGCCAACGTGCCACATTTCATCACGTAAAACGCAGGCCGAGCTCCGCTTTCACCAACCATTGAGCTGTTTATGATGATGCAGCTGCCGCATGAGGAGGGGGGCTCCAGCCTAATAAAACCGTACAGGGTTGTAATGTCGGTTACATCGATGTCATGCGGAATATGAAAATCTACTTACTCGTGACATGAGGCTTCGAGTTGGAAAATCCATACAATAAACTCTATTAATATCCCCGAGTCCCGGAATATATTGTCTTTGGCGCCGTAGCCCATGTTTCCCTGCTGGGGGCACTTGGGAAGTATCTCGCCGTATTGCCCGAATCAGTCCTCGGCCCGTCCAGTCCTCCCTAGCCCTACAGCCCTGCAGAATTAAGTCCGAAGATAGTGTGCGAGGAAGAAAGAGTCTGGTAAATATGGGATAATTCCGCCCTACCGAAGAGAAGCTTGATCTACCGAACACAGCCTCATGCCAAGCTTGGTAAGGGATGTCGCTACGGCTATTAGGTTGGACGTTGGACCATCAAGCTACAAAGGAAGTTCTATTAATAACGTTTGACAACGGATATCCCTACTTCTCAGATTCAGTACGCTCGTTGGGCGTTTTTTGGTTTCAGACAAGTGTCGGCTCGAAAAGATACGCCTTGTAGCCGTCAAGGATGGGCTGATTATTGACACGACAGCTTCCGTATGCCGTAAGGTCATTCTCATTTTGACACAACGGGCGTCTTATTCAGTCAAGCTGTGAGATGTCTGTTCTTGGAAGAGAAATTTTATCGACCCATGGGTCTCCCCTGCATGTATTTACTGAATGCTAGCCAAAACGTGTTTTTATAGTTACGAAATCGAAACTGCCGCTTAGTATGCACGCCTGGCCGGGCGTCGGGAACTGATATCCCATCTTTGGGAGACTAATTACAAGGTGGAAATGGAATTCGTTTTCCTGCATGTGCAATCATGGAGCTTGAAAATGAGTCAATGACGAGTTTTGACATCCTGAACGGCAAGCTACCAAGCGCCGTTGGCCAGCTAATACGGCCACCTCAGCTTCATAAACTACCAGAATAAAGAAATCCAAAGGAGTATTCATGGTTCTCATGATATGGACTATGCGAGAATTAGCAGATATGTTTCCTGATATAAATCAGACTGGTTAGTGGTGAGCTCAAGGCCCACCCCTGCACAATATTGAAATGAATACCCGCATGCATGCATCAAGAATGGCTGGAACTAGTTCACTCTATACCAATGCGTGACTCGGCCAGCTAATTGAGCCAGGTTTCACCTTTCCGGGTCCCCAGAGTGTGCAAATGGCCGTTTTCAGCCTCAGCAACGTGAGCATTGAGCGGCGTCGCATCGTCTCACACAGCCACGCGAACGCCAAGTCGGAAGAGACTCCAACAAAATCCACTTTCTTCGACCCCAACCTCTTATGGACAACAGTGCTGGGGCCCTCATGGTGCGATCGCACAGGACTTTTATTCGCGCGGAATGGGACGGTTGTGGCGTGGAGGCAAGAGTCGGCCGGCAAAGACGGAATGGTGCAGCGACGTACATGTCCTGTTGCGCGAGTTTAATAGGGCCGCTCGGTTATGACAATACGATTTGATGGATATGTGTAGTCGTAAGGACTTGGACTGTTACCAATGAGGAGATGAGATACAAGAGATGGGACTATATTGTGCCGCGTTCCCGTTCATCAGGGCGTCCTGTCAACGTCCACCAGAAGGGTTGCCGATTTCCAGAATTCATCAGCCACCGCATACATCGAATGAACAGTGCGCAGCATCGCCGGGGTGCTATATTCTATATTTGGAAACCTCGAAAGCTTGTTAGTCAACTCCACTCGTTGCCATAGCCCGTTGCTAACACAGATCCGTCCGGCGTGGCAATGCAATCGCGCAGCGCAGCGCAGCCGGGGGTACCGGACGACCCAGACGGGAGTCGAGCAGGCCTTTTGAAAACCAGCCCGTCCTTGGATGTCATGTCACGTCAATCTCGCGCGTGAAACGGCCAATGCCCATCGTGTGCCCCCCCCCCAGGATAGCACAGCCTGATCTTTTTCAAGACCCTACAGATCCATTCAACCGGGAACTGGTTCCCACGAGGCAGAATTCGTCATTTGCAGTGATTTCTCAGCCTTGTGCCGCATCTTGCATGAATGTCGCTTGCGTAACGGGAATAGCGCCATGATCGGGGAACTTCTGAATAGATTAATAGATTCAGACGACGGGGCAAGTAGTGATCTGCAGACTGTACAAAAGTCTATATGAAGGACTCCAAGTATTCGACTTTTCTGTCCTCGACCTGCTGGCTTACTTTGTCAAGCATCGAGTACTCCGAGCAAGACTTCACATTCCTTACCAACAACAAGTCTTCACGCTCCTTTACCATCCAACCTAGTTTGTTTGATTATCTTCGAAACATCACCATGGGCTTTTTGCGAAGTCCGCTCCTGGGCATGGGCCTAGCCCTCACCATCGCGTGTGCAAGCCACGCTGATGCTCTGGTGCCGAGAAGAGACACGAACAACACTTCAGGCCAGAACCTCCTCACGAGCGAGGTTGCCGACTTCGTCAAGGAACACATGGACTTTTGGAAGATTCCCGGCATGGCCATTGCCGTTGTGGACAAGGATGACATCTTTACGCAGGTATGTGCCGCTTCGTCAAGACTTGACTCAGACGTGTTTCTAACTGTCATGTCCGCAGGGGTACGGCTTCTCGGAACTGCCAGACAAGAAAGTGACTCCCGACACGCTCTTTTACGGAGGATCGACCACCAAGGCCCAGACCGCTGCTTGTCTGTCTGTGCTTATCAAAAACGGATCGTACGACGCGTTGGCGAACGGGTGGTCGACCAATATCTCGTCGATTTTGAAGGAGGACTTTGTCCTCGAGGACAAATGGGCAACGGAGCACATCACGCTCGACGATGCCGTCAGCCACCACAGCGGGCTGCCGCGCCATGATCGTGCTCTGATGCGCGAAAAGAACGGAGTGCCTCTCTCCACGGCGGACATTGTTCGCAATCTGAGGAACTTGCCGTATATTCATGAGCCACGAGTAGCGTCCTACTACAACAACCACATGTACGTCGTTCTGTCTCATGTCATCGAGACGGTGACCAAGAAAGGCCTGCAGCAGGTCATGAGAGAATTGATCTGGAACCCACTCGGAATGAACTCGACATACTTGGGACTGGCGGACGCCCAAAAGGCGCACAAGGACCTTGCCACGGGATACCTGTGGATCAATCAGACGGCGCAAACCAATTGCACCAGACAAGCGAATCAGACTGGGCAATTCAAACCGGTTACTTATATGCCGATGACTGACTTGAGCGGATCGGCTGCCGTCATCTCCAACGTGAGAGACTATGCGCAGTGGATTCGAGGTCTTGTAAACCACACTCATATCTTCTCCGAGGACGTGCACGACGATATCCGCACCGCAAGGTTTATATTCTCACCAGCTCCCCAATTTGGCTATGATCTCGACCTATATAGTCTGGGTTGGTTCCGAAATTTACTGAAAGGACACTTGTTTTACCGACACGATGGCGTCATGCTCGGTTTCAGGTCAATGGTTTACTGGTTTCCCGAAGAGAAGTTTGGCTTCGTTATATTTGCAAACTCAGATACGGCAGCGACGGCCAATAGCATCATTGCCCGAAAGCTCGTGGCTATGAAACTCAAAATCCCAGAGAACGAAGTTTTCAATGTCACTGCGAGGTTAGTCAAATCCCCCCCCTTCCCCAGCGCAAGAACCATGACCACTAACTGAGACATGATAGTCGTGAGGGCATGAAGACGCCCGAGCAAGAGTTTGAGGTTGCGGTGAAGAAGTACTACCCCAACCACACCATATCCGATCCGTCCTTTTCTTTCAAAGAGATGGAGGGCACATACGTCAACGCTGGATACGGCACAATGACACTTCGCTCTGCCCCAGGCCCGAAGAACGAGACGGTTCTTATTGCCGAACGCTCAGATATGTCGTGGGACTATACGTATACATTTAGGCACATTTTCGGGGATAAGTGGATTTCGGGAGTATCGTGGAGTGAAGAAAGATTTAATACTGACAGCTTTGGTCCCGCCGAATTTATCAAGGGAACTGATGGAAAGCCAGCGGCCTTGAAGATGACATCGATGCAGGGTACCACTTCGGAGGGCAACATTACTTACAGCAAGACGGGGTAGAGTCATGGGGCTAGTCTCAGAGTGTAAATTACCCTTCGTTTTTCACGCACACCCTCTGGCCTTCCTTGCGAATCGTTAGCAAAGATGGGCCAAAAGGCTCTGCAATCGGACAGTCAAGTCGTGTCCATCGCCTTCGAGAAGGCAATGGGGCGGCGATGAAGCTTTAGAGACATAGATATATAGAGTGCGGCCACTAAACTATGTATATTTTGTGGCAAGTCGATTTCAAACATGGCGTGATAGTACTTAATTTGATAATGTCTGAGAATATACGAGTCCTTGATGCCGCGACTTTGAAATATGTCTCGGCCCTCTCCTAGACCAGAGCCGTGTAAGTCGGTTTACGCTAAGCCCAATTGGGAACCCCATAACCCCACCTCAGCAGCTGCATGCGCACCCACTTCGTCACACCGGAACCAAAAAGTCGAGGTGGATGCTGCCATAAATTTTACCGTCGTCGCCAACCATAATTCCGAACTTGACGCCAATATTTCTAGCCCACGTCCAAGAGTCATCGCTCGCGACACCCCTCTCGGAGGGCGCAAATCATTCACTTCCTTTGCTTCTAGCCATTCGTGTGTTTCTGTCATGTCGCTCGGGCTTGTTCTGCGATCGCAAACTGCGGCTGCCTTGTGAGACCCCTCCGAGTCCGAGTCTCAACCACGCCGCCAGCACCAGCTCAACGTCAAGGCCAAGCCACGAAAGCCTCGTCCTTCTCGCACGGCGCGACACCAAGCGACGCTCTACGACTCAACATGATCCACTCGACAGAGGGTCCTGTCAAGCAGCAGCTTGAGGACAAGCTGCCCAAGCGCTTCAAGGGCATCAAGTTTGGCATTCAGTCGAACCAGGACATTGCCAACCAAGCCGTCCTTGAGGTCTCGGACCGACTGCTGTACGATATTGAAAACAACCGAGCTCCATATCGCCATGGGCCTTTGGATCCGAGGCTGGGAACCTCGAGCAAGAGCGGCAAATGCGACACTTGCCATGACTCTCTACAGAACTGTATTGGGCACTTTGGCCACGTCAGATTGCCTCTGCCGGCCTTTCATATTGGCTATTTGCGATTCATCATGTCCATTCTGCAGGAGATTTGCAAGGATTGTGGAAGAGTGTTATTGGAAGAGCCCGAACGGCGGTCCTTCCTCAAGGAGCTGAGACGGCCGATGGACAACCTCCGCCGTACGCAGATTTGCAAAAGAATCAACGAGCAGTGCCGCAAGTCCAAGACTTGCCCCTACTGTGGATCGGTGAATGGCCAGATTCGAAAAATCGGCGTCCTCAAGCTCACGCATGACAAATTTTCCTTTTATAATAAATCTACCGCCGCCAAGAAGGTTCCTCCCGAAAGCAAAGTCAAGTTCGACGACTCCTTCTCCCAAGCAAAGCGCGAGAATCCCGAGCTCGAGAAGCACCTCCGCAAGGCCATGGAGGATCTGAACCCTCTCAGGGTATTGAACCTCTTCAAAATGATAAGCCCAACGGACTGCGAGCTGCTTGGTCTTGATCCAGCCGAGGGACGTCCAGAAATGTTCATTTGGCAATTTGTGCCTGCGCCCCCGGTGTGTATTCGACCCTCGGTGGCACAGGATAATGCCAGCAACGAAGATGATCTTACAACCAAATTGGCCGATATTGTTTGGGTGAGCGGCATGATCCGATCAGCCCTACAAAAAGGCTCTCCCATCCAAACAATCATGGAACAGTGGGAGTACCTGCAGACTCAGATAGCCATGTACGTCAACAGTGATGTTCCAGGTCTGCAGCAGCCAGGATTTGGCAAATCCACCAGAGGTTTCTGCCAGCGATTAAAGGGAAAACAAGGTCGGTTTAGAGGTAATTTGTCCGGAAAGCGAGTCGATTTCTCTGGCCGTACCGTTATTTCGCCCGACCCCAACTTGGGGATCGACCAAGTTGCTGTCCCCCAGCTTGTCGCCAAAAACTTGACATATCCCGAAAAGGTCAATCGGCAAAACATCGAAAAGCTACGCCAATGTGTCCGAAACGGCTGCGATGTGTGGCCTGGAGCGCAGGGAATCCTCAAGAAAGAAGACGACAGTTACTACAAATTCAATCTACGCTTTGGTAATAGAGATTTGGCGGCCAAGCAACTTAGCTATGGCGATATTGTCGAACGCCACCTCGAGGACGGTGACGTGGTGCTCTTCAACCGTCAACCCTCCCTTCACAAGCTCAGTATTATGAGCCATCTCGCCAAGATTCGACCCTGGAGGACATTTCGTCTCAATGAGTGTGTGTGCAACCCGTACAATGCTGATTTTGATGGTGATGAAATGAACCTCCACGTTCCTCAGACAGAAGAGGCGAGGGCAGAGGCTATCAATCTCATGGGCGTCAAGTACAATCTAGCTACCCCCAAGAACGGAGAACCGATTATTGCTGCAACGCAAGATTTCATCACAGCTGCTTTCTTGCTAAGTAGTAAGGATCGATTCTTTGATCGCAAATCGTTTTCATACATCTGCATGCACATGATGGAGCAGGGAACTAAAATCGAGATTCCTCCTCCCGCTATTGTGGCACCAAAGGCCCTGTGGACTGGAAAACAAATATTCAGCATCATGATGAGACCAAACAAGGACTGTTCCGTCAAGATCAACCTTGACGCAAAGTGTCGAGCATACAAAGCGCGCCCCGGGCAATGCCCTGATATGGACCCCAATGATGGCTGGCTTGTTGTTCGCAATTCAGAGGTCATGTGTGGTCGTATGGACAAGTCAACCGTCGGATCTGGAAAGAAGGATTCCATCTTCTATGTTATTCTTCGAGATTTCGGCCCAGACGAGGCAGTTATTGCCATGAATCGGCTAGCCAAGCTTTGCGCCAGAGCGCTCACGAACCGAGGATTTTCTATTGGTGTTGGCGACGTCTTCCCTACAGAGACTCTGAATGTCGAGAAAGAGAACTTGGTATCGACCGCCTATAAGATGTGTGACGATCTTATCGAGACTTTTAAGCAAGGCAAACTAGACAAGGCTCCGGGCTGTAACATGGAGCAGACTCTGGAAAACTCCATCTCTGGTATTCTCAGCAAGGTTCGACAGCAGGCCGGTTCTTACTGTATTGATACTCTGAGTCGAAACAACGCTCCCCTCATCATGGCGCAGTCTGGCTCCAAGGGCTCCGATATTAACGTTGCTCAAATGGTGGCCGTTGTCGGTCAGCAAATTATTGGTGGGCAGCGAGTTCCTGATGGGTTCCAAGACAGAAGTTTGCCTCATTTCCACAAGAACGCTCGCCAACCCCCCTCTAAAGGCTTCGTCAAGAATAGTTTCTACACGGGATTATTTCCCACGGAATTCTTATTCCACGCCATTTCTGGTCGTGAAGGTCTGGTCGATACTGCTGTCAAGACTGCTGAAACTGGTTATATGTCGCGACGACTGATGAAGTCACTGGAGGATTTATCAACTCAGTATGATGACACTGTCAGAACATCAGGAGGTGGCATTGTTCAGTTCCAGTTTGGAGCTGACAAGCTCGACCCTGTTGACATGGAGGGCTCCGCTGAGCCCGTCAACTTTAAGCGAACTTGGAGTCATGCCGAAACACTTACCTGGGATAATGAGGAGGCCGCCATGACCCCCAGCGAAATCAGGGCATTCTGTGACTCCATGCTTGCTGTTGAGCGAAAGCGGTTTCCCAGGCATGGGCTAGCATATGGCGAGAAGCTTGACTACGAAGACACAACGGATTACGGTATTGATGAGCACGAAGGTGCCCGACGCTTCCTGAAGACCATTGAAAACCATGTAGAAGGATTGGCTTCCAAGCTCGAGAAGGTCCGAAAGCTGGCTGGATTTGATGGCGACAAGATGCTCAGGGCCACTGCTCAAGATCATGCTGACCGTACTGCCAAGGTGACGGCAACAACGTTGCGGCTCTTTATCAAGATGTGTCTTGAAAAGTACAAGAAAGCCCACGTGGAACCTGGCCATGCTGTCGGAGCCGTTGGTGCTCAGTCTATTGGTGAACCTGGTACGCAGATGACGCTGAAAACTTTCCATTTTGCTGGTGTTGCCGGTATGAGTATCACACAGGGTGTACCGCGTATCAAGGAAATCATCAATGCCTCCAAGAATATTAGCACGCCGGTTATTACATGCCCTCTGATGAACGATAAACAAATTGAGGCCGCAAGAGTCGTCAAAGGCCGTATCGAAAAGACGTACATCTTGGACGTGCTACATTTTGTCGAAGACGAATGGCGTCCTGACGAGGGCAACGTGGTACTACAAATTGACCGAAGCGCTCTGTCAGACCTACACCTGGGCATTGGTATTTATGACATTGCCGAATCCATCTGCAAACAGCGAAAACTCAAGATTCCTCGGGAAGACCTGTCTGTCTATGGCGAGAGGATCGTCATTCGGGTACGGGATGCAAGTGATATGCCCGCCAGAAAGACGACACGTACCAAGCCAGCCCTCGAGGACAGCGGCGACATGTTACTACGAGCCAACTTCTTGCGTCGCGCGCTCCCGCACGTCCCCATTTCTGGGTATTCGGAGGCTACTCGTGCCATTATTCAAACATCGGAGCAGAACACCCACATGGTGCTTGTCGAAGGTTATGGATTACGCGAGTGCATGACTACAGAGGGAGTCATTGGCACCCAAACCCGGTCAAACAATGTCATGGAGTGTCGTGACGTGCTTGGTATCGAAGCTGCACGAAGCACCATTGCTGATGAGATCAGCCAGGTCATGGGTGACATGGGTATCGACCCTCGACATATGCAGCTTCTTGCCGACGTCATGACGTACAAGGGAGAGGTGCTAGGTATCACGCGATTTGGTCTCTCCAAGATGCGCGACAGTGTATTGCAGCTGGCATCGTTTGAAAAGACGCCGGACCACTTGTTCGAGGCTGCGGCGGGTATGAAGACGGACCAGATTGAGGGTGTAAGTGAGTGTATTATCATGGGACAGACGATGGCTGTGGGCACGGGCGCATTCCAGGTTGTACGACGGCTGGGGATCCGACCGGGGGACATGGCGCAGAAAAAGACACTATTCGAGGATGCGTGGAATTCGGAAGTGAGGGGGAAGAAGAAGGTGAGGAGGAGAGCATAGGGCGCGTCATGCAAGAGTTTGTCGAAAATAAAAACGCTTTTTCAGTATATCAAGTCATGAAAGTCAAGTACAGTCTATCTGAAGGCCATGTCTTCAAGACAGTATTACCGCGAACTCGTCTGCCCCGGCCATTACATCACCCATCACCCATCACTCATCACCTCGTCTCCTCATCCCTCGCTCTTTGTCGTTCTCTTTCCTTGAAAACAACCAACAGCCCCAAATCATAGCAAACCTTCAAGGAACCAGCACACACAAAACTGACCCAGAACAAGTCATGATTTGCCAAGACGCCGGTGATGAGGGGTCCCAGACTTTGCGCACTCGTCTTGACGACATTGACCAGCCCCATGACTGCGGTCCGCTCAGAGGGCAAGAGGATGGCGGCCAGGAAGGCGGAGCGGGGAGCCACGTCCATGGATTGCGTGCACGCGCGGAGGGCCAGCAGAGTGAGGGAGAGGGAGACGTTTGAAGGGAGGGGGAGCAGGGCCAGGAAGACGGACGAGGGGAGGTGTGTGAACACCATGGTCTGTGGTCTTTTGTCAGCTTCGTCTCTCCCGGTGCGGCGTTTCCGGAGCTCACCTTGACGTTTCCGAGGCGTTTGGAAATGGACGAGGCCACGATGACGGAAGCCGCCGAGATGAGAGACGTGACGAAGAAGATGGAGCCCAGGCGGCCCTCTTCAATGCCGAACCGCGAGCGGAAGTAAAACGTCACCCAGGACCTGCGCCGAATTAGCAGCCGACGACGAGGTGCAAGCAAATCATACACCAGGGGAAGAACTTACAGCGGCGCGAGGCCGGAGGCAAACGCATCCAGGCCAAACAGCAGACACAGGGTGGCGGCAATGGCCCTGCTCTCGGCCGTGACGTGCGGCATCAGCGACCTCCACGACCTCCTCTCCGGCGGCGCCTCCCCGGCCGCGGCGAGCAGCGGCTCCGTCTCCGTCCCCGAGGGCCCCCCCTCCGTCGCGGTCTTGCGCTCGGCCTCGACGGCCCGCGACAGGCCCAGCGTCAGCAGCAGCTTGACGGCGCCCAGGCCCGCGTACCCCCAGAAGACGAGCCTGTAGGCCTCTCCCGGGTCCCAGCCAGCGCGGACCAGCGCGTGCGTCACCCAGCCGCAGGACACGATGCCAAAGGCGGTGCCCGCGGTCCCGAGCAGGCTGTACCAGGCGTAGACGTCGCTGCGCTCCTCGCGGGCCGTCAGGTGCGCGACGATGCTCTCCTCGACGGCGCGAAAGGGCCCGATCTCGTTGCCGCTGGGGGAGATGACGCCCAGGACGGCGGCGGCCAGGAGCACCCAGTAGTTGCGGAAGAGGGCGAAGGCGACGCCGCTGAGGGCCATGAGGGCGGCGCCCGCGGCGAGCGTGGCCCTGCGGCCGACGCGGTCCGCGGCCAGGGTGAGGAAGAAGCTGATGACCATGTCGCCGGCGAGGGTGAGCGTCATGAACAGGCCGGACTGGGCGCGGTCGTGGCCCAGCGACTCGAGGTAGCTGACGAGGATGAGGGTCGAGGCGCCGTAGGCGAAGAGGCGCGTGAAGCGCTGCGCCATGAGGAGCCGGATGTCGGGCGCGCACGAGGCGAGCGTCGCGAGGCCCAGCTCGGCGAGGGCGCGGGAGAGGATGCCCGGCATTGTGGGAGCGGGTTGATGCGGGTGCGAGATGGTTTCATGGCGGGCGGGCGGTTGTATTGTACGGTTGTTGTGTCTTTTATAAGGACGTGTAAGTGAGAAATGTGGAGCTGTGAAGTAGGTTTTGAGGCTGCTCGGAGGTAGCCCTTCATGTCCGAGATATTTCCGCACCAGTCGTTGGCCGGCTGTGACGACTGCGATAATAGTAGGTAGGTAGGTAGTAGGTAGTATGATTGATTGTGTTGATTTTTCCAAGGTTGGGCAAAAAATAAAAAAACTAAAAATTACATACAACACTGGGTATTCGCTGGTCGTCACCGACCCAACTACTAATCCAGCGCTCGCTAGGTTATTCAGGGAGATCAGACGGGATCCTAAGTTTTGCTAGCGGCTGTGGTCGTATGTACCTGATGGTGGTGTAATTACATTTATAACCTTTGTTAGGTAGGAGGTTTTACGCCGCCTTGGGAAGCGTGGTTGTGTCTGCTACTGCGAGTAGTACGTTCGATTAAGGTTAAATCTAGTAACAAGGCCCAAAGGATAGCAAAGTTGTCCTGAGGGATTATTTAGTGCCTAGTTACAGACTTACGACAAGTACATGCAGGGCCAAGTGCTTTATTCCACATGTCTTAAATCACACATAATGGCAAGGGCGAGATAAAGTCGACATCTTCTACCCAGGCACCTTGAGATTTATTCATTACGCATCTATACTATTGAATCAAACAAGGACAAAGAAGCGGACTATAGATTCAACGTGTCGGCATGAAATCCATCATCTCATAGTTTCGCAACCAGCTTCGTCTGCTTCCGACGCTTCCAAACATGGACAAACCCAAAACATAAGTGTACTAGGACGGGCCATCAGCGGATGAATACAATGTAGCCTCGGACAGCAGACACTTTCTAGTACGGCCGTGGCATGTTCTTTAACACTGATGGCGCAGTATAGCGCGCATCGTCGCATATAGGAAGACGCCGGCGTCAGACGAGCTGGCATTAGGTTCGACAGGTAAAGTTACAAGGTGCAACACGTGGTTTCTAATCGATTCTTTTCATTTTCCTGGCACGGGGTATAAAGCTTCAAGGTGCCCGCCTTTGGAGCAGCATCAACACTTACCAGAACAATCATAATTAGACTCAAGCACTCAAACACTCAGCATTCAATCATTCAATCATTCCAGCATCCAAGCACTCACACATACACACACTCATATTCTCACATACCCATATTCTCAAATTTGCACGCTGAAATATCCAAACGAGCAAAACATCGCGCACGACGCACGATCACATACCACCAACCCATCACACATCATGCGCATCTTTTCCAATATCGCAGCCCTTTGCTGGTGCGCTTACGGGCTTATAGTCATTGATACCACATCAAATGCCCCTCCTTCATTGGGATTTTTCGCCAAAGTCCGCTACTACCTCTTCCGTCCACGAGTATTCCATTGGTTCGTGCGTTCCACGGCCTACATGACCATAGAGACTGGAATCAGGTGTCTTGAAGATTGGAGACTACCAAATAAAACAGAAGCCCACCCCATCGTTTTTCTGGTTCTCTATATCTTGGCAGTTCTCTTGTCAACGGTGGAGTTGATTGCAAAGGGGCCATGTTTCAAGGAAATTGCGAAAGAGGCATGCCTGGATTGGGCCAAAGAAAACGATCCTGACATGTATGCGCTCCTTTGTGCTAGGGACGCCGAAACGGCAAATCAAACGAAAAATTAATGGCCCCGGATACCATGGGATTATGAGATTAATTTGCGTCGTCGCTGCAAGCCTTGTGGGCATGGCGACTGTCGCCCTTGCGTGATTTCGGGATATAAGTCGGTAGGTGGAGGAGAGTTGACGCAATATTTCATGGTGGAATCTCGCTGTGAGGATTTAAAGCATCTATGGACTACTTTGATAAAGCACCAATTCTATCATTTGGCTCTGTGAATGAAAGCTGTTTCCGCTACTGAGTGTATCTCTACTTCCCAGCCCTCTGTGCTCTTGCTTTAATGCTCGCTCGGTGTCACACGGGGTTCACCCGGGATCCCTCGCGATGTTCGGCACGGACCGCCCAAAGGCTCCCGTGATGAGTGTTAGTCCTAGACGGTGTTGGTCATAATGTTTGGCCGGATATTGGTTACACAACATGGTCACGAGGGAGGTATTGACGCCTTGGGCTCGTAGGAAGCCAACGGTATAAATGGAAGCCCTTAGGGAGGAAGGATGAGACTGAAACCAAGGCCCTTTGGCACCCTAAGAGATTATCTTGGAATTGAGTCCTTTCTCCAAGCCCTTGTCACACTCGGCCATAATGGCCTACAAGCTATGGAGAGCAATGAGGTCGATATGGAAATAGACACTAGGCCAGTAGATTATCAAGATATATATTTCGCATCTTGTGAATAGCATGAAAGTTCTAGGATGTCGTCGCCGCCTTCATAGACGTGTAATCCTGGTTCACCCACATCTGCTGATGTATCGTGATATCCGAAGATGATGATGCTAAAGATGATAGCGATAACGGCGTTTGGCGTGAAGATGCTAGTTTGTATATTCTATGACCAAGAAACCTGCTCTAAAAAACAAAATGAAATTATCCAACCACACATCTGAGGAATCCCAACAACAACATCCCCCATCTATATAAACGATGACCACACTGTAACATTCTGTCGCTTGAGCCCAATACAATTGTCCAACCCACACCAAGCGAATACTAGTCAGAACCAATCGCCACCATTGACTCAAGTCAAAAACCAATCCAATCCTTCAATGAAGGACTTTGTACCATCCAACACAGCCAACCAAATCACCATTCAGGGTAGTCACGTCGTCTCCGAGCGTATCCCAGACATCTGCAGTGTCGACCTTGGAGTTCTCCCGAGAAGTATTTCCAGCGTTCTCCAAACTGCTACGTTCCCATGTCAAGGACCAAGACAGAGCGAGAGGAATTGCAGAAGCACCATACGGGGTTTCGTAGACACTAAGTGCAAGAGAGCAGCAATATAAAAGTATGACAATGAAAAAGACGAACAGAAAGGATAGCCATATTTTGAAGGGGCTGCTCGGGCCGTTTCGGGCTTCAACATCGCCTGTACTGATCAGACGCGCAACAGCCAACTCCAGCCAAGGTCTCTGGTGAGGACTAGTCTGAACATGAGGATTTCGTCATGTGAGCTGGGAGAGGGTCCAAGGGATTGTCTTTGGAGTGATCGTGAGCCGCAAGAGTTTTTTCGGTAAGCCCAAGTGCACGTAGGTTTTCGTTGAGATAGCCATGACGATCATCTATCAAATGAACCGAAAAGACCTAAAATTTCAATAAGTGTTGGGAGGATATTCTTCAGTATGCAGTGGACCAGAAGGAAAGAGTGATGGTTATACTAACAAGACACGATGGATTGCAAGAGGGGTCCGTCGGTACTTCTGGCCCAACTGCTAGAGGGCGACTGATGCGTATAGAGCCCGGATGAGGATGATAATGGCCCCAAAGGCACGAGACGAGGAAGGCTGAATGGACCCGAAGGTCCAATGGATTGCAAGAGGGGTCCCTGGCTGGACCAAGGCGAGGGTACCAGGGTTGTCGCGGAACCGTCCGTCATCCCGACTGGAAAGGCTTACCGGTGTCCTCCTTCTGGCACATTGCCGGCCAAAGTGTCAAACACAAACCTCCGAAAAGGTTCATGTTCCATCGCAATATGCAAAGCCCTAAAAAGGGCCTGCAATTGCTCCGGCGTGAACACAATGACCGCCGCTGTGGCCATAAGGAGAATCCCGATAAATGCCCGCCAGAAGGTCGGAAGGGATTCCAATGCCGTATTAAACATCTATTGCACGGTGACATTAGCAGGGATGACTATATCAGACGGATGTAGCAGAGAGGAAAACAAAAAGTTGCAACACTTACTATCTGAATTTTTTTTGAAAAAAAAAAAAAAAAAGCGCTGCGTTTCCAGAAAAAAATTGTAGGATATTGGAGGGGCCGGCAAAGAGAAAAGGAAAAGAAAAGAAGCAAAAGAGAAATCGAGCAATATTTCTTGAAAAGGTGCCTTGCCGCTATCCTCGTTCTTGCCATTTGGAACTTGGATTGCAAGCTTTGAACGTGCAGTTCTGTAAAAGCAGGCAGGTGCGGCCCTCAGGCTGTGATATCGGAGCTGCCAAGGGAAAGTTACAAACATGCTTGGTACTGGCCAACACGAATCACACCGGTTTTCTACGCCAATCTGCCCATGTGTACATAATGACATTTAAAAATTGTCACTCAAGTCAAAGACACGCTTCCCACCTGTCTACCTTGTCCTGCGACCAGAACCAGCTGATAGAAGCAAGAGAAAGATTTGTTCAGCATCGGTCTGGAATTGGGCCATGTTCAACCGTCAAGTCGAGTGTAAAACCTTGCCAGAATTATCAAAACGTTTGGACGGACAAGTGAATTTCTCCTTTTTTGGACGAACAGGATAAGTTCTCAGAGATGGAAAGTAGTTCTCCATTCATTCATGGCTGCGACGCCTGCAATAATCGTGTGACTGACTGACTGACTGTCTTGATTTTTCCACGGTTGAGCAAAAAATAATAAATAACTAAAAAAATTACATACAACACTAGGTATTCGCTGGTCGTCACCGACCCAACTACTAATCCAGCGCTCGCTAGGTTATTCAGGGAGATCAGACGGGATCCTAAGCTTTGCTAGCGGCTATGGTCGTATGTGGAAGACAAGGCAGTTTATCCTGCCTATGAATCACAGCTATGAGCTCGACACGAGTCAAATAACGTTGGGATGAGGTATTGAGCATGTTGGGGATTTGGAAAACGGCGACGAATGAGAGGATTGGTAATGTCCTGACATGGAACGGTCATGGGGATGGAGTTGGCAGTAATTGGTCCGCAGTGGTCTTGGCTAATTCTAAGAGACAACGAATACTCTGCCTCCCACTATCGACCGGCCGCAGCGAATGCATTGTCTTTCCTAGTCCTAGTCGAAATTCTACCACAAAAAGGCACTCTTGGCCGGTGCTGGCTCTGCTGAGGTAGTGAACAAGAAGAGCTCTTTTCGCCTTCTCTAGACCGGATTTTCATCATCGGCTTCCCGCAAGCTCTGGTGACGGTCGTATAGGGTAAGAGCTTGACCAGTTTGCCTTGTATCTGCGCAACGGCCATGTGGGAAATCCTGGGCATCAAGTTCAACTTCAGAGTCGGAAACAGAAAATGAGATTATGGCTCGGCAGATTGATGTTTTTGGTGACCAGTAGGCGTCACAAGTTTACATGTGCAACAAGTCCTCAACCAGATCAGGTCTCTGGTTACCACGCATCATCAAGAGTCCAACGAGGTTAACTGGATGGGACCGCTTTGTCCCCGAATAAACTAGCTCCAGCGAACAAGTCTCTCAACATCAGTTTAGCGACGCACAGTCCCTATAGTCTGACAGGTGCATCTGCCCTTATATGCGGAAGCGCTCCACCGAGCTGAAGAGGCTTCATCACCCAGTTTAACTTGTTGACAGCAAAGCCACATCTTGTACAGTCATCAAACTCTGTGCTGTCGGAGGGCTCCCCTGAACAAGTCAATGCTAAACGAGGAATTGGTGCTCATGGAAATTGGCTCAATGGAAACTAGACAACAGTTGATATGTAATAGCAATATGTTGCCCGAAGAGCTTGTCCACGCTCGACCCGGGCCCAGCAGCAAATTGTGCTGTTGAAGCAAACACGAAATACGATGGCGGACAAAGGCAGAAGTTAGCCTGCTGCCTCGGCTGGGCGTAATTTCCCATTGTCCAAAAAAGGGGAACGTCTCTACGCCAAATCACATTGGTCCGAATGTCAAAAAGGCACAAACCACCGCGGGCAACATAACGTCTTGACTTTTCAATCTTCTCCACAATTCGCATCAGCTCGCCGCTTGGTGACCCTCCATCAACCAAGTGCCCCTGCATTCGAGGTAAGGCTGACCCGGCAGTCGCCAGGTTTCGATTGCCTCTCTGGAACAGGGCAGACTGGCCGTCAGGGCTGAGACGGAGTCGCGCAGGCGAGAGGGACGAGCGGTATCCAACTCGGCTGGAAACATGGACGTCCACGGAGGACTATTGCATATACATATGGCATACCAACGTACAATGCCCACCTGCTGACCGTGGCTGTCAAACACGAGGCCATGTATGCGAATGCCATGGCTCAAAGGATCGACTAGCCTCCAGACCAATTTCCACTACTTCGCCACGGGGAAGAAGTAATAATAGCAGTCTTGAAGCACAGCACCGTTCCCGGCACAGCATTACCGGGAATGGCCCTTGAGCAAAGCCCCGGTATAGAGTGCGGCTGGAAAACCTGGCGTCGAGCTAGGCGTGGCATGGCTTGCACCGCAATATCGCCAACCGAGCACACTGACTACGTGTGGTGCCTGCTTTGGCCCTGTCCGGGGTAAAAACACGCCGTGTTTCCAAGTAGTTTGTGAGGATGGCTGTTCGACTTACACGCTTTGTTAGGGCGGCGGCCTCGTCAAGGACAAGCTGGGGTTGTGCAAGTCATGGCTCATGCTCCGTAGATGGAAATATCCACCGCTAGGCTGATCCTGTTTTTCCCTTCTTCCGGGAGTAAACTCTGAGCCGACACGCCCCGTGTATTTGGCAGTTTGGGTGCAAAAATGACAAACACCGAGGATATATCAAGACACCGCCACGTCCCGTCAAGAGGAATACCACACCCCTCCACGGACGATGCCATCTAGTGATTTCCGCTTCGGACCCCCGAGCCAAGTTTCCGGTACGCCATAGCCTGTCTAGCACGGCAGAGGCAGAGGCAGAGGCAGACACGCTGGCAGTCCAAACGGCGGACCCCATGGTGTTGAGCTGCTCCCGGCCCGGACCCCTATATAAAGTCCGTCTTCCCCCCGCAACGACGACAGCTCCCCCTTTTTCTTTCCTCCTACCCTATAATACTTAACACCATCCTCTCTCCCATAATTGCTTGCGGGCTCCGTCGCCAAGATCCCCCCAACCCACCACGATGCAGACCAAGACCGTCCTCGCCGCCCTCGCCGGCACCGCCTTCGCGGCCAACCTCCAGCCCCGTCAGACTGATCTCGGCGCGGCCACCCAGTGCCTCGACCTCCTCAAGACGATTCCAACCCCGCCCCCCGACCTGGTCAAGGAGTGGACGACCAACCCCCCCAAGGACTACTGCTCCATCTCCATCCCCGCCAGCCTCAGCAAGGACTGGTCCAGCTACACCTCGTCGGCCTCGTCCTGGGTCAAAGCCCACTCCAGCGACCTGGCCAAGTGCCCCGGCGCCGGGCAGGTCACGGCCAAGGGCCCCCTCGACTGCAAGGCCGGCAGCGGCAGCGCCACCCAGGCCACTGCCACCAGCGGCTCTGCCACCGGATCTGCCACCGGGTCTGCCACCGGGTCTGCCGCCGGCGCCAGCCAGACTACCAAGACTGGAGCTGCTTCCCGCGAGACCGGTATGGCCTTTGCTGCCGTTGCCGCTGCCGGCTTCGCCCTGGCTGCCTTGTAAAACGGGGATGGAAAGATGATCAGCGGGGATGGGGCGTGGCAGCGGGTGACTGAGAGGATGGCGTTGTATTTTCCGGTTATGGGTACTGTATTTTATGCCCAGTATGTAAATATAAGAAGGGGAGCGTGGTAGGGGGGCTGAATTTACCGTCTTGTCGGGATATCGGAGAGTTTCTGATGCACTTGATCACTTGGTGAGCGCTGAACAATGGGACAGGATTTGAGAATCAGTTGTACTAGTGCTAGTGACCTGACGGGTTATCAATGTATCAAATGCGGTATCAAGTGATAATAAAGGCGGGGTATTGTATTTCGTCTTCTAAATCACAGGGACAGCAGCTGTTTTGCGCACTGGCCAAGCTTCAATTTCGTCATGCTGTAAGCGAATAACGCGTCAACGGGCCTTGCCACCTAAGAAACATTTAATAAATGCATTAATGAGAGCTAGACGTCTCCCTAGGTGGATAACAAGTGTAATCAAGTAGCCATTACAAGACACGTGCAAGTAGAGAAGGATCTGTTCTAGGATCCTGTTGGGCTAAACACTCTCAAGCTGTAGTCTGCTTCACGGCCAATCGCTCACTTGTCAACCAACGCCTCGAACGAGGGCATCCTTTTGGAGCCAGCGGAATAGGAGTCGTGAACAAGCATCGACTCGGGTACTCTCAACCAAACTATGGTGTATGAGCCCATCATCTTTCCCTTGCGTTGCAATACATCATCACACACGCTGGCACCTTGCTGGAATTGTCCGTTTTAACTTGTTGCATTACGTTGAATCATCCCATGCCACCACAGCGGGCACACCAGGACTCTATTGACCTTTTTCTGCCACTGCATCTAACAAAAAGAAATTCATACGATCATTTCGCCTATTTGAACCCCTCCTTTTTACTCCTCTTCCTCGCCCTCTCCCTCTTCCTCCGCCTCTGCCTCCGTTTTCTCTTGCTTCTCGGTCCCAGCTTCGTCGTGCTCGCCGTTTGTTTCCGCCAAATTATTCGCTGCCGAGCCGCCCTCAGTCTCAGCCTTTAGCCACGCATCCCATTCAGGGAACAAGTCACCGTCATCCTCGGGAACTCCAACAAGTTTCGCTACTCGGCCCTTCTTAGACTTCTCCAAACTCTCTTTCCAGTCCTTCACAATGGGCTTGGTCAAGCTCGGCTTGTATGTTTGTGAGAAAAGAACAGCCTCGGCCAGTCGTCCCGTCTTGGTCAAAATGTCCGCGCACTGGTCGACGTCACCCAAGAGCCATGAGCAAGAAAACGCAATGTTGTGAGAGTTCGCTTCCTGTGCTTGCTTCGCAAGAGCTGCCAGGCCTTCCCTGTCACCAGTAGATGAGTGGAGGAGAAGCAATGAGCCCAGATCCTTGGCGTGAGTAAAGCACTCGGCGGCCAAAGCCACATCCCATGCGGCCAGGGCAGAATCTCCCACTGTCTTCCACTTGTGCTCCACATCAGCAGCGCGGGCCAGCTCCAGGGCCGTATCCAGCTGGTTCAATGCCAGTGCAAGATCAAACTTGTGCTCAGGGTCCGTGGCAACTTCCAACGCCAGCTCCTTGTGACCCTGTCCCTCGAGGAATCTCGCAATCTTGTTAAGCTGATCGTTGGGAATGGTGGGTAGCAGCTCGGCAGCCGTTTCCATGTCTTCTCGAAGAACCAAAGTCTGGTACTCAAGAACGGGAAGTGAGAGGCCAAACGATGTGACGTTGACATCCTTGTCGGCCAAATAGATTTTGGAGTCTCGCTGGATGTAGCCCAGGATATACATGGGCTTGTCAAAATGTGATACGGTGTACGTCTGGTCGCCAACCAAATAATTCAAGCGGTTGGTGCTGTTAGTGTAGAGGAAGCAGTCTCCAACCCATTCACCAGTTCGGACGCTGTAATTCAATCATTAGCCACCCTGGGTCCTCTTCGTTTGATTTCAAGTCCAGACTTACGTTTCGCTAATGTCAGTAATGACCTCGAAAGCCGACTCAACCCCGTCATCCTCTATCTGGCCGGACTGGACAGCTTCGATATAGCTTTCTCGAGAAAATCTCAGGACATAGCAGCTGTCTTCGCAAGCAATGGCAACCAATTCTCCACTCTCTGACCAGTAAACATGTTTTGGCTCGACTTCAATTCTTCGCACCAAGCCACCAGTTGCCCAGTCAAAGAATGAGATGCCACCCTGGCCAGTAACACCCAGAAGAATGCCACCGGTAAGACCATCAGCCTGGAAGCCGACATCGAGACCGCCGCTCTTTTCAACAAAATTTTTGTAAAGTTTGACACTCATTGCTGACTCGCGAATGGCAAAGTCGTTGCTGTTCTCCTTGGAGCCCCAGACAAAGTCCAAGGCAGATCCGAACGCCTTGTTGCGCCATGCTAGAGCTGTGTAGATGATATACTCGCCATCGCCACAAACTGCGACAAAACGGCCGTTTGGCGAGTGAATCAAAGTCTGAGGGTATACTTCACAAGTTCCAAGGTCCTTGGTGGGGAGCGAGATGGGATCATTGTCCTTGAGGGAGGCATCTCCCTTGATGATGGAAGACACGACCTCGTTATGTCTGGCCCAGATAAGCTTGCCAGACGCATCCATAGAGACAGCAGGCTCCTCTCGGCCCAGTTTGACCACGACAGCACCATCGTCGTAGCCGACAGCAATTCCTTGCTTGCCCTTCTGGTAAGAGACACACCAAGCGCGCTCCAGGCTGTAGTTCAACGATTGCTCGAATCGATAGGTGTTGGCATGCCAGATTCGGATGGTCCCGTCCTCGGAACCGGAAACGATGACGGGAAGTTCTGGGTGGTAGCAAGCAAAGGAGACATTGTTGGTGTGGCCTTCGAGCGTGGCAATCAGGGACTTGGTGGTGTAGTCCCAGACCTTGACAGTTCGGTCGTCAGAAGTAGTGAGAAGATAAGGCTTGTCGGAGTGAGGGTAGTAGTCGACGTGGTTCACGCCCTTGCTCTCGTGAGCTTCCAATGTGAAGTTGGCGGTTGACGAGCCCAAGCTCCATATCTTGACAGTTCGGTCCAAGCACGCAGAGGCAAAAGTATTTGTATCCTTGGGATTGATGGCAATACCCATGACATAGTGGCTGTGGCCCTCAAACACCTGAACACACTTCCAACCCTTGTCCCAGTCCCAGAGCTTAATCGTCATATCGTCGGAGGCGGTCAAGATGAAGGGAAGAGTTGGATGAACCGCGATTGCGCGAATGTAGTCGGGGTGAGCCTCGAATTGGGCCACTTTTTCCGACGTGTTGTAATTGTAGACGCGTATTTGGAAATCATCTGAGCCGCAGACAATCCAGTTCTTGCGTGCGACGAATCGACCAGCTCGAACAGGTACCTCGGTAAGCTCGAAAGTCTTGACCGTTTGTTGAGTCTCATACGACCAAATGTAGACATGGCCTAGAATTCGGGAGAAGAATGAGTATACACAAGTTCGGGGGAGACGACTAGTCGTGCCTATATGGGGGTTAAATGCCTACCGCTGTAGAGTGTGGTGAGGATCCATGGCTCCTGGGGGTGGAAGTCGACGCCTTTCACTCGCTCACTGCGAGCATACAGCTGACGCTATAAACAACACAATTCCAGGTCAGCGATTTTTGCTCCTGCGTCTGTGGCCTATTCCGAAAAGATGATTTCTGGCCGCGAGAGGCGGTGGAAGCGAGGAGTGAACCAGTGAGCTCAAGGCCTAGCTTTTGGCGCCCGCAGAAGAGGACCATTACAGTATTTAAACAGGCAACTAACCTTGACGTCGAGCTTCATGATGCCAATATGTATCGCACACGATCAATGGCTGTCGCCAGGGTCGAAGCAGTCGGCAGGGACGAGGAAGTTGTGTCGCTGGCGGGGTGGAAAGGACGGAGTTGTTGGTATCGTGGCAGCCACCATGCGAGTGTATGGACAATGCGTGATGAGAAGAGTTGGCGCAATTTATTCAAGGGGTCGTAACGGCAGGACTCGCGCGGAGATAGTAGGATGGCGCTGCGGCATCGACAGAGTGGCAGGTTGGCAAATCGGCAGCGGGCGCAGACGATGCTCGAGTTGGCAGCGAGACTACGTTTGGCTCGAAGTCGAACAAGGGAGCTTCGTCGAAAATGTGTCCAATGTGTCCCAGCCGTTGTCACACTGGCTGATCGCAATACGTTGTGCCAGCCTGGCACCTGTGCATGGACCAATGAGATCGGGTTCCCTGGGCCTGGAATGTCAGGTATCAACCCCCTTTTAGCGGGGAGCGACCTCAACCACCTGAGCTGAGCGTCTGTCTATTACGCACTCCGGTCATGCAGTCAAGTTACCTAAAGTTACTGGAGATACTTCACTCGAATATTAATAACATCCAATCTGCTGTTGCAGGATGCGATCGGCTTTGATTCTGAGGGCCGTGTAACCAATTGATGTCATGTTGGGCACAAGTGGCTTCTATGGCACTCACCGTGATTTCCCATGTCCGTCCGTACGAAAACCCCTCGTGAATCTAGATGATGAGAAAAATAGGCCGTATCCGGCCCCAGAGGTAATAATCTCCTGTCGGGTGTAGCTTCAAGCATCAAGATCGGAACTTCACTGTACTCATGAGCTGGCGGTCTAGGGTAGTGCGATATCCGCGTTCCCCTTACACTCTGGAAGCATGCTTTACGTAGGGTCAGCCGTGTCATATGTCCCAAGAAAAGCATGCAAGGCCGTGAAGCCAATGGCGTAGTCATAGTTCTTTCTCGAGACACACTCAAACCCGACATACATATCGCCTCGTTCAGGGGTTTGGTCATCGCGGTCCCGCTCGAGATGACCCAGTGCCACGTTCGTGCAAGACCTCGGACAAGAGTATGCGCACTGTAGACAGAGTACCAAACAGTAGTGATACAGGGGAGGAAAGACGTTGGCCAATGTGCGAATTACAAAGGCAAAGGTAGTTCCATATCCACGTGCTGCGCCATCTTCGGTCTGGGCATTGACAGCATTGACGGCATTGATAGGCGCTGCCCTCCAACATGAACAGCCATCGCGAGACGAGACACGACACTCCAGCTGGCCAGGAAGCTGCTTCGCCTCATTTGATTACCCAAGCCATTATCTGGTGTGCACTACGTATCCTCCGTGCTAAGTAAGTCACGGGCCACTGCGTCGGCGCAGTCAACTTGACGCTTGACGACTTGACGAGTCAATTCTAAAGTTGGCACGCTGCAGCGCCGGGGTCGCCTGTCAATGCCCCAAGCATTACGAACCACGGCCTCGCCTCTCGACATCTTTTCAGTCAAGTATTAAATAAAGTTTGGTTGCTCGTACATTGAAAACTCCTTGACGTGCCTGCGCCATTTCTTTCCCTCCCCCCCTCTATTGTCTTCTGGATTGTACGGATTCCTCTTCTCCGCCTCTCGAGTACAGAAGAACTACCACCGCCAGTGTCCAATACCCGCAAACATTGAAACCAGTGGCTTTGCCCGTCACCACCAAGCGTAGAGTCTAATAAGACCAGACCGGGCCGGACCAGTCCACTTGTGCTGAACATTCAAGTGCTCAAGCGCCCCAAGTGTTCACTTGCCCGCTCCAGTCAGCGACCGTCTTGAGCAAGGGCCGTCTGGTGTCTGCGGGGTTGCGGGAGCCTCTGTCTCCAGTCTGCTTCTGTCTCTGGCTGTGGTGCAGCAATCATCTGGACCGTCCGCCAAACCACTCATCCAGTCCACATCAGCGTCGGCCTTTCCTCCCTACTCCGTCCAACCAGTATTCCACCCACGCCTTCGCCTCCGTCTCCCGCCATCAGCAACCCGGCTTGTCTGCAGGCCCTTGACCTTCTCACTCCAGCTGGTGGCCGAAGATTAGACTCGCCCCCGATTTCTACGCCTAGGGCTCCTTCAGAGGATACCCTTCCCACCAGACCAACTCTCAGATTCTGTCTTACACTCTCGACACCGCGAGACAGACCTTGTCCGACCCCGACGAGTGCTGATATCCACGCCGTGATAACTGCCATGTCTTGGAAGCTCACTAAGAGTTAGTATCTCCTCCAACGCATTCCATGCTTGGGGAATTGAAGTGCCACCCTTTTGCTCGTCATGCAACACCTCCCGACGTCATCCGTTTGAATCCCTTTCGGACCAAATGCTTACCATGGCTACAGAGCTCAAGGAGACCCATTTAGGGACTCTGAGCCCCTTTGCTCGATCGCCGTCCACCTCGACCATCACGGAGAAAGATGACAAGACACCATCAGCCTCCGGCGCCGTCACTCCGACCACAGAGAGCGCCATCGGTAAGCAGTGACAAGCCGCTTCCCTTTGATCCAACTTCATGCCCTAATATGCACCCGATCCAGCCGCTTCAGAAGCCATGGCTCAGGCACCCGTCGTCACACCACCGAAGCCCGGCATTTTGGTTGTAACACTCCACGAGGGCCAAGGATTTTCATTGCCAGAGTCACATCGAAACGCCTTCACCTCACAGCATCAAGGATCGCTATCTACCAGCAATGCGGCGTCTAGCGTTGCCAGCTCTGTTCGGCCCTCATCTTCTCAACGAGTCGCCGGATCGTTTATAAACGGATCTGCCCGACCACACTCGTCAGCAGGAGGGTTTGGAGGCATTCCCACCAAACACGGCCGTATTTCGGGCAAGTATATGCCATATGCCCTTCTCGATTTCGACAAGGTCCAGGTGTTTGTGAATTCGGTCGACGGCAACCCCGAGAATCCACTCTGGGCAGGCGGAAATACTCAATACAAGTTTGACGTTTCGCGAGTGACAGAGCTCGTCATTCACCTCTACTTGAGGAATCCCAGTGCAGGCCCTGGGGCCGGTCGCAGTCAAGATATTTTCTTGGGTGTTGCCAGGATCAACCCGAAATTTGAAGAGAGGCATCCCTACGTCGAGGACCCCAAGGCGAGCAAGAAAGATCGAGAGAAGGCGGCCGCTGAACACGCACAACGCCACAAAGGTGACGGCCACAGCGGCGTCGAGTGGGTTGATATCCAATTTGGCACTGGAAAGATCAAGGTTGGTGTTGAATACGTCGAAACCCGCGCGGGTAAACTCAAGATTGAAGACTTTGAGCTGCTCAAGGTAGTCGGAAAGGGCAGTTTTGGCAAGGTCATGCAGGTTCGCAAGAAAGATACGAATCGTATCTATGCCCTCAAGACTATTCGAAAGGCACACATCATTTCCCGATCTGAAGTTGCTCACACTCTAGCTGAGCGGTCTGTGCTGGCGCAGATCAATAATCCTTTCATTGTACCTCTTAAATTCAGTTTTCAGTCGCCTGAGAAGCTGTACTTTGTCCTTGCTTTTGTCAACGGCGGAGAGCTATTTTACCATTTACAGAAGGAGCATCGTTTTGATGTAAACAGAGCTAGGTTCTACACGGCGGAATTACTTTGCGCCTTGGAATGTTTACATGGATTCAGTGTTATTTACCGCGATCTTAAGCCTGAGAATATCTTGCTTGATTACCAGGGCCACATTGCGCTCTGTGACTTTGGTCTTTGCAAGCTCGATATGAAGGATGAAGACCGTACCAACACCTTCTGTGGCACTCCCGAATACCTGGCCCCGGAATTGCTCATGGGCAAGGGATACAACAAGACAGTTGACTGGTGGACACTCGGGGTTTTGCTGTACGAGATGTTGACGGGTCTGCCGCCATTTTATGACGAGAACACCAACGAGATGTACCGCAAGATTCTATCCGAACCGCTCCACTTCTCTGATATCGTACCCCCGGCTGCCAAAGATCTTCTCGTCAAGCTCTTGAACCGAGACCCCGAAGAGCGTCTAGGTGCCAATGGCTCTGCTGAGATCAAAGCACACCCCTTCTTCCATGCTATTGACTGGCGCAAGCTGCTGCAGCGCAAGTACGAGCCTACATTTAAGCCCAGTGTTGTAAGTGACAACTCCACCAAAAAAACAACTTCAAAATCCCTGCGCTGTACTCTATGAATCACTCCGAACTCCGACTAACTAGTCGCAGGCTGACGCCTTGGACACTATTAACTTTGATCCGGATTTCACTAGAGAGGCACCCCAGGATTCATATGTGGAAGGACCAATGTTGTCACAAACCATGCAAAACCAGTTCCAAGGGTTTAGCTACAATCGGCCGATTGCTGGACTTGGAGATGCCGGCGGCAGTGTGAGCGATCCGTCGTTTGTGGGCAGTATTCAAGATCAACGATAAAAAATGATTCTCGATACATCCAAATTAAGCGAGCATATAGCGGGAACGCGATGTTGCATCACGGCTTCGAATGATTCCGATACTGTCAAGAAAAGGAAATGGACGATTGACGAAGCCTGAAGTTATGTATACAGAATAGAGCGAGAAGCCAGTCCAGAGAGGAGGGGCAGACGTTGCCACATACTTGGCATAAGAGTAAAGATGAACGACTTTGCCCAAGACCCTTTTTATTTTGTACCCCCTTTTTTTGTTTCGGCAAAAGGTATCATGACCATGCATTCGGAGTTTTGGCGGGCATATGCACTCAGCCTGTTTTAGAGAAAAAGGGTTGTTTGTCAAAATGCCTTTGATTCCTCCTTTATTGTTCACATGACTTTGGCCACTCTCGTTTCCTTTTCACACTTGTTATTTATACTACTGCACCAACGGAGAATGCGCACTTTATGGTGAGCAGTCACATCACCTAGTTAGATTATTTTAAACATCACTACGTTGGAAATTAGGAAATTCAGCTGCCAAGACGGATTACGAGTTGTAAAGAATGTCACGATGTGCTAAAAAGGTGCTGTAGCAGGGGGCTTCGTGACAATTGATGACATATCCGTAGCAAGCGAATGGTCAGGGCACAGGTCAGCATGATTGAACATCAAGCGAGACAGAAACAAAAACAGACTTAGCGTGAGAAGCGGCAAGATGATACGTGGGCATGTTACAGGGCCGAGAGCGACGAATTTCACTCATGAGGATCAGGGCGCGCGAATGAATGAATCAAGGTCCACGAATGCGTTTTTCAAGCCCCGCATGGGCAGGAGAGCTGTTGGCTGGCCCCGCTCCTTCCTTGGTTCTAAAGTCCAAGACGTAATTGCGGCAAGTCCGGCCGCAGAAAGGTTACCCCTCCCCCTCCTCAGGTCCCTGCTGGCTTTAGCTCGCCAGTGGTTGCACTTGCCGTGGCTCAGATAAGAATCCAGTCAGCATCACCAAGCAATTCGCCAGAGTGGACGAGAGCTCCACAGAAGCTTTGCCAGCTGCGGTACTTATTATTTGGCGACCATAATATCGATCCTCGCTCCCGACTCTTGTCAAGTCCATTTTGCATTGCAACAAACGCACCCCCGCTCGAAGTCGTTCCCCATTGAAGAAACCTGATCATTGTCGACCCTCTTGGTAAGTTGGAAGTAGTATCTGTTTTTGGACCCCCCTCGAGGTGTAAAGGATGTTGATACGGCCGGTATACCGATACCTCCGTGGCAGCCGGATCCGTCGTCTTTGTACGTCACAACCAAGGCTGGTCTGATTCATTCATGTGGCAAGCTATATAACCCGGTTGGACGGATTCTGGATCCTGCCTCGCATTTCTTTGGCTTGTGCTGCAATCCGATATTGTTTCCCTTGACTAATCGTTACCTTGGGCCGTTCCATATAGACTCTTAACATCTTTCATTTTCTTGATCAAACCTTCAACCACCACCAGCATGGCCCCCGCCAATACGCTGCCCGCTTGGGCCGAGCTTCAAGCTCACCGTGACAATGTCGGCAAAAACTTTGTTCTCAAAGAGGCCTTCGCTTCTGATCCGGAACGATTCTCTCGCTTCACTCGCACCTTCGATTCTAAGGGCGTTTCGGCCGAGATCCTCTTTGACTTTAGCAAGAACTTCTTAACTGAAGAGACCCTCGACTTGCTGGTCAAGCTTGCTGAGCAGGCTGGCGTGGAGAAGAAACGAGATGCCATGTTTGCTGGAGAGAAGATCAACTTTACGGAGAAGCGTGCCGTTTACCACACTGCTTTGCGAAACGTCGGCGGCTGGGACATGAAGGTTGATGGCGTGGATGTCATGAATGCCCCCGGCGGTGTCAATGATGTTTTGAAGCATATGAAGGAGTTCTCGGAGCAGGTCCGAAGTGGAGAGTGGAAGGGTTTCACCGGCAAGAAGCTGACTACCATTGTCAACGTCGGTATTGGCGGCTCTGACCTGTGAGTATTCCCTCTCAAAAAAAAAAAGCTGAGCAGGCAATCGCTCTGGCAGCTTTTGCCTATGACGGACCTGAAAGCTAACCTATGGTTGCTCATAGTGGCCCTGTCATGGTCACAGAAGCTCTGAAGCACTATGGAGCTGATGACATGACTCTTCACTTCGTCTCCAACATTGATGGAACTCACATGGCTGAGGCTCTCAAAAATTCTGATCCTGAGACCACCCTCTTCCTTATTGCCTCCAAGACGTTTACCACTGCTGAGACAACAACCAATGCCAATACTGCCAAGACCTGGTTCTTGGAAAAGACTGGAAACAAGGGTGAAATTGCGAAGCACTTTGTCGCTCTTTCCACCAATGAGCCTGAAGTCACCAAGTTTGGAATCGACAGCAGGAATATGTTTGGGTTTGAGAGCTGGGTAGGCGGTCGGTACTCTGTCTGGAGTGCTATCGGCCTCAGCGTTGCTTTGTACATTGGCTTTGACAATTTCCACAAGTTCCTCAGCGGTGCTCATGCCATGGACAAACATTTCCGCGAGACTCCCATCAAAAACAACATTCCTATTCTTGGTGGTTTGCTTAGCGTCTGGTACTCGGACTTTTTCCAGGCCCAGACTCACCTCGTTGCCCCGTAAGTGGTACCACTGTAGTGCTCGAATGAGTTTATGCCAGCTGCATCGCTAACCCTTATACTAGGTTCGATCAGTACCTCCATCGCTTCCCCGCTTACTTACAGCAGCTCTCTATGGAGTCGAACGGAAAGTCCATTGCTTCTGATGGCTCCTCTGTCAAGTACACCACTGGTACGTTACTGTCTGCGAGTTTTCGCCATTGGCCTCGATGAAGGTGTGCTAAAAGATCGACCTAGGCCCTATTCTCTTCGGCGAGCCTTGCACCAATGCTCAGCACTCTTTCTTCCAGCTTGTCCACCAGGGCACTAAGCTGATTCCTACTGACTTTATCCTGGCTGCTCAGTCTCACAACCCCATCACTAACAACCTGCACCAGAAGATGCTTGCGTCCAACTACTTTGCCCAAGCTGAGGCCTTGATGGTCGGAAAGACTGACGAGCAGGTCAGAGCTGAAGGCGCCCCCGAGGAGCTTGTTCCACACAAGCGCTTCCTCGGAAATCGCCCTACAACCTCCATCCTTGTTGGAGGATCAATTGGCCCTGCCGAGCTTGGAGCGCTGATTGTCTACTACGAGCACTTGACTTTCACTGAAGGTGCCATCTGGGACGTCAACAGCTTTGATCAGTGGGGCGTCGAGCTTGGAAAGGTTCTGGCCAAGAAGATTCTCAAGGAGCTTGACGAGGCTGGCAATGGGGAGGGCCACGATAGCTCGACTGGTGGCCTTATTGGAGCGTTCAAGAAGTACGCCAAGATTTAAGCTTCAAAAGCTGAGATGGGTACGATGGTATTGATTGACGGATGTAATGTAAACGAGGGTAAACAAAACAAAATTAGTCTGGGAGCTGGACCAATAAATTTGTAGTTCAGCCGTTACGTCGTGACCATGTCAACTGGGAATCAAATTGTTTAGTTTCCGCTTTGTCATGACATCGATGCCTGAGAATTGCGTGCCAATGAACAATTTTGGGATTGGTACGCTGCAAAAGTTGACGCGAATCAGAAAAAAATATGCAAGTATCACTGTTGTACGTGTTTCCGGGCATACCTGTCATAATTTGGGGTACCTAGGAAGGTATCGACTTGCAAGATATAGCATTGCAGGATAAAGAGCCTTACCCGACAAAATGAAGCTCCTTAAGCGGACAGAGGTCTGATGTATACGATGACGTTATTCAAACAGCCATTGGGATTACACTTTGTCCAAGTATTGTTTAGTTTGCTCCACTGTTGTTGAGGGGTTACTATGAAGCCTTGGGGATGAATTTTGCTGATATTTGGGGCATCGCCCCAAACGCACACGGAGGAATACATCTCAACCCTAACCCTAGGAAACTGGAAATACTACAATAATACTCCGTAGTTATAATACTAGCACAATATTGCATCGCCCCACGCCAATGGTCAGTACCAGTAAAGACCAAGATTGGATGGTAGCCCCATGCACGGTCTTGAGCTCAGCCATCAATAAAGCGGGCGTAATACAACTTACGAGGAAGATGGCTGGTAACGGCGTGACGTGTCCCAATGACACATGGCCCATGGCTCAGTTTTCACGTTTCCCCAGAGCTGGCTATTGTCAGAACAATGGGTAAAGTCGTAATTCCAGAGAGCGAATTTCTGTAGCTAACCGCCGTGGGTTATCGTATCCCCAAATGTTTACAGCTTGTCCAGGATTCCGCTGCCTTGTCCGACCGTGTGCTTGGAAATCCAGCAGCTGTCAAGTTTTTGCAGAGCAACTGCATTTTTGCAAAACGAGGGGGATTTGAAATGACGTGTTGGACTGTTGAGACACGAACAGTTGACTCATATCTGATGTTGTCGACGAGCCGTACGCTACTACCGCACGGAGCTCATGGCAAGATGCGACAAATATGGTTGTAACAAGACAGGATTGAGACATTTGACACGAGACAATGTGGCATGTTATGCTTCCCTCAGCGGATAAGTATAACGTATTCTGAATCCCTGCAGAAATGTTCACATGTAATACATTTAGCCTCTGAATAGCCACAACTTCTCTTTCAGTCTACGCTTGAACATTGATCTAGTTCTTCACCATGTTCTTGTTTAAGCTGGCTTGCTCGGCTCTCGCTCTTGCCGTGTCTAGTAAGTCGCAAACACTCTCATAAAATCCAGCAGGGAATTCTAGTGTTTTATAAAACGGGCATCCGCTGCCTTAGCTGAGCACTCCATCGAAGATACTGTGGACTCTGTCGATGCAAAGGTCCCTCAAGAAGCGCACCACGTACTTGCGGCATCGCTCGGCTTGCCGAGGCTCAGTCCTGCTCGGCGGGCGAGCCGGTGATCACCTACGCTGCTTGACGGAAAACACTGGGCGCAGTAGCATTATCAAGCCTGGCCCCGGCTCCTGTGACCTGCCGCTGCGTAAGGCCCCGCCGGTCAACGGTCTTGAGGTTTGAAATGATACAAGTTGTTTCCTGCAGATGTTGAACTCGTTTCTCTTGACTGAATCTGATGATGGTGTATTGTAGACCCCGTGGAGTCAAGTGGCGGCTGCAACGAGGCATATTATAAATTCATGCAATGGTGGTTCTGGCACCGTGTTCTCGGGGGGAACTGGTGGGTTACGCTCCTGGTGGAGACTCATCGTTGATATGCTACGGAGTATAACATTTGTTTTCCTTCTCTCGGGTGTGTATGTTATGGGGGAAGTTTGCGCAACCCTCTGATTAATCCCCGGAGAGATAGTAGGCTATAAGTAAACAGTTTCAACAGGAAACCTTCCGCGGCGAGGCTTAGCGCCACGTCTTTTCAAAATCTATAGTTGCTTTGGCGGATTGGATTTGATCTTTGGCGTCTTGTGTTGTTATTGGCATGTTATTTTGGTGTTGATTCTGGATGAGGATTCGTTTCACTTTTGTTTGGCTGGTGGTGAGTGCCCGGAACGACATCGCCGGTGAGTTGGCGATGGATGGCGGCCCAGAGTGTAGTTCTGATGATATGCATATTTGATGGATAAGAGAAGTATCATGGTGGACGGCACATACGTTATTGATGCTTACCGCATTGCTTCAACAAGCCTCTCTGACGGTACAAGCATCACCGTCGATGATGCCTTCAAGCACCAGGCACACTTGACAGGAACCTTGCCTCCCGCACGGCCCGTGATAATAGCGTCTGACAGGCGGACGGCCTCTTTGGTTGCGGGCGAAATAGAATGGCCCTGCTTATATTTCCTCTTGTCGCCAGGAAAGAAGACAAGGTTGTAAAGCAGTTAGTGGTGGATTAATACAGCCGATGCTAATTGAGGTCGTGACGAGAATCATGTTTGACCCGGGCATTCTGTATACAATCTGTGCAAAAGTTGTATTTACGCAGCCGTTTCAAAGCTGGGATATCGGGCGGACACACCCTCATCGTTGGACATATAATTCTTTCCAGACGAATGAAGTCGATACCGGCCAGATACGGCGACAACGCCCGATAAATCGATCACAGTAGCAGACCGATCCAGTCATCAGTGATCACAATTGTCGTGGGCTCCACCAGAGCCCTCGTTGGATCAGAGGTCGGGCGTGATGATTTTCACGGAAGTCAAAACCAGCCGAAGCGTCCCATCTGTAAGTATCACAAGCTATTCACAAGACACAACTCAAATCCGAAGGGCATCGTGGAAAGGGCCTTCCCACATTCTTGCCTCCCCACGAACATCCTCCAGTGGAGTCAAGACCCTGAACAATGGCTACAATCTGCATGACATTGTAGTATTGTAAAGACGCTTTCGCGAAAAGGGCATCCCGAAGTGGATCTTCCCTGGAAACACCCACGATAAATGCGCTAGTTTCGGCGCTTGTTGCGGACAGGATTCTTGCCAAATGAATGGAACCAGGTGATGATGTATTCTCACAAGTAAAAATGGAGGCCAGGCGTAATAAACGGTGGTTTCGTGGATCCACTTCAAAGGCATGTTGTTGGTTCCCTTCAGCCGAGTTTGATGGAGTCGTGATGTATGTACATATGTATGAATGTATATGTGCACAGGCATCGAGTGGTCATGATGGTTCATCTAGTAAGTTCCGGAGGGGTCGTATGATGTGCAATGACAAAGAGTCAAGTTACTGCTGCTGCTTTTACAGTCATCCTATGAGATAGCTCGTTAGCCGGAGGGTTTATGAATTGTCAAAATATTTTTACAAGGGACCAAACAAAACTAGGCAATCGCAGTGTTGAAGAGAATCCTTTTCTTTCTTAATCGCCAATGCAATCGTTTATGAGCCTCCCGATGGATCTGATGTACCGTCATAGTTGTTGTACCAGCCCAGTTTTTGTACTTGTTGGCATGGAAAACATCCGGCGTCTCCGGCGACAAATTCTTGCAGTAGGCAAGCTGCGCAATGAAGAATCGTGGCCCGTTTTACGACGTAATTCGATGGCATCGTGAAAAGGTGAAATTGCCTGTTTCGTTCTGGGCCTTGGGTGATGGTCCATACGTCATGCTTGGTGCACGCCCCCTTGGAGACATCAACATGGTCAAATATCCGCGATTGTCCCCATGGGTCTTTTCTGGAGAATGGGACGTGGATAGTCTGGGGTCACTGCCGTAAAACCGCTCGAGCAACTTGTTGTTCCTTTCCCGCACTATGATCTGTTTCAAAAATCGGCGAAAACAGCAAACTGGCTCTCTCATCTTTTTGCGTTCGTTCCGTCAGCGACCGCGGGGCATTGTTGATACTCCAATGGGTGCACCATTTTGACCTTGGATGACTTCCCGTCCCTCACGACGTCATTATCCGCCCATCCCTTTCGCCGGCCCCTGTCAATCTCGTACATGGAGGCCCACTGGTGGTAGTACCAGGACCGATAACTGGGTTGCTGGGCTGCTTGGTCAAAGTCCCCCCCCTCCCCCACCATCATCAATGCTGAGGACTTCGATGATCTTCTCTCTGTGGCGTGAATCTGTGGAAATGTGGAAAGTCAAACATGCTGAAGCTCCATTTTCGATACCCAGACTTGTAATCGAACAACGTGTCCATGGAAACGCGTCGCTACCGTGGTAAAATTGTCGTTCTAGACTCAGCTCCAACGTTTGGCCATCCAGGCACAATAGCTGACAGAATGAGTTAATTTCATCCTTGAAGGTGGCATCGAGAACACAAGGGTTCTGAATGCCGCACAACGTTGTTTGATGTTACTACAGAGCCAATGACGGGCGGCCACAAATGCACACACTGTAGAAGGGAGCGAAGAGAAGTAACATGGCTTTGTCCAGCGTCACTGGCACTCTGAATGCGATGAGACAAGCAGCAAATTGTCAGTTCGCCGTGATGTGCTCACGCCTGTACGGCGTAGTCGGATACAACGCACCAGCAGCGTTCCTTTGGACTGGACGGCACGGGTGGTGACGAATGCGCTGACTGGGTCGACCACTCTGCAGGGGCTGGTTCAAGTGCTGGCGTGAGTTAGCTTAGGGAACAACACTATTCTGGTGCAGCGCTGTCAGTGGCTGGCAGAGACATGATTTATCTCTAGCTTCCGACGTGAAAAGTCAAGTGAGGCTGCGATGGCGGCAATTTTGGTGGTCTGCTGGTGGTAACGGTGTGGTGGGACGTGGCCATCGGGTTGACGACCTCAACATTCGTCTGGCTTGCGTGCCTCTGGTTGGCTGGGCTCTAGTTGGGAGATGCAGGTCATCAACAATGAATCGATGTGGCTTGGCGGCGTCTACTCGGCCGCTAAAGACATCTGGAGCCCTGACACACGTTATGCCTTGACGGTCTGGTGCGCGAAACGGAGCCTGGCCGGAGAGGCAGCGGTCTCGGTGCCCTGAATCGAAATTGATCAATTGACCCTGATAGGCGCAGCTAGGCCCTGATGCCCTCAACTGATAGGCCGCTGATAGGCCACTCCTAGGTCCAGATGTCCGTGATCCTCCGTACTCCAGATGTCCCGTACTCAAGTCGATGATGGCGTGTGGCCTAGGGACGATATTGCAGCGCTTGTAGTGAAACAGCGCATCGATCCCTGTAAAAGCCTCGTTGCAGCTCGGCCTTTTGCGGCGGGACCGAGGACATGGATGGCCGTGAAGCCTGTATTCACGTCTTCTGGACTCAGCCAAACATTGTCTTGCTTGCATCATGGCCAGGTAAGCATGACAATTCGTGGCTGTCTGTTCCCGCGCTTGGCTCGACTGGATACAAATTGGTCATGGATTCCTGCAAGCGCCCGCTGTAACTTTTTTTTTTCCTTTTTTTGCGAATTCTCAGTAGCCAGTCCATCAGCCATGAAAGTCGAGATGCGTCTGCGCCAAAGACATGTGCTGTCAGGCGGGCGTCAAGAATGTCACGATGCCTTCTGACGAGGCAAACGTTGAAGTGGGAGGCATGTGCACATGTTCAGGCTGGTGGTTGTCCGTTCCTTGCCGTTTCAGTGCTGGCCTTGGCTGCATTCCCCACCGTTGCGCCACCCAGACCACCCAAACCACTCCTGTAGTCTGGGACTGTGGCCCGTAATGCATTGTAGCAGACAATGCCAGCGCGCAGCCAGCCAACTGGCTCAGTTGCCCAGCACTTTAATGTTGTTGCATGTGGTGACTGCCTCTCAAGCTGGCAACCGCCCCGCCAGCCCCACTTGCTCCGTCCTGGCAGCGCCCCTTCCCAACATTGCTCCACCGCGTATCTACTAGGCTGGGTGCCTTGGTCGTTACATCACACCAGAAACATTCAATTTTGGAGGACAGGCTGAGTATCATTTGATTGCAGCAATTGTTTGCACAGAGGCCACTTGACAGGATAATGAAGCCGGCCGGCTGCTTGCAGATGGTGCAGTTTCCCCCATTACAAGCGCATGTGCACAACCACGGACATTCATGGTGCCAAATGCAAGCTCTCGACATCCCAAGCACTGCCCGGCACCAGCGCCACCCGCTTCTGTAATATCGTCATCACTTGTCATCCATTTGGCATTGCCCCTCGCTCCTGCCCTTGTTCCTCACCACACGCCCCTTGCCCCACCATGCCTCAATGTCCTCAAGTCACTTTCACGTCTCCATCCGGAGCGCACTTGGCCGTATTGTCGTTAATGTGGTGTATTGCAAACTTACAACCGTTCCGTCATTACCCTTTGATGTCAATTCGCTTCGCCTCGGTCACTTTCCTCACTTTATATAAACCCTGGTAGACCCCCTCATCTTCCGTCTAGCTTTCCCTCTCCATTTCCAGTTAACCCAGTTCCATCCAAGACGGTCACCGTTTTTGGCCTTTTCTCTCAATTACACACCCGACTTTCGCACTCACTACAACAGCCACCAGCCCACCTGTATTTGTTGAGCTGTTTGATCGTGCGGCTACCTCTGCTCAATCCAGCACTTTTTTAGACACCTCCGCCAGCAAAAAATTCCTGGCCGCTTTCTTTTGTTTTTAAGATCCAAAAAACCACATAGATCAACTCAAATTCTTCACTATGGCTGTCGGTGGTCTCAAGAAGAAGGCTGTCCATTTTGGAGCGGGCAATATCGGTATGTCGTCCTCGTTGGTGCAGTGCCAGTCCCCACCTGCACGCACCCCGCGCTTGCGTTATCCCGGCTCTGTCGATATGCCAGTAATTGAGTAGCCTCTGCGTGCCCCGGCTTTGCCCGGTGACTACCAGGCCGCAGACCAGTGTTTGCTGAAGGCGTATGGAAGCTCTCTGGCTGTTTAGCAGCCGAAACCTCGTATTGCATGACACAAAGATTTGCTGAAAAGAACTCATCGCTAACATTTTCCATTCCAGGCCGTGGTTTCGTTGCCTGCTTTCTCCATAATTCTGGCTATGAGGTTGTCTTTGCCGATGTCGTCGACTCTCTCATTGACAAGATCAACTCCTCGCCCTCATACAAGGTCATTGAAGTTGGCTCAGAAGGCACTACTGAAAACACCATCACCAACTACCGCGCCATCAACTCCAAGACGCATGAAGAGGACTTGATCAACGAGATTGCCATCGCTGAGGTTGTCACCTGCTCTGTTGGCCCCAATATTCTCAAGTTTATTGCTCCCGTCATTGCCAAGGGCATCGACCGCCGCTCCAACGACGATACTCCCCTGCATGTTATTGCATGCGAAAACGCTATTGGTGCTACCGACACTCTCGCCAAGCACATCAAAGACCCGCGAAACACTGCACCTGAGCGTCTTGAGGACCACCATCTCCGAGCGCGCTATGCCAATTCTGCTATAGACAGAATTGTGCCTGCTCAGGACCCTAATGCTGGCCTCGATGTCACTCTCGAGAAGTTCTTTGAGTGGGTAGTCGACAAGACTCCATTCCAAGACGTTGGTATTCCCTCTATCGAGGGCATCAACTGGGTTGACAACCTAGCCCCTTTCATTGAGCGCAAGCTATACACTGTCAACACAGGACACGCCACTGCCGCCTACCACGGGTACAACCGAAGAAAGCGCACTGTGTACGATGCCTTGCAAGATAGAGCCATCATGGCTGAGGTACGTGGAGCGCTGATGGAGACCAAGAACCTCATTGTCTCCAAGCACGAGTTTGAGGAGGATGATCAAGCTGCCTACGTCGAAAAGATTATCAAACGTATCGGCAACCCTCACTTGGAAGATGCCGTTGAGCGCGTGGGCCGTGCTCCTCTGCGTAAACTTTCTCGCAAGGAGCGCTTCATTGGCCCTGCCGCCGAGCTTGCTGAGGCTGGCCAGCCCATCAAATACCTTCTCGATGCTATCGAGATGTGCTTCCGCTTCCAGAACGTCGAGGAAGATGAAGAATCCAAGGAGCTCGCCAAGATCATGTCCGAGAGCAGCCCCGAAGAGGTTGTGAGCAAGGTGTGCGGCATTCAGACCCGCGACAAGATTCACCCTTCACTGGTTGCCATTGTTCAGCGTGTCCAGGACGATAGCCGTGAAGATTGACTGGAGCGCCGAGACGGGACTCCCGACTCTACTGAAAACCGACGCCGTGGCGCAAAAATTTGATCTGATGAGCGCAGATGACGAGACATGATTTCGAATGATACCTAGCCACGTTGCTATTGAACCTTGATTTTCTGAAATTTTTATCTATCGCCAATGAGCATGGCGCTTGGGCGGGTATTGGAGTTTACGAGCTGGGCTGATCTTGGCTTTGATTCAAGAGTCCATGCTGGGGTTGGGAAGCGGCTACTTTCGGCTCGCATATATAGATTGATTCAAATGAAAACATACGGAAGCATTTCATCCACCCTGATTTGTGCAATGTTGTGAATGATTCCGTGTCCATGATGACTGCTTTGGCTACTTTGGGCCACCTGCTTTGTCTCTTAGGTAAGTGGCTCCTGCTCAACACCAAACGACCAACTAACCTCGCCACCCTCTCGATCGGCACCAGGCCACTACCAGTTAATGCTGATGCGAAACGGCCCCTATACGGCAGTCGCAAGGTGACATTCTCGGGGCAAGACTTGGTAGTCGAACCACTCTTTCCCGCTGGCAACTTTCTCATCATGAGAGGTGATGAGCCGAAATTTGGCCTAGCTTCAGGAAGGTTAAAAGGCTGAGCATGTCTTCCTGAATGCCATTGAAACCTGCCTGTCAAGAACTCAAATTCCACGACGAGGAAGTCAAAAGATTGAAGTCCAAACAATACAGCTCAAGAAAAAAAAAACGACAAAACTTCCTGAGCAGGTTGCTCAAGTCTTCGCTTTTCATCAGTTGTTACCCGTTCGCCCTGCATTGCAAAATGAAGGGTCTTCTTGTCCTCGGCCTGTTGCCAATTATACCTCTGGTCTTGGGCCAGATCACAGTTTCAGTCAGCAATGTCGAGCCACTTCCACTCAAGTCAGCCAGTGCCGTAACCTCGGCAGACGAGCTTTTTCGACAAAGCTGCCCGGAAGAAGTAACGAATAGCAATCCCTACACGCCCAATCTGCTATTATCGTCTTACTCCGAGTTTGAGGAGTCCGGCAAGAAGGTCTTCGGCGGAAACGTATACCCGTCCTCTGACAGTTTTGTTCGCGGTGCGATAGTGGCCTGGGCGCAACATCAAAGCCTGGTCCTTCGTCCTGATGTAATCTGGTTCGAAATTCTGGCCCAACTCAACTTTTACATGACAGAACATGCCGAAGAAATTCGCCACTTGTTTGTAAACTTCCAAGGCAAGAAGGAAATTGTTGTGAAGGAAACTTCTTGGACCAACGTTATTGCTGCGTTTGCGACCGAGATCCAAAAACGTGTCAAAACAAATTGGCTGCTGGGCTGGGTTGCTCCTGGGTTCAGTACCAGTACGCGAAATGATAACATGACGGCCACCGTGTTGATGATGGGCCTTATGCAGCACTACTTCGAGTTCACTGGAGCGGTCATCTGTGGAATCCCTTCTGTTACCTTGCTTGGGACCAAACGAGACTGGGTTCAACTATACAAGAAATTGGATCGCCTGGCAGACTTTGGGGCCGAGCCAGCGCAGTTTGCCCATAATCTGAAGCCTATTCTCAGCCGATTCGTGCAGACATGGGACGAGCCAAACAGCCCGGCGGTCAAATCGTTCTGGAACCAGATTGTACGAGCTAACAAAGTATTTCTCTGCGGTGCCGGGCCAACGGAATTCGATATTTCTGGCTGGATCACGGGATTCATGCATTGGCGAGAAGACGGCACACTTGTTGCACCTAACGGGACCCGACCACAGCCAGACGACGTGCGATTTGACGGTGTAGCATACACTCGCGTGGATATTGACCACATCCCTGTCGGATATGCCAAAGCGCCGCTCAAAATGCTCGACTACCCAAACCGAGGCAAAGACACACAGGCGTATGTGCTGGCAGGAAACATCGGAATCAAAAGAACTATATCCAATCCCACAGGCAAGGGTGCTAAACCCCAAGTGTTGGCCGAGCCCATGAATTCGTGGTTCTTGTATGGACCTGTCGACGCGAATTTCACGACGGGGCCGGAATACGGAAATCTTTCGGAGGTTAAGAGCACTGCAACGAGTCTAAGAGACTGGTGCCCGGCGGCATATGCTAAACGATACTAATAATGGGGGGACTACGAACATGATGTGTTTGAGTCTGGCGGTGAGGCTTTACACACCTGCATGTTTGTTGACTTGTAGGAACGGCTTGGTAGTATCTAATACTGGCGGTGGCGATGATGTCACCTGTCCGGAAAATAAAAGTACGCAGATTGGAGCAGAAGTGAGGTAAACAGATGGTGCAAAAAGTCATTGGAGGTGAATAAAGAGTATTTCGAATGAGTCGGTGCAATCGATGTCAAAATGTGTTATTGACAAGTAATTACACAGACTATCAAGCGGTCTGGACTCACATGCAAGTGCACCAGATGTACTCTGTAGTACTGCACCGTACACATGATCCTTGCCAAACCAGGACCGCCTGCACAAGACACTTGGAGGCACGCGCATAGTGGGGGTTCGGACCACTCGAGCTCAACCTCCAAACAAACATTTTGCCCATGCAGACGACGTACCACTTGAACCTGCTCCAGCACTTCGGCCGTCTGATTTTCTTTCCCCCTTTATCTTGCCGAAAGGCTAAGAAACGGTTGCAACATGCATCAAAGTTGATACAGTGGGCTGCGCACGATTGCTACTTCTGGCAATGCCACCATGTCCACTATGCAGCCTCGCACACGCTCTCGCGTGACCTCGACGAAATCGACGACGAGGACGGGCCCTCTCGCGAGTTTTTCAAATTCAGCGCATGCATATGGAACCGGTCTTCCAGTCTTGTCCGTGCTGTTCACGAATTTGAGACTGCTGGATCTGGATACTTTGCCGGACTGGCCAGATGTTAGTCTCGATACGTTTGCCGGGACAGGAGTGCAATGGCAGAAGAGGAGGGTGCATTGTGTTGAGTGGATTTTGGTGAGGTTATTCGAACTTTGGGATGTGGAGGAAGCCTGTGCAGTAAGTTCCCTGAGCTAATCATGCTGTTCGAGTCTGTGTGCCTAACGACCATTGTATGCAGAAATTCAAACCCTTCTTTCCTCCTGCGGACCAAATACAATCCGTCAATCTACGCTCCGCACTCCTCCGAGGCCTCGAAACCGCTAAAAAGAATGGCGTGCTCGGCCGCGATACTATTATTCGAAAGACCATGCTCGACGACTGCAAAGGCGAACGGCTCGAAGAAGTTCTGGCCTACTTTTCTACGGCTGTTCTCAAGAAAGTCCTAGAGGAGAATATACAGGCGTCCGGTACACATCCCCCAGTTGCTGTCAATTTGGCATTTGAAAATAGAGGGTATGATGGCGACAATGGCGAGTTGAATGTCCTGATACTGGCTTATAAAACCTCACTATGCCGGTTTCTGCATCAGAAAAATAATACTAGGGACATGTTTCGCGACTTTGAAGACCTGCTGGGCGTCAAAGAGAGGGGTGTTGTGCGAAGAATGGAGGCAATTCGGGCGAAGGAAGCTGACCCCAATCGGGATACGTTGTCCAACAATGCGAGGGAGGAGATGAGGCGTTTGGTTCGGAACAACTGGTCTGGAAATGAGAATTGGATGCAGACTTTGATTTATGGTGATTCTGATGATAAGGGGACTGGTTTACTGGCTATGCCGTTTGAGAAGGTCTGGCGAGGAGTTCAACAGCAGCGCTTGGCGGAATTTGAGGAGCATTCAGGTGGATTGTTGGAACAGCTGGATAAGAGGGTGTGGGCTCAAAGAGAACGGCTAGCGAGGTGGGATACGTTTCGAAAGGAGACGTTTGGCCAGTTTATCCAAGGACCCGTATCTCCAATGAAGCAGCGAGCTGTCGAGAAGAGACCCGACAAGGGTATTGACTTTAAATTTTCTGCACATACTGAGCTGCAAGTAGGATGGAGCACCGATATTGGCAAGAACCCGACACTTGCGCCGGAATATGAAGATTTGGTGGAGGGATTACAAGGAGAGCTATCTCGTATCAAAGACGTGGATTCCAACATCCCTGACTTTGTACGCAGAAGGAACTCTGGACAGCGATTCAGGGCGTCATTTGGACACTCCTCAGATGCCGCTGAGACTGTTTCCGAGATCAGTGAACTGGAAGACGAGCCATATGAACGACTACCAGCATCTTTTCCTGTTCGGACCAACCGCACGAAACTAGAAAGCCTGCGACGACACCCAGTTAAACCGCAAATAATACACTCCGAAGTCTTCAACCAGTCCACCTCGACGGCAAGCTCAGCTTCACCACCCCACGAAGGGTCTCCCCAAAACCAACAAATCTCCCTGTCCCGAGTCGAAGACTTCGACGAGATCGAACCACCCCCATCACCAACCCAAACTAGAGCCGACCATATCCTCTCATCTTTGGACAACGCATCACCGTCTCCCACAACCCGTTTCAAGCAGCGGCCAACTCTGTCCCTTGCACAACGCACCCGTCTTTCCATGGCAGGAAACCACTCTCCCTTTCTCGAAGAAGAAACCGAACTGCCGCTCCGACCACCAATTAGCAACAAATATGGTCCCACCCCTCCCTCCGAACCAGAGTCTAAACCGGTGGATAATGAGCCCATGGATCTAGTTAGCAGGACGCGGCTTAGCATGGCTGGCTTTGAAAAGGCGCAGAAGAAAGCCCAGCTTGAAAGGAGGAACAGCCTGCGGAAGAACAAGGTTTTGCCGAGAAAGGAGGGCAGCTGCTTCCCAAAGGTGGAGGAGGAGCAGGAGGAAAAAGGGAGGGCAGAGTTGACGGAGGAGTTGATTCTAGAAGAGGATGTGGAAGCGGTGTTCAAGTCGAGGCCGAGAATCAAGGCTAGTCCATTGGCGAGTCCGAGTAAGGAATGGGAACAGGAATGAGTTTTTGATAGACGGCGTAATAAATTTCTTTCCCGCAACTGCTACATGTCAGTGAGCATCATGCTGAAATTGTCGTGGATGGCGCGTAATGTGGCTCGAATTAACAGACGTTGAGCTTTCATTTCTGCTTTGGCACTTATTTACGTTTTCAAAGATTCCTGCCAAGGCAAGTCATGTACAGTACCAAATACTCTCCATACAAATCGAATATCAAATGTGAATTACGCAGGATTGTATCACCACAACCAGCTGCAGGCACCAAATCAGTCGGGCACCATCACAATTACGCAAGAATAACTACGATAGGTCCATATATTGCCCTTGAAATGCCGTTTATTGTACAAACCATTCCGCGTTCTATAGTACACACGCCCCGTGGCCGGCTCACCAGCCTTGCTTCTTCAACTCCATGACCCTATTCACAGCGGCCTTGAATCCCGTCTTGAACCGGGACCTCCACCGCTGGCTCCTTAACCGCTTCTTCTTGAGGCCCTTGCGCTCGTGGAACTTTTGTGAATGGAATTTGTTCTTGATCTTTTGGTCGCGGCACATCTTCTCGAGCACGCGCAGGGCTACCATGGGCGTCGGGGCAGAGGTGGGGGACAGGCGGTCCTGTATGAAGACGGTGCGGCCAGAGACGGCCTTGGTGCGCACTTTTGGCATGTCCATGGGGTTGGAGGCGCTGCGTTTGTAGGCGTACGAGGAGGCCTTTTCGGAGATGATGTTGGCCAGGTCAATGGTGATGTTGGTGCGGCTCACCGCGTCGTAGGCGTGCGCTGGGTTCTCTTGAGGCTCGGGGATGGCGGGAGCGGCGGAGGCGGGAGGAGGCGGAGGAGGAGGCACGGAGGCGTTGGGTGAAGACGACGTGGAATGGGTTGGTTTGTCCCGAGGTTTGGTGGGTTCGGCGGGAGCGTAATTGCCCACGAGGGGGTTGGATCGCACGGGGCCCCTTGGATTGGGAGAGGATGCGTTGTAGGTTGGTTTTGAGGAGGCGATTCGTAGAGGGAGGGCTGTGGAAAATGCTCGTGTGGCCAGGACGGTGACCGGTGAGGTCACGGCCATTCGGGACAGCATGGCGCTGGTGTATCTTGATGCGGCCCTGCGAAATTTAGTACATGATCGGCGTTGGAAGAATGGATGGTGTTGAATTTACGGAGTACTCACATTCTGAATGCTGTTGGCCCTGCACCAGCCGTATGTCCAGATCAATTGATATCGCGAGACGGGGAGCTTCGCTCGATATAAATGATAGCTAAAAGTTGCTGGGGGAAGGTAGTCGGAGCGGAGCAAAATTGATGCGGGCAGTGGAAGGAGACGATGGATTTAGCTGGTTTTGGTGGGCAGCTCCACTGGACCCGTTGGTCGTGGGCTGGAGCTCTTTTTCGGCGAGCCATCCGTCTTTGACGACTGATCGTTCCTTCTTCGACAAACTTATCGCCGACTTGTTGCAAGTCATCGGTGCTGAATCTTGTACGGTCAAGAATTGGGCATTTCAACCATATCGAAGGAGTGCGCCGATTTTTGACGGTTGCTGCGTTCGATTGCCCGTCCCTCGGTGACTTTCTCGGCGGAGTCGCGATACGTTGCGAGACGAACGGACGACATGTCCTACAATCAGTACGGGGGTATGTTACTTGCAGAATGTCAAATATAGAGCCTATGGAATACTGGTTTTAACACTGCCGTCTAGGGAACCCCTACGGTATGCCACCGGGCTATGGTGGCTACGGCGCACCACCTCCTGGCAGGAATGCGCCCCCAGGTCTTGGTACGACTACTACACTCGATGCAAATTGTGAGGGAGTACTGACTTTGGATGATATAGGACCCCCTCCCGGTATGGCTGCTCCTCCCGGTATGGGAGCCCCTCCAGGTATGCAGCAAGCCAACGCTCCCCAATCTGGGCGTCCTGGCGGCTTACCCGCCAGCTTTCAGGCTCCAGCCAATATGCCGAATATCAACTTCAACGCGCCCGTTATTCGCCTAGGGACGAGCACACCGACGACGGAGGGTGGACGGGGTGATCGGTCGCAAGCCTCGGGCGGTAGACCTGGTCTTGGTATGGAGCGTGGTTCCGATCAGGGACGGGGTGCTGCCAGGGAATCCGTCCAAGTGCTCATCCCACCAACTGCCGATGAGAAACTCCGAACGATTATGCTTCACCAGATCCCAGACGGCATACAAGGCGATGAGGGTGTTCAGAAGCTACTCGGTGCCGTTGGAATATTGCGCAAGTGGGAGTCTTCGGCGAGTGTGATAGACGAACACAAAGGCACAAAGTTTGGTTTCGCCATGTTCGACGATGCTGAGTCACTATCCAATGCTGTCAAGCTTTTGCACGAGCAAGATGTGGAAGTGCCGGTTCAACGCCAAAGCGGCTCGACCGATGCCCCCCCCGAGGACGATAATTTCGAGGGCATTAAGAAGGTGACGCTTCAGGTTGCTGTTGACCCTACCACCCTCAAATACGCAGAGACTTTCGAAGAGAGTAGAGCAGACAATCCAGCTGCTTTTGGGAAGTTGGAGGATGCTCAGGCAGCTCTGAAGCAAGTTCTGCGCGAGTTGTTTTATCCTCCAATCAGCAACGGTACGGACGCCGATGGTGACACTGCCATGAAGAATGACGCCGACGAGAATGTTGAAGTGGTCAATATCCCCATAGCACAGGAAGATGAATTGGCTGATATTCCTGCTGAGATGCGGGAGGTTGTGGCGGGAGAAATCGCCGCGTTCCGTGAGAGGAGTAATCAGCGAGATCTAGAGCGACTACGAAAGGAGGAGGAAATGGAAGAAATGGAGAGGCAGAGAAACGCTCCGTCTCGACCGTCGGGCGGAGCTAATAACATTCCTCTGGGCCCCAAGGGATCGGTGCCAAATGCGCCATCCGGACCCAGGGGCCAAAACGGACATAATCGTGTATCATTTATTAATGGCGAGTTCGGCCTCAACCGAGCTGAAGAAGACTCTGACGCCAGCGATGAGGAGCTTAACCAGAGACAAAAGAAAGCACAGCAAGCCGAGGATGACAAGGCGTACGTTGATGCTGAACGCAAGTGGGCAAATCGAGAACGTTCAAGACAGTCGGCACTGGATCGAGAACAAGACCGTGAGAAGCAGGAAGCCGAGACTGGGCAGCTCAAAAGGGACGAGCACCTGGGAAGAGAAAAGTCGTGGGACGATGAACGAGAGGCCAGCCGCAAGTCACATCCTTATTACCGCGATCACGCGACATGGGCTCGGAAGCGCGGCATGGACCGGGCAGATGAGGAGAGTAAAGACGATGCGGACCGACGAGCCGAAAATGACGAGCGTCGCCGGGAGCAGGCACAAATGGAGAGGGCCAGAGGCATGGCCGACTCGTTCTTGGACCAGCAAGCTGAAGAGATGGACCGGCGTGAAGCCGCTGCCGCTGCGGCCCCTCAGCCATTCAAGCTTTCTCTTGGTGCAGCTGCCCAAAAAGCCCAAGCTTCCAGAGTGCCCCAGCGCCGTACAATTGCCGAGGTGGAAGGCCTGCTGGACGACGAGGACACGGAACAATCCACCAAGCGTCAACTTATCCCTATCCAGATGGAGCCGATATCTGGAGCGGCCGCTATGACGGAAGAAGAGATCTCGCAGGCTGTCAGAGCTCTTGCCCAGGAAATTCCATCGGAAAGGGACGGGCTGTGGAGCTGGGAAGTCAAGTGGGATTACATGGACGACTCTGTCATCCGGGAGAAGCTACGGCCGTTTGTTGAGAAGAAGGTGGTGGATTACTTGGGTGTGCAGGAGGAGATGCTGGTGGAGGCAGTGGAGGAGCATTTGCGAAAGCACGGCACTGCCGCTGCACTGGTGGAGGAGCTCGAAGGGGTAAGTGACGGCTTGATTGAATCGCTTGACGAACGAGATGATTTTTACTGACTGTTTTCTAGGCGTTGGATGAGGATGCGGAGGATCTGGTCAAGAAGTTGTGGCGCATGGTGATTTTCTTCACCGAGAGTGAGAAGCGAGGGTTGCCAGCGTAGGGCGGCTCTAGAGGATGGTGTGTAAAGAAGAAAAGCAGGAAAAAATAAGTCGATCATAGTTTCTCATGGTATAGGCGGCGTCGGTGGTGTATTTTAGTTCCAATACGGCGATGGCTGGGCTAGTGATGCGGGATACCATTTGTTGTAATTGATGTAGACGGAGAATAGGTATGGATATACCGACTGGTTGTTGGGTGTGACGTGACGATGCGTGTGAGAAGCGAGAAATATGTGCTGAGCGGGGGAGTATGCCGTGACGGAGTTGCAGTTACAAACCACTCTGGTGTTGGACGACGTGGCGCTTTACTTGGATCACTTCCAAGTATCTTGCCGGCACTAATTGGTGCAAAGGAATCGTCGTCAAGGGCTTGTTTTAACTGTCTCATACTTTCGTTCTCGTCCCTACAGAAGGTGTAAGGGTCGCGAGTCATCTATTTGGTGGCGGGCGCCAGAGTTCGTGGGCCAAGACAAAATTGGGCAGGAAAATTGAAGATGAAGTCGTGTGTCAGTGCCACGGAGAGAGAGCTAAAAGGGCACACTTTTTGGCTGGATATCAGGGATATTCGACCAACGACCGCCATTTTGTTCCCTGGCTAGACGGCTAAACTCGATAACCGTATTGACACCGAAGGACCATTCCGGTATGCAGGTCTGGGGCCGGCCCTTGGTAGTTGTATGAGATGCTTAGTCTCATGGTTTGAATTGGGGGGTATGTCAATGACAGTCCTTGCGTTTGATGCTCTTATGCTTGTGTGCAACATAGCAGAGGCAGTGAAGCTAGGTTCTAGAATTGAATATTCATTAGGCTGTGATGCTGAGCCTCCGTGGGCCTTGAAGTCGATCATGCCAGAAGCCTTTTCATAATTTATAAAACAGTATAAAGCCAAACGTGTTGATGCATCTGAATGCTGAGACCTGCGACTTTGGAACCGCAAACGACTTACACGCCACCCACCACTCTATACAACTCGCGCGTCGGCATGATGAGATGATGTCGTCGGAGGCTCGGAGCCGGGCCGACGATGGCCGCCAAGGTGCCGTGCCGAGGCATCAACGATGGGAATGTCCATTCTCCTCACCCATTGGCTCTTTCCCCCTCCTGCCCGACCGTTGGTGCATCTCCACCCCCGGATTTCCCTGGTGGAGTGACATCAATACAATAGACAGCATAACTACTACATATCACACAATCACCCTCACGCTGCATTCAACTTGCACCCTCGCGCTTTTTCATTCTCACCTGAATCACAGTCTGGATAAGCTGCATTTGCTCCGCTTGGCCCCAGTATAGCCGTCGCATGTAGCTACACTGTCGAGGTCCAAGATCCAACATCGCACGATAACCGCCTCACATCTCACTCTCATCCTTCACATCATTCTTCATATCAAAAGGGCCTTTCGCCTCGGCAAGACACCGCCATGACTCTCAACAACTTCACCAACCCGCCCCCCTCTGTGCCCAACGTCATCCTCTCCTTCCCCCGCTTCCACGTCCTCCTCGTCACCCTCAACCGGCCCAAGAAGCTCAACGCCATCCCGCGAGACCTGCACGCCAAGCTCGACGCCCTCTGGAACTGGTACGACGCCGAGCCGACCCTCCGCTGCGCCGTCCTCACCGGCCGCGGCCGCGCCTTCTCCGCAGGCGCCGACCTCAAAGAGTGGAACGACATGAACGAGCGCAACGTGCCCAGCGGCCACGACCGCGACCGGACCTGGGAGGACAGCGGCTTCGGCGGCCTCAGCAACCGCCGGGGCAAGAAGCCCATCGTCGCCGCGGTCAACGGGCTCTGCCTCGGCGGCGCGATGGAGATGGTTCTCAACGCGGACATGGTGATTTCGGCGCCCGACGCGCAGTTTGGCCTGCCCGAGGTGACGAGGGGCGTGGTCGCGGGCGCGGGCGCGCTGCCGAGGCTGACGAGGATCGCGGGACGGCAGAGGGCCTCGGAGATGGCGCTCCTGGGGAGGATGCACCCGGCGCGGCAGATGCTCGAGTGGGGGGTCGTCAACAAGATCGTCGCGGGCAAGGGGGAGCACGCCGTCGTCGAGGAGGCGCTGGGCTGGGCGGTCGGCGTGGCGTGCAACTCGCCCGACTCTGTGATTGTCAGTAGGGAGGGCTTGCTGGGCGGGTGGGAGGCGGAGGACCCGAGGGCGAGCACGAGGAGGGTCGACCGGGGGATTTTCAGGAGGATGGATGGCGGGGAGAATATGAGGGAGGGGGTGTTGAGTTTCGTGGAGAGGAGGAAGGCCGAGTGGAAGGATAGCAAGTTGTGATGATTTCTTGTGGCTGGGCTTGATGTGTTGTCGCGTGTCGAGGTGTAGGGAGATGGGATGGGGTTTTGTGTTGGGGGGCTTTTTGCGATGAGCCCTGTGTTAATTCCAAGTCGAGGGATTACTACCACGGTTATGAATGACGATGGGGTTCTCGGGCTAGGTTGGAACACGCGCATCTAGTGACCGGAGTTTAGTGTAGTCAACCCACGACGGTTTGCAAAACGTCTGGGATACTGCCTATGGTCTGTTCAAGCGTATAGTCGGTATATAAGCAAGCCATATACGTAAAATACAACAATTCACTACAGAGTCTATCAATCGATGGGTTGTGATAGCATCCGCCAAATAATTAGCAGATGCACTACGGAGTACTTCTGTGCCTGTTCACTGTGCTGCTTTGAGGCAGGCTGTTTGCAGTATACTGTCCCTCTACATGGATGGTTGGATATACATACTCCTATTTACATTCAGGGGGGGCATGCTTGAAATGGGACACCTCAACCTGAGTCAAGGTATGTGATGGCGTAGAAGGATGATTAGACATGGAGGAACTGGAAAGATGGAAAGCGAAACAGCTAGTGTGGTTGATTGGCTGGTTGGTTCGAAAATGTGTCAAGGTGGCGATGGACTTATTAGATACGGGTACGGAGTAACTATCTAGTCATGCGTACACTAGACGCTATGAAGTCCTTCGATATGGACGTGCGTCTTGACTCTTGAGAGTCTGGCCATCGGAAGCAACAGTAGTACTAGAGTCTGCCTCTCTCCGTTAGCACAGTCTAACCGTCGACTTTGAGGAGAAGGCTCCGATTCGCCATGGGATTTTCGCGCCTGTGTTTCCCTCCATAAGCAGTAATACCGTTAGTCTCTTGATACGGCTGATGAGCATGAGAGTTGGCAAATACTCCGCAACTGCCATAGTGTCGAGGATGCAGAGTATGCTTGAGACGAATGATTCGGCCCATGAGAGTGAAGCGAATACGGAGTACTCCGAGTCAGTGTCTGTCTTTCCGTACCAAGTTTTTTGATCTGTAACATGTCAAAACGACTGAAACTAGGTGACCGCAGGACTCGAGTGAGAAAAGAAAAAGGGCTCGAGATATGACAATTTCCGAAGGCGGGTTACGCGGCACGAGGCAAAGGTTTGGATCCGCTCTCAGCTCACAAATGTCAGCCGTGACTACTCCGTAATTGCGACGTCGTCGTCGGTGGCGGTCTGTGAGCGGTTCGGGCCGGCACCGTAGCATTTAGTCTTCAGTCATGGTTAGATCGCCAGCAATTTGATTCAACAACGGCGTGACTACGGAAGTACTCCGTAGAGAATCCCAAACCGTACCGGAAATGCACACCCGCTGTTCCAAACGAGATTGACTGACGACTGTTTCTCTTTATCTGTCACAACCAAGAAAGAGGAAAAAGAAAAGAGCAATTTCTCACCAAAGTAGCCAAGTGGCACTGCTGAACCAGACGTGCATCGCTAATATGCCGTGTAACTCCACCTTCTCCCAGCATCCTAGAGGGGACGGAGACGAGACTTCCTCTGAATGGACTCATGCCCCCATGTCCGTGCCGAGCCAGGAGTGACTGATTGTAGTAAGCCGAAGATGCCATGCTCATTGAATAGTACTTTGAACTGATACAGGGTCGGTGCAAAGGGTACTCCGTACGTCGAACAAGACGAACCGAAGAAAGCCGTCCTTCACCAAACGGCCACTAGGAACATTGCCCACGTCTCCTTTTCAGCGAGACATGCAGATAAGTTGCATCGCACATGTCGCGCGCTGGACAAATGAAGACGTCTGCACGTGCATAAAGCTGCGCAGGAAAAAGCAAAAGGAGGGCCTAGACAATGATATGCAGCTTGTTCCCCATCCGAACACACAATTTGCCGTGTCTCCCTCGCTCCAATTGGCAGAGCACTCTTTTTGGTGGTAATGGCCTCACTCGTCCTGTACAGAGTACAGCAACACAAGAACAAGCTGGCAATGATCACCGGGGTCCAGCCCGACACATGCAAGCCTCCTCCGTCCTTGCATTCCGCCAGCAAATTCTACTCTAAACGGCGGAAAGAGGTACCACTCAGGGCCGTGTGAACCACACGCCAAGGGTTTGTTCATGAAGACTTGACGGGAGGAACATGCATCACGCTCCTGCGGCTGAGCATCACAGAAGAGCGTGCCATTGACGGGGGCTCTTCTCCGAGACACCGAGACAGCCAGAGGATACTGGTGTCGTGCCGATACTTTAAAACCAGGCAGTCAGGGTTCTTTCTTCCGATGTATTCCTGCTCACGGTTGGCCGTCCGTTGTGCAACTTCCCCAAAAAGCTGGACGCATACAACGCTGCTTGGGCATCAACCAAGGCGAGGCAGAGCACAATGGCCGACGGGCTTCTCGACCCGTATCCCGCGAATGGCGGCGCAAAGCAGAAGCAGCACGAGGACTGGTACGCGGACTTCTCGCAGCGACCTATGACCCCCAGAGATAAAAGCCCCCGAGGCGTCAGCCCGGGCGGCAGAAGCCCTAGTGCTCGAAGCCCAAGAGCTACGAGTCCCTTCTCCCACGCAGCCATCATGCCGAGAGATGCGGAAAGGGCCCCGAGGAAGCTGATTTTGTGCTTTGACGGGACGGGAAACAAGTTCCATGGCGACGAGAGTGATAGCAATATTCTGAAAATATTTCGAATGCTGGATCGATCCGCGGGTGACCAATATCACTACTACCAACGTGAGTCTTGCATTTACACACATGATGTCTCTTAGCTATACTGGCCGCTGACACTTTTGTCCGTGGAGCTGGCATTGGCACATATGTCATCTCGGACTCTCTTTCTCACAGCGGCCTACGAGCTCGCATTAGCTCGTGGTATCAAAAGGCCAAGGATTCTGCCATTGGCTCGTCGTTTGATCAACATGTTGTCGGTGGATATCGCTTCTTGATGCGCTTTTATCAGACGGGCGATGAGATTTACATGTTTGGTTTCAGCCGTGGCGCCTACATTGCGCGATTTCTCGCTGAAATGCTCGACTACATCGGCCTCTTGTGCCACGGAAACGAAGAGATGGTGAAATTTGCTTGGAAGGCCTTTGCCCAGTGGCAGGCCAGAAAACCGCCCTCCAAGGAAGCGGATGATGAGGAAGACGAGTCCGAGGAGGACAAAGAAACGCGCAGAATGTACAACTACATGAAGGGATTTCGGGAGACCTTTTCACGTCCGGTGGGCCGGATCAAGTTTCTAGGCTTGTTTGATACGGTTAATTCGGTGCCGCGGTTTGAAGCTGCCTGGATGCAGCGGACCAAGTTCCCCTACACGGCTCGCACCAGCGCCAGATTCATTCGACATGCAGTCAGCATTGACGAACGTCGCGCCAAGTTTCGCCAGGACCTTCTTTACCAAAAGCCGCCGAAACATGAGCACCATCGTCGTGTCCGTAGTGAACACATGGCGGGTATGATTGACCGTATTCGGCGAAGCATAGATGTGTCTCACGCACACCCCGAGGAGAAGCATGCTTTGCCTCCCGTGCCCATAGAGAAGGAGAGGCATGGGAGTCAGTTTCTAGCGCCTGGCGACGCGGGACGAGGACGGCGTGGCGCCGTTTCCCACAAGCATCATTACGCACCGTATCGAGCACGGTCCAGATCCAGGCAGAGAATGGCACAGGGCGCCCTTATGGAAGACCAGGATAACATGTCCTGCTCCGATGCCTCTCAGTGGGAGGCTGAAATGGATGACTGGCAGAATGAGGACCAGGATATCGATGAGGTTTGGTTCGCGGGCGGCCACGGCGACATTGGCGGAGGCTGGGAAGCCCTAGACGGCCGCAAGAGTGCGAGTCACGTACCGCTATCGTGGATGGTTCGCGAAGCCATGAAAGCTGGCCTCTCGTTTGACCTGGATAATATCACGGAGATGGGGTGCCAAGATGTATTCGACACAGTCCGGCCCTCGGCGCGCGGCTTGAAGTCTAGTCGAGCAAGCCAGCCGGCCATCCAAGTGGAAGACGAGGCAGGCCATGTCCAGGGCGCACAAATTGGACAATCGAGCCCAGACATCGGACCACGCGATTTTGCTCCAGGAATTGCGCCCGACTCCGACAACATCTCGCCGTTTCATGAGCTCATGCATAAAGCCCACACGTCCCGGATTCACGACTCTCTCGAGTTTGGTGGCGGGTTGGGCTACATGGCCGTCTCGGCATGGAAATTCATGGAATACCTGCCCTTCCGTCGCATGGACCTCCAACCCGATGGTTCTTGGAAACCTATTCGATGGCCCTTGCCGTGCGGTGAGGTACGAGATATGCCGAATAATGTGCGCGTCCATGGTAGTGTCATCCGTAGATTAAAAGAGGACGAGACCTACAGACCGGGTAATTTAATTATTGGAGGCGGAGGAAGAGGTGTAAGACGGGCGCCAGCGGAATACGGCATTGGAGATTGGATATGCGTTGCTGGCCATGGCGACCCAATTGGTGAGATATGGGAGAAGAAGCCCAAGGAGGTGAATGGGAATGGAACCAATGGAACCAATGGGACTAATGGGACTAATGGGGCAAGACACTGATTGCGCGGGTTTTTGAGAGATAGGAGATTGGGCGGTACGATCTGGCACAATTTGAGTCAAGTTGAATATCTGGCATCGCCAGCAGATTTGCTGCGGTGATGATGTATTTTATCTCATTTTATTTCATTTTTTTCTTCTTTTGGCGGTTGCTTTCTCGTCACGTGGCTGCAGCTCAGGGATAACAAGCTTCACCTGTGCAAGCTCCAACCTCCCCCGATCCATCTGCAACTTGGTTTGCCCATTCGCCTCGACACACCTTTCAATTTCATTCATGGCATCTGCAATCTTTTCCAGACCTTTGTAATATCTTCCGACTCGCCGGCCCGAGTCCCCTCCGTTAAAATGCCAATTCCCTTCCTAATGTACGTCATCGGCCACGGTCCGCCGGACTGGCTTCGCGACAACGCATACACCATCATAACCGTCGCGACGACCGTAACATTGCTTTACTTCTTCAAGAGATGGACGTCTGGGCAGTTGAATCCCTCGGAAAAGAATCTCCACGGCAGAGTGGTTATGTTTACTGGTGGCACATCGGGAATCGGTGCGTTAGCGGCCCAGGAAATGGCGGCTCGAGGTGCTCAAATAATCCTCTTGACACACACACCGCCTTCCGATCTCTTTCTTGTTGAATACATACAAGACATGCGCGACCGAACCAATAACCAGTTGATTTACGCCGAGCAAGTCGACCTATCGAGCTTACATAGCGTCCGAAAATTTGCGACAAAGTGGATTGACAATGCGCCGCCACGGAGGTTGGACATGATTGTGCTCTGCGCTGCAACAATGACACCGCCGGGGGGCAAGAGGCAGGAAACGAAGGAAGGCATCGAAGAGACATGGATGGTGAACTATTTGGCCAATTTCCACCTGCTGGGGATATTGAGCCCTGCAATCAAGGCCCAGCCGTTTGATCGAGATGTGAGGATCATCATGGCGACGTGCTCGTCGTACATTGGATCACCTTCGTTGAAGGAACCCGTCGTCGATAGAAATTGGTCTCCGTCTACGGCTTACGCTAGAAGCAAGCTTGCCCTTACCGTGTTTGGCCAAGCATTTCAGAAGCACCTTGACACCTACAAACGCCCCGACCAGCTTCCAATGAACGCCAAGGTCATTTTTGTTGACCCTGGCCTGAGTCGAACGCCAGGAATGCGACGCTGGCTAACAAGAGGGTCCCTGTTTGGCCTGGCCATCTATGTCGTTGGGTATGCGTTTCCGTGGCTTTTGCTCAAGTCGCCATTTAGAGGCGCGCAATCTATTCTTTACGCAGCCATGGAATCTAGCTTAGCCGTAGGTCACGGGGGCAGGCTGATAAAGGAATGCATGGAGGTGGATTTTGCTCGCAGCGATGTGAGAGACGACGAAGTGGCCAAAAAATTGTGGGAGGAAAGTGATGCATTGATTGAAAGGACAGAGAAGGCGTCGGCGAAGGCCAGGGCTGTTGAAAAGGCGGCAAAGGATAAGGAAGATGAGAACAAGAAGGAACAAGAAAAAATCGAAGAGATTGAGGGGTTGGTTGATACGATTCGAAAGGGCAAACAGAAACAACAACAAAAGCAGGAGAAGGAGAATCAAAAGTTGAAGGGCGGGAAGAATAAACCGTAAGAGAAAACAGTTCAGGCTATAGACTCGAGCCGTTCACTGATATATCGATGACTAGTTGAGTATATGGGGCCCCCGAACTTGAATTCTCTCTATGAGGCCGGGTTGCCTCCAAGACTTCCCTTGTGATTGATCGTGTTGTTGATATTGAAGGATTAAGGGGTCCGCTGATGGTGACAGCTGTGCTAGTGCTTCAAGACACCCGCTCGAAGCATGAGGACCGTTGAAGTCTTGCGATACTAGACTCAACGATGCCTTACTCTGTTTCCGATTACCTTTTCTCGTGTGTTGGAGCATCGACTTGCATTGCGCTATATCACAAACGCAACTCGGTGCCGACCTGGCAGTGTCATCGATGGATTGTTCACTGCCTCATGAGTGCGTGAGAAGCTGGCGACCGGTCGAGCTCATGCTTGGCCACCCGAGTCTGGTCATATGACTGTGTCATTTGACACTGTCGTTTGACGCTGATGTGCTGGCCACCTGGCAGCGACAAACGAGGCCCGCGTATCCTTGCCCTACAAACGGATGGCCTGCACCAAACGCGAAACCCTCTCTAGCTTCTGCAAACGGATGAGCTTATTCTTTACCATAAGTAGGGTCCTATTTCCCGACCTTCCACCAACTATTGAGGTTCATGGCGTATCCATCAACAGCGTAGCCTGTCTACCCTTCAACCAAGGCAAATTTGTTGCACCAGATCCAACAAGGAGTATTGCGACAGAAATGGGCCATGTACGAAATTCAAGATGTGCCAGGAAAGGGAAAGGGTCTTGTTGCTACTCAAGCCATCCCAAAAGGCACCCGTATCCTCTCCGAAAAACCCATCATTACGGTACCTGAGCACACGGCAATGAGCAGTGAGCAGCTCGCGACACTGATCTCGAAGCAAGTAGATGCTCTCAGTAAAAATCACCAACAGGAATTTCTGGCCTTGCGCAACATTTATACCTTCAACGATGTTGGGCAAAAATATCTTGGAATTATTCGAACGAATGGCTTGCCAGCTAGTGATGGCGAGGCTGGGATCTTCCTCCAAGCATGCCGCATCAACCATGCTTGCGATAACAATGCACAGAAGAACTGGAATGAAAACATTAAACGACACACAGTCCACGCCTTGAGAGACATCGAGAAAGGGGAGGAGATCACGATATATTACATGGGCGCGGACTGGGATCGCGAGACCCGAATTTGGAAACTCCAGGAACAGTTTAAATTCATCTGCTCTTGCGGTCTGTGTTCTTTGCCACCAGATCAAAGCTAGGAAAGCGATAGGAGACTGGAACAAATTAATCACCTGGAAGATTTAATTCGCCAAGGTGGTTTAATGGGAATTTTGTCGACCCCTCTCCAAAAGCTTCACTACGTGGACCAGCAAGTGCGACTCTACAACGAGCGATTTCCGAATGGCAGGGGCTTGGCGCGGGCCTTTCATTCCGCCGCACAGATTGCTATCGCTCACGGTGACTTCGCAAGGGCTCAAATCTTTGTTGACCGAGCCCTAGATGGACGGATCTGTGCCGAGGGCGATGATACCGACGATGTAATTGAGCTCAAGGCTCTGGCACATAAAGTATCGCAAGATGAGCTGGACGGGTTATCGATGAAGTGGAAAACAGCCGTGAACGACGTTCCCCATGGCCTTGACCCAGCTGACTTGGAGGACTGGCTTTGGCGCAGAGAAAAGCCGAGACAACCAGGGCAGTTGGCTGATCTTAGAGACCGGACAACCTTTCCTGCATTTCCTGGCCTCCCACACGACGAGACATACTACTTTTACGATCCCAACGAGCTGGCGGGCCATTCGCGACGTAATTGGTGCTTTTTGGCGGAAATCCAGCGTGTAACTGCATTGATTCGTCTGCATTTCGAGGTCAAAGATGTTGATGGAGAGACACTTCCATTGTTTTTTCACACTGATAGTCGGGGAATGGAGCTGGAACGAGCACGGGTGAAGGAGGGCTTCACGGTGGCAGTTCTACAAGCGAAACAGCACTCGTTTGCGTTTGACAGACCTGGAATTCGCCACGAGCAACCTTCGCGGATTAAAGTAAGCCGCAAGCCTGGTACTATATGCGCAGTTTGACATGTTACTTACCACTATCTGTTTGTAGATCTTCCCCGTATCTCTTGACAAGCTGATGGCATTGAGCGATCGAATCCAACAGTTCTCGGTGGAGGCCAACGGTACACGAGTGTGTCACGGCTGTGGTAGGAAAGCGGCCTCTTTGAAACGGTGTGGCAAATGCCTCATCTTTTGGTATTGTGGACAGGTAGGGTTCCGAAAATATTCCTCCTCCCTTTGATAATGTGACGTGCTGATTCGGACGTGTCAGGACTGCCAAGTTGCTGGATGGAACAAGAACGGACACAAGGCTGATTGCAAACTTCTCAAGGATGAGGACCTTCGGTCATTGTTTACCACTGACTGGGACAAGTTCGAGAGTGGTATCCAATTTCCGCTCAACAAGTAGAAGGCGTAGAATCATTGCTCCTTTGGAGCTTACGGCGTATGCATGTCCCTCTGTCGAAGGACAGCACTCGTCAAAGCTGATGGAGACGAGAGCTCATGGAGCCGGGAAATATTGATGACTGGCCTGGTATCGTTGGAGGAGATTGGCAGTCACATTGCAGTTTTGGAGTTGCCTTGATTAAGTTGGTGACAAACCAACGGTTAGTTGACGGCTGAGCAAATTCTGTTCGGCACCCATGTGGAAGAATTGAGAATTGGGAAGTTTTGTTGCGAGTGGCTATTTCCTCCTAAAATTAGGATGGTGCTTGAGGTTTAGGGTTTAAAGTAGTTAGACCGAATAGATATGGTGTCTCATATGTTGTGTGCAGCTGTTTTGGACCATTGTCTCGATTCGGATAAAGTTAGTTGAACATTGTTTAGAGACGGAAGAGTCTAAAACAAGAATTACCCCATGACGCAATTGAGTCATGGATTAGGTTATTCAAGCCCTTAAGCTTCAATTCAAGCTAGTCATTTAGCCAACCACCCAAAGAGCTTATGGATCGGACAAGATTTCATCACCAATTGTTGTGTATCAATAGTGCGGAGCTAGCGGCACGAAACTTTATGAACCAAAGCATGCATCACCAGAAGGCGTCTACGTGAGCCTAGAAGAGTTAGTTAGCTGTAAACCTCTCGGCATAAATGGCGGTTTTTACGCTTATGTAAATAATGAGGCTTGAAGATGAATGGCGTTACTTTTACTACACAAACTATCTTGTCTAAATCCTTCAAGCCATCTCCCTAGTCGCTCTGCTAGCACAAGTCAGTCTTGACAAGAAGCCAATATAAAACAGGCCTCAATTCCATACCCAGATCCAGTCAAGGACCAGTTCTACAGTCAACTCCATCCCTGATTTTCGTGATACTAGCACTCCAATTGCGCGACCTACACACACATTTGGCATCTTCATCTTCATCATCACCAACCTAGGTCTGGCTATCAGCCACCGCAAACGCCTTGGTTATAAAACATCCCCAACTTGTTGACTCCCTCGTACAGAAACATTCTTCACCTCCATACACAGGACAGTTTGTATTGTTCTAGTATCAAGATGAGAGCCTCAGTTCTCCTCGCCTGGCTCACCACCACGGCGGGCGTTGCCCTGGCCGTCCCCGCCGTCAAGGACGTGGCCAAAGACGTGTCCCCAGCGCACAAGGAGTTCGTGCTCTTCCACAGCTCCAACATGAAGGGCGCAGACAAGCTCCCCTTCGCCGTCAGATTCCACTCGTTCCGCGTCCCCGCCCTCGTGACGACGTCGACAGGCCGCGTGCTCGCCTTCGCCGAGGGTCGCCGCCGCGACAACCGCGACGTCGGCGACGTCAAGGTCGTCATCAAGCGCACCAAGGAGGCCACCAGCCACGGCGGCAACCCCAACGACTGGGAGGCCCTACACGTCGTCACCAGGGGCGACGGCGTCTGGACCAACCCCACGCCCGTCGTCGACGGCAACACCATCTACCTCTTCGTCAACTGGCACGACGCCAAGGTCAGCCGCGAGGGCGACGACAAGCTCCACAACGGCAAGAAGACCAAGAAGGTCGACGGCAAGTCCCGACGACACGTGTACGTGACGCAGAGCACCGACGACGGCCAGACATGGTCGGACCCCAAGGAGATGACGAAGCAGCTCACGCCCAAGGGGCAGGCGTGGGACACGGTCGGCCCCGGCAACGGCATCGTCCTGACGACGGGCGAGGTCGTGGTGCCCGCCATGGGGAGGAACATCATCGGCCAGGGCACCCCCGGCCAGCGGACGTGGACGTTCAAGACGATCAAGGGCGCCGGGGACGAGGGCACCATTGTGCAGACGCCCGACGGCAAGCTGTACCGCAACGACCGCGCCGGCAAGGACGAGGAGTACCGCAAGATCGGGCGCGGGACGCTCGACAAGTTCGGCAAGTTTTCCCTCGACAAGGGCCTCCCGGACCCGGACTGCGCCGGCGCGACGCTGCTCTACCCGGCTGACGGAAAGGGCCCGGCGCGCGTCGTGTTTCTCAACTCGGCGGACAAGAATAGCCGGCGGGCCATGCGCGTGCGCATCAGCTACGACAAGGACGCAAAGGGGTACACCAACGGCCGGAAGCTGGCGGATGCGCCGGTCGCCGAGGCCGGGAACGAGGGCGGGTACGCGAGCTTGACGAGGACGGCTGATGGGGAGGTTGGCGCGCTGGTCGAGACAAACTTTGACAAGACGGGTGGTTCCAAGGACGATCACTACGCGATTATCTGGAGAAAGTTCAACTTGAGCTGGGTCTTGCACGGGTCCAAGTAAGTGGTTGAACTTTGGATACGGATGCAGAGAGGGCTTGCTGGAACTTTTTACCGGGCGACCTGAACATGGAATATAATGCTCGCGTATGGTGTGGCAGGAGCAGCGCTTTATCTGTTTCGTTTGCTTGATTTGCTGGGGATGTAGGTTAGACGACATAGATAATGGCAGTCAATTGCTCCTATGCATGTGAGAATGTGCATTGTGTTGACTGGTGAGCCATGGAACAAAGAGATGTGGCGATAGGGGCAGAAAGTACGCATTATACCGTTTTATTCAGTCTCAATGGCAAAAGACAACTAACTACCAGATCCGATCAAGGAATGAGCGGGGTTTCTCAGCCGGTAACAACGTAAAGAGGCATTAAGGAGGTGAACAACTGGTGTTGATCGGATGGCAACGCTCCAGGCTCGTGAGACGTGGCACGACTCAACACCGAATTACCTGCTCGTCCAAGGAAATGACAGCCACAGCCATGCTAAACAGCCTCCTCATGCGTGGCGTATTAAAAAGTGACGGGCAGGTGCGTAATCCCCACGTCTTTGTGCAGCGGTGAGAATTCAAGATCGGCCTCCCGCACGGCAATCTTCAGGTCTGGCAGCCGCTTGAACAAGGTAGCTTCAGGGCAGACGCGGTCAGCACAGCGCTCGCTCGGTATACTAATCAGGGTGGACGTGTTTCTACGTACCAAACACAGTGGTGAGCTCTGCCACCGCCAAGGTCTCCGCGATGCATCGGTGGTCGCCAAAACCAAACCCTAGAGGGTCCTCGGCAGGCCACGTACGGTTCATATCGAATGTGTCGGGGTCGGTAAAGATGTCGGCGTCCCGATTAGCCGACTGGTTGGACGCGATGATGCCTTCTCCGGCTTTAATACGCTGCTCCGCGTCAGCTTTGCCTGCCGTCAGGATGCTTCAGTCGGCCAACTACACGATACACGTACCTGTCCCCCGATTTCGACGTCAACCTTTGCCGTTCGCTTCATTGCCAGTGCCGATGCGGTGTGATAGCGGCAAAGCTCCTTGACAAAGGCGCCTGCCCGGGACGGGTCTGATTTCAGTTGATCCAACTGATCCGGGTGCTGGAATAGCGTCACGATGCCCTGTGGCTGCTGGTTAGCCAGGGATACCGGGGCTTTATATTGGATACTTGTATTTCGCTTACCAGGTTGATCATGTTGACTAGCGTTGCGTTGCCCGCGACAAGTAGGAGGAAGGCAATCTGGACTGCGTCGGACTTTTCTATGATCCCTTTTCTTACCTGGTTGACAACCAGTTCGCTGATGAGATCATTCTTCGGCTCAGCGAGGCGCTTGTCCACAAGTGTGCCAATGTAATTCAGCAGTTCCCTGCATGGCGCGCCGTTAGCTCTGCACCGTTTTTACACGGAGATGGATAGCTTACTGGCTCGCCGTTGAAGCCTCTCTGGCTGTTCCGCTGCCATTCGATCGGGTGGCAACTTGCTGTGTGAGATATTCTAGGTCGCTGACTGGCACGCCGAGGATGGTGTAAATAATCTTTGCAAGGGACCGTCAGTATGCTTCTTTGCTGATACCGGGGCTGTAGGTTCTTACATAGGAGGGGACCGGAAGTGCAAATTCCTTGACCAAGTCGACGGGTGCGGCGGCGCAACCCTTCGCCTTCATAGCGGCCAGGAGGTCGTCGACTGTTTTCTGAATAAAGGGCTGCAGGCTTTTCACATGCTCGTCGGTGAAAAACTTGTTCACCATGCTCCTTAAGAAGAGGTCAGCCGGTGGATGACGATGCGTACATGCATATACACAACTTGCCTTTGGTGCATGTGGTCGGGCGGATCCATGTCGACAAAGGTTGGCTTGGCCTTGGCAGCAGCCTTGCCTCCGGCACTCAACTCTGGGAAGCCGGGCCTGTCGCGTACCTGGTGTCATGTGTCATGGTCAGATTTGCTGCCCCGAGGCCGTATAAGTGAGGAGGAGCCGTACCTTGGACAGCCTGTCGTCAGTTGCGACTTGTGTGACATCCTTGTATTTGGTGACAAGCCAGGCCAAGCTGCCGTCGAACAACGTAATCCGTGAGACGGGGTCTGTGGCTCGCAGACGAGCGTACTCTGCAGGCGGTTCCATGCCCGAGGCACGCTGGAACGGGAATCTGGGGGGTTCCACAGACATGGTGGTGGTCATTGCTGTGAAGTTTTAAATCGGTGGGTGGTTTGGATCGAGGTTAGAGTTCCAATAGTGAGGGAGAAGAAAGGGAATAGCATTCTCTAAACGACTCAGCTGCCGTTTATATATGTTTTGAAGCCTGGGCTTGTAGCATCGGAGATGTCCCAAGTGCTCCTCCACAATATGTCTCGTGATTGAAACTGGAATAAACAACTCCATGTCTGTCTTGCAAGTTTATGCGCTCTGTGATTACCAATGTGCGGTACGTTTCTCCTGGAGCATTGTTGGGCCATGTGAGCCGGGGCTTGGCCGGAAAGAATTGGGAATATGACGCAGCTGATACGTCCGCTGGCCAAGGATTTGTCCTTGCAAGCAGACTGACGAGTCGGAATACTCGCAATGGTCATTTCTGGGCCAAACTTGTGGGCGTAAAAATAGCATCCCATGCAACGATGGCATGTTGTTCCAGGGGTCCATGCCATGCGGGTGCCACGTCGGTTATCGGGATTGATCGTCGAGGCATGGGTAACGGGCGGCTCTTGGCCGAATGCCGCCGATGCCTAGCTTATAAGTGTGATGGAGCGAATTCGGCTTCCTGCTCTCACAAATACATGGAGGCAAGAATATGTAGCGGACGGGCGACGATGAAGTCGAAATAGTATTAGTTCCCGATCCCGCATGAACAGGGCACAGCTAGACTCGTCCAATCAGCTGCGTTTAAAGTCGCTTACAGGCCAATGACGTGGGGACAGGGCTGTTCCACAACCAGTCTGGTGACGCCGCAACTTTAAGTTGCCCCTGTTAAGTATTTTGATCAACCTCGAGTCCCTCAACGTCATTGTCCACGCGCCGCGATGCATGAAGCAAGGCGAATACAAATCGCCTCGGACTGTAGAACCCGACATATGCCGGTGCTCCGTACATTGCTGCCATAGCGTGATTTGCCAACGCACGGCCGAGAGCTAGACGACTACCGGTTAGGCCCCATTGTGAGGCAATAAAAATCGCATAAGGATGGCGACTTTCTCCGCGGAGATGGTGTTGCCAGCGCGGATGGTCAGGCAGCGATGCGCTTTGAAGAAATCTCAAGGGTACTTGTCACAACGAAAAAAAACTTGGCAACAATATGTCAGCATTGGATCTGCAATACGAGAGTAAACAAGAACCCGCTAGGCAGGTTGCTGCGACCTGATCAGCCTCTGAGCTTCTATTGCCAGCATAACCCGAAACACACGACTGTTACATTTCCCCAATGGCACCGTACAGCAGAAGGAGTATAAGCCGTCTTGGATCATGTCAATAGACCCCCCAAGCGTACTACCTCGAACTAGTTACGCTCATCTTAGGTGCCGCAGAGCCATAACGATCTGACTCTTGATGGCGTTCTTGAAGTCAGCCTCGCTCTCGCTCTTATTCTCCATCAATATCTCATTAGATATCAACAGCCACGGCGCAACATATTCGTATCCCCCGCGACTGGTAGACATGAGCTCGAGGTACTTTTCCGCACCGGCGGGTGTGTGAAGGGTATTCCAGTCCCTCTGGTCGAGCTGCAGGGAGTCCCGCGCAAAAGCCAGCATCGCCGCCAGCATGCCCGCCGCGATACAAACCGCAAAGGAGGTGCTGCTCTTGTACGCCGGCTCGTCCGTCCGGTCGTCTCTCCAGACCCTGACGTTTTCCCCGAACGTGCTGAAGTTTTTGCGGTGCCTCATCGGAGAGGCATTGTAAGGAGACGGGTTCCCGTAGCTGTCTGCGGAGAATATCGGGATGACGCCGTGCATTCTGGCAGGGAAAGACGCACGATCGTTTGCACCGTTATTCCCCGTTGCAGCCAGGCAGATGATGTTTCTCCTGATGGCTTGGGATATCGCATTCGCAACACCGTCGTGGTGAATCTCAAGTCCCAACGGCAGGACGATCATGTCGACCTGCCACTCCTTGACGGAATACTCGATGCTCTGTTTCGGATTAGCATTCGGCGGAAATTCTGTAGCGAGAGATGCTCACATGGGCAATGATGTCGGCGTTGGAAATTCTGTGGCGGTCAGTTACTTTGGCAATGAAGAATTTGGCAAATGGCGCCGTTTCTAATAGCATCGTTAAGCATGACGCCCCATGTCCGGAGTGCTCCTGGTCCCAGCTCTCATTCCCACCTTCAGAGGTAAAGTTTCGTCCACGGATATCATGGGAATCATGGGAGAGAACGTGACCACGGTCTACGCCAGTACCGAGGAGCGCGATCTTGTAAGGGCGTGTGCGGCTCTTTGCTTCACGAGTCAATCCCCATTTGGCCAAGAAGCTTGCGTATCTTTGGAACCATGCCCGGTGATCGCTGTCAAAGTCTGTTAGTGCCAGCCACTTTATTTTTTCCGAATCATGTACCTTTCTTGGTCGCCCTTGTCAACTGCCATCTTTCGCACCCAAGGTCTTCCTTCTGCAGACTCTCTATAGAAAGCCGAGCGCTCAACCTGCGACGGATTAAGCGCTGCTCGCGCCGCTGGTTGTCCCTTGGTTGGAGGAGCGGTGCCAGTGACCATGTTAGGCCAGGTATCAACGTATGCGGGCCGTATGCCCGGACTCTGAATGTCCACCGCTGAATCTCGTCTATTCATCAAGTCCCGTTCCGTGTTTGTAGTAATGTTCAAGTATGATGCAGATCGGTGGGTGGCCGATTGGTGACCTGTCGCTTCAGACTCTTCGCTGTCTTGTTTCCCTGGCTTCGATTCATGACCCGTGGCATCGGTTATCTCCGGGTCAGCCTCTTCGTCATCACTGTCTGGTACGATGCGCCGACAAATGTGAAGATCGCGGACTTGCTCACGACGTGATAGGAGTACTAGGCGGAGCGGCGAAACACCCCTCTCGTCCTCGCCGTCTCCCAAGCACACCTGGCCTTTGATCTTCTGATAGTGCACCAAGCGGTTGTAGAGATAGGAGGTACCAAATCCTGCTGTGAACAGATCCTTTGACTTTAACAAGTCTGTGAGTTTGCTCGTCAATGAATAATTGTCTCTCAAGGGTGCTTTCCCCTCAATGCTGCACGCCGCGAGTAGCTCGACAACGTTGTCCTGGTCACAGTAGATGGATTCTATAGCAGATGCGGCGTGGCAGCAATCCAATATAATCAGGGTATCTGCTTTGGAACCCTTGAGGAAGGATTTCTGACGAGCGTTCCACTCGACGTAAGGTTGTTGGGCTCCGCCAAAGCTTCAGTCTGGTAAGCGTTGATGCATTCCATCGTATGGTGCAGGGAAACGCCGGCTCACCACTTAATAATTAACTGACCGTCCAACGGCAATACGGAACCGTGGCCACCATAGTATACGACCAATAGGTTCTGCTCCTTATCATGGGCGTCTCTAAACTTGCGGATCTCGTCGTCAAGGTACTTTTCAGGATCGGTGCTCGGAATATCGATCGCCTCGGTTCCGAAATTGTAAGGGGATGTCAACACGCGCTGAAGATCTGTCCTCTGATCTTTGAAAGTTTGTATGGCATCTTTCCAGCATATCAAGAGTGCCTGCACATCTTCGTATCTGCGCATCTTGCTCAGACCCATGATAAATCATTCATGGCACCAAGCACAGGACAGAAAGTTGGAGAAGGTCTGTCACAAGGCATTGTCCGTTCAGAAAATTGAGCGTGCGGGCATACTTCTTGCGTGTCTAAATTTGATTAGGCAGGGAATCCCGACCTGCAGATATGATGTTTTCCTCATGCATGTCAGCAATTTCTGCCCGTGTGCATGTTGGATCTCCCCTCAACGTGTTCCCTCCACACATTTTCATTACGACAGTCGAATCACCCCCAGATTTCTTCATTGAAAAAAATGATTGGAAATGACGATGGCCTTCCTCAGAAGTATAATGCTTCAATGAGCCACCAAAAGATATCATATGCATTTTACGAGCCAGAGTCATCTCTTGTGGTGAAGGCGGGATCGTGTGGCTATGTGTGTAGACAGATCTGGCTCATGACATCCACTTTTGAAATGAATTGCTCGGAGGCGCGCTTACGCCCCGCTTTCGACGCTCACACCAGCAGCCGGCCCTACCCTAGGTACTTAAGTACCTAGGTAGATACATTTCACATATTATAAATTCATGGTAGATTTTCTGAGCACCGAAAAGCTCGGCCGATAGGTGTGACCGGATGGGTAATTGAGGCGCCTGGGATGCTGGAGTACCTAGAAAATCCGATCTGAAAGACATCAGCTATGACGAAGTCGAGCAGGCAGGGCTTGAAAGGCTTGGCAGGGCAGAAATTATCAAGCTGGCTTCTTCGGCCCGTCTTTGGGGTCGCAAACTGACCGAGACTGTGCGGCGGCTTTTATGCACATAAATCCGGATCGAGGGAATGCGGAGTACCTGTTTGACCGTAGTTTTTCTTATAGGAATCCGTGTGACTTCTTAATTTTATTACCTTTGTCTTTGCTGTTTCTGAGGCTATTTTGAATTGCAATGTTCTGATTTGTTAATAAGTTTTATAACTACCTAGGGATGTAGTAATTACTACAATAATTTATGTATCGTATTACTTACTGAACTATTCCTCAATATATTCAAGTATTTAATAACTTCTTTTTAATTGATATAGTGCTAATTTAAAGCCTCCATCTGTATAGTGCTGTCACAAGGGCTTAACGAAGGGCTTGGAGCAATTACTCAATTCATCTAATAACCTTGAGTCTTTGGTATCAAAGGTCCTTGGTTTTCTGCAAGGCCTTGAGGGACCGAAGATGGTGAGTGCCTTCTGCCCTAATCCCGTGACCGTAGCCCTTGTGTAACCAACGCCATTTCCGTGTAACACTCGGGCCGCGATGTGGTCTGTACAGATTCGGCGGCAGCTTGCAGCCTTGCCTGGTCGAGGAGTCAAAATTATCCTGCTTACTGATCAGGTTTCATCCCAGAGCAGGTGAAAAGAGTGTGTAGGTCTCATACAAAGGCATGGAAATAAGTGTTTGATTCAATCTACCAACTTGCTTTGATGTCAACGGCGCTTGATTTTCTCAATGTCTTCGGGGTCTTAATCATACAAAGCGGCAGCGAGCTTCGACGCCCGAGGCCATAGAAGCTGAAGGTTTCTAACTAGGTCTTTGGGCCTTTGCGTAACTATCGTCGGCTCGAGGGTCGGTCCGCGTCGTACTGTTATGATACCCCCTGTTACACGCTGGCATCAACCGTTCGTGCTGTGAAGCATGACATTATGCAGAAACACGACATTCTGTCGCTGAGAACATCCAAGCTTGGTTTATGCAAGCATTTAGCGTCGAAATACACCGCTAAATTAGGATAATGTACAATAACCCCTGCGTCACCATTGAAAAATCACTACGTACTCCCCTGTAAATCACAATTAATATCCACCAATATGAATTAAGAGTCAATGCGCTTATTAGTGGAGAGGCCCCTGGGTATAATCCCCACAGACTTCCTTGTCAGGTCACTCATGGCTAAACTTACATAAAGGGGTTGGGTTGTAGTATGGTTAGTTGGGAACAATTATGATAAGCTACAAAGTGGCCCAGAGGTAGCGACAGTTGCGAATGGACACCCCCAGTCAACAGAAATGACATTTGCGGCAACTGGTTTTCATTATTCGGCGTCCGTGACAAGGGCTTGCAAAGGATTCAATTCAACGATAATCAAGTAGGGTGTCAGAGGTCCTTGGTTTTCCAAGGGGAAGGAAGGGAATAGTAACCACTATATATACATAAAAGGAACGGCTGTGCCTAGGGCTCTTACCCGGCACGCGTTCAATCTGTGTAACCAGCAGGTCCTTTGTCCGTGAAGCCCCTTTGTGCTTTACGATCTTGTTGGCCCTTTACCGTGAAACAGCGTCTGCGGAAGACAAGACACCAGGTCCCAACACTGCCGAAGAAATAAATGATGGAGCTGCCCCTACGGACTCGACCCCAAAACTTCCATCGGCTTATGGAATCTTTGATTGCCGACAAGCATGGTACCGTGGTGTATCTTGGACAAGATGGCTCTCCTTGCGTCGTCACTGATGCCTCTCATCCGCATCATCGTCTTGCGTGCGACTGGATGACATCTGGCTCGCTATTGTAAGCCAGCCGTGCTGGAAGGCCCATGCACATTCGAGAGTCATAGATGTTACATTCATGAGCTGGGATCCGACAGGAGAACCAGGGACATTCTGCCTGCCAATTTGACGAGATGGAGGCTCCTGCGGCGACCAAGTTAGCAGTTGAAGGGCTGGGCAAAGTCATCTCCTTTCCAGATTTTTAACTTATTCCTCGCCTGGCTTTTCGACAACCACAGAAAACGATAATACCGTGGCTAGGTGTATCTTCATGCGGAGTTACACGTTCATAGGAGAGGATAATGGCCCTGAAGAACCGATTGATTGCAGCATTAATCTGTTGCGATTCTTGGCGAGAAGGATGACGATCGAAAAATTCAGTCTCGCATTGCTGAGGGAAAGGGGGAGCCTTTCAAATTCGAGCACAGAATATGCGTGGTGTTCCTTGATTGCTCCATCAAGGCTTCGATGACCACTGCTTGGCAAAAAGTTGTCGAATTTCGGCGTAATATTCCCACTCAAAGTTTTCGGATATATCGTGCTGGGCTGGAGTCACTGGACACTTTTGCAGCTGGGCGCCGAAGGGCTGGCCTATTTCCTAGAATCGGTCAGATGTCAAGATTGAGTGGTATAGGGCGTCAACAGCACTCGAGATGACCAAGCTGGATTTTATCCTGTGACGTCCATCATTGAGGCCTATGCCGCGAGGCAGCTCAGCGGCCGAGGTCGTTGACTCATCGGGCTATGTAGCCACTCTACAGCTTCGCCGGAATTGCCGCAGATGATTCCGGGGATAACATGTTGGAGGACAAATATAGCGAGAGAGACGAGACGTGCACAATGAAATATAGGCTGGGCATCGGAAATACTCGGCTATGAGCCCCTTTTGCTGGACCCCTTTGCTTCATGACTCAGTGATAACCACTCTGACACAAGACCTGGCAGGTTTGACGGAAAGCCCGCAGATGCGCTCCCGCCCGTCTCTGCATGTCATGTGCGAAGCGAAGGATGAATTTTGGTGAGGAATTTCCAGAAAAAAATGTGGTTTGGAGAGAAAAATGAAACGCCGTGGGTCGTGGCTATTAGAGGATTGACAGCGGCATTTTCGTCACAGCTGCTTCGAAGCAGGGACGAGGCCATGCATTGAAACGACCCCAAGGATGGGGCTTCGACTCGGCATAATGGGCTGAATAGTGATTTTTAATGCCGAATTATGGCAGACAGGACAAGAACACTCATTGCTGTTCGAGTGCGATACTGTACAGCGTTTTCAGTGGACATGGATGACGGAGCGCGGCAATGTGTCGATCAGCACCAGACATCACTCGATATCGAGACAAAGTCGGCGCTTACTGATGGACAATTTTGCTCCGAGTCGAACATCAGACGATACTCCTAGCCCAAAGCACAATGGAATATTTCAGGGCACTAGAATGAAACACGGGTGGATTGCTTTGTAATGGGCTCGCTTCTTTGCACGATTGCGTGCTGTGGTGACGAGGCCTGTGAATAGAGGACTATTAACTACTATGTGGGAGCTTGCCTGGCACATGCAGATAATCCTCTCATGGCATGCTGTGCCATGTAAGTGGATAGGAGCTTACGACAAGAGGGCGCACAAAGCGTGACTGCAATTTCACGACGACCAAGAGCGCCAGCAGCAGCTGGGGCACAGAAACCTAGGAGATTGTGGCTGGAGACAAATGCAGTGGGGGGTCGGGACATGCATAGAACCGCCTACAATTCAGGCCGAAGGTGTACATATGTAGTCAGATACATGTAAGTACAATGACATGACAAGGGGTTACAGCCCATGAGAGGTCCCGTGATTGTAGAGACATGCGTCAACTGGTGTGGGGGGAGAAGGTACTGGACCTGAAGACCTAACAAAAATAAATCATCTTATGTGAATACAAGTCACGAACTCCTCCCTTGCTGTTTAGTTTATACAATCATCATCCATAACCACTACTGTATATAAAAGGAGATCATTTTTATTAGCGTAAAAATTCCCGTATGTAACCCTCCCTGGGTTGGATTGTACGGCGTGACATGTCTGGTAATATACGTGCCCCTACAGAGTACCACAGGGATTCGCATCCCCCGCAAAAGCCCAGTGCACCATTGATGCAACGCCGCAGAGAGTCAACTCGTTGACAATACGACCTATTCGCACCAGACCCCTGGGAGATCTTCCTTGTCAGGCCGTACGGGCGGCAGCCATGGATGGACCTCGAATGTAGGCAAAAGGCTCCATGTCAATGTTGACTGCGCAGTGTTGATTCGAGCAAGTATCAATTCAAAGCAGTCTTTGATACCTGCACGCATGCGGGCTCTTTGTTCAAACCGGACGGGACCAGACCGGACCAGACACTTACTCGTCGCGCCTGCCGTGTGTTGCAGAAAAGTACGGAGTAGCCAAGTGCGCAAAGGGGGAAATGAGATCGGAAATATGACGGCAGTGGCGCCAAAGCCGACATATCCCAGAGCCATGTTGTGGCACAACGATTCATGTGGCAAAATGTGGAGCCACTGCGCAGAGCCAAGTCGCGATTCATTCGGCTCCTCGCTGCCCCCGTCCACTTCGCCTCGAGACCAAGATGGCCGAGATCAGATAAGCTTGGCGGCGACCGCCAGGTATCCCACAAGAGCCGAGCTGGGCATCTGGAATCCACGGGGCGTTGCCCAAAGAGGTCTGCATGACGCGGCGGTGGACCCAGAGCGGAGGCGTTTGTCAAGGCTCCATCTGGCAATGGACTCCAAATGTACTTTCAGGGCCCCCGTTAATAGTTCCCCGGGATTATTCATGAGCCGCGCGCATTGCTGTGGAGGCCGGGCCAAGATGCGACATCAATGGACGCTCAGCCGGCGCGACCTGGCCAGCTGGTTGTGGTGAGTTGACTGAGGAATCATGGATGGCTTCAACATTGAATGCTCCATCTTGGAGGAGCACTTGCCTTGGGGCTGCGACACTGGGCGGTGGCAGTGGGCAGTGGGCAGTTGACATCAGTCACGACTCACATGATCGAGTCAGGCCGGACCTTTGAAGCTTCAATGTTCCATGTCCAGTTTTCAACTCTCCGATACGGGGCTGGCACAGGCCGCTGTGACGCTGTCTCGGGCCAACAGGAGACATGACAGGGCACTTCAGCTCACTTGGCATTCAATGTTTTTCTTTCTTCTCTTCCAGAAGTTGTGCTGATCCTCCAACATGTACAAACGTGGCACGGCCATCATTGACGGGACGATGCCGCCAAAACTGATTCGCCCATCTTAGCCGCCTGCACAGGCACAGGCTTACAGCATAGAGAGTCGCCAATGTGAAACCAGGACAGCATCAAGACCCTGTTGGCTGAGCTATGCATGACTGCCATCCTCCAATGTCGCCTAGGCCCAAGTGGCGTCTAAAACTAAGACTATAGCGTCCCGGCAGCACATCATCGTGGCGGTTGAACCTGGTCGCGCGCGGTTCCACCAACTTGATGCTGACATATAGTATATGCACTCGAGGATGAGCTTATTTTTCGATAGGGCCAAAGACGGCAGTCTGCCGGGGTTTACCATGCATCCCAGGAATCCCAGGGAGTCGGGGACTCTCCGAGACTCCAAGAGACTCCAAGACGGAGCCAAGAGAGGCTGCGCACCCCGTCCGCGTAATAGATGCTGAGGCCGGCCACTCCGCCGGTAGCATATGCCGCGATTATGGCGGTTTGTTGTTTCCTTCTCAAAGCGTTTTGGATGAGTCAATGCCACCCAGGACGTTGAATCGCCGAGTGTGAAATATATAAAGATGACCTGCAGCCCCCCATTCACCACCAGTCCCGAATCCTCACCACTCAACAGGACTACCAACTTCACACCTTCATTTTCCCACTGTTGTTAACCATATACTCACTCTTTACGTCTCGACTCCCAGCATGCGCCCCGTACTCGCTTCACCGCTCCTGCTGAGCTCGGCCCTCGCCGCATGCGTTGACGGCGCGAGCAAGGCCGGCGGCGCCGGCTCCGGTGCCGGCGCCCAGTCCGCCGTCGAATCCCGCACAATCGACGAGATCTACAAGGCTGCCGTGGCCGAGGGTGGCCAGGTCGTCCTCTGGCACGGCGGCGACGAGGTCAACCAGATGGACTTTATCAAGGATGCCTTTGAGAAGCGATTCCCCGACATGAAGCTCAACATCACTGTCGATCTCTCCAAGTACCACGACGGCAGAATTGACCAGCAAGTGGCCGCCAAGGCGCCTAGCCAGGTCGACAGCGTCTACCTGCAGACCGTCCACGATTTCCCTCGCTGGGCCAAGGAGGGTGTTCTGCTGGACTACGCGCCATTGGGATACGACCAAATCCTCCCAGAGTTCAAGGACAAGTCGACCGCCTCGTGGTACGCCCTCGAGGTGCTGTTCTGGCAGAACGCCTGGAACACCAAGAAGCTTCCCAATGCCAACTTCAACAACTTTGACGAGTTCCTCAAGCCCGAGTACAAGGACAAGTTGGTCCTGACGTATCCCAACGACGACGACGCAGTCCTCTTTGCCTTTGACCTGATGTAAGTCACTCCATGCCGGCCTACACCGGACCATGTCGGCTAACCATGTGTTTTTTTTTTCGCCCCTTTAGCCTGCAGAAAAAGGGCAATGCCTGGCTCGACAAGCTGCTCGCGCAGAATCCCACCTGGGTCCGCGGCACGGCCACGCCCTTCACCCTCATCGCCAAGGAGGACAGCCCCCTGGCGGCGACCTTCACCACGGCCGTCGGCTTCGCCAACGTGACCAACATCCGCACCGCGTTCCCCAACGACGCGCAGTTCGTCTCCTGGGGCCAGAGGGGCGGCATCCTCAAGAACGCGCCGCACCCCGAGGGCGCCAAGCTGCTGGCCGCCTTCATGCTCACCCCCGAGTTCCAGAAGGAGTACGGCTGGAGCGTCCGCGGCGACGTCCCGGCCCCCGCTGGCTTCCCCAAGGTCACCGAGATGCAGAACACCGACGTCTTTGCCTTTAACACCTGGATGGAGGACCGCGCCCGCGTCGAGCGCCTCCGCTTCTGGTACGAGGACCGCATCGGCACTGCCCAGGGCGTGAGCCCCCTGGTCGATAACGTCTAAGCGCAACGCAGCATCTTTTTGTATTCTACATCTTGATTTGGATAGACTTTGCTGTTGTATTGAATTCGGGCAAGCGGTGTTTCTCCGGTTGGGCTAGCTGGCATTGTACCTACATAGGGCCTGGGTGGACGTGGCGCCTGTAGGCAGGGGTTGAAATTCATATACTGCGATTATAAGCCATGATCCTTTACTGCCAGTGAGGTGTACACGTGTATGTGATTGTGGTAAGAATGCATGTGCTGCAAATAGCTCTCACGGCTGCTGTGGGAGTTGGCAAGGTGCCCGGATGAACATGAACATCAACGATGATGGCCAGCCAGCTAATACACGCTTTGACCATACATGCCAACATGAATAGTGACATTTGGGGCTACAGGCTAGTGAGAGCGCTGTGACTGGGGCACTTCTGCCGTGGCGATGCTATTTTCAATGTCTGGACCTGCCAACTTGCGGGCACTCATTAATGGGATACTGTGGACTCTGGAGGCACTCGGTGCATTGAGAATGACTCGTGAGGGTTTTGTTAGCGTATAAGTGATGTGCTAATGTTTACTATTCCAGAAAGGTGTGAGTGGCGGTCCCTTGACGCAATGCATGATTTAAGATTCAATGTTTAATTGATATTGACTAGTTGACCATCATGCCGTGGCGTCTGTGCACACATGGTCGTAGAAAGACCGACAACATTGAATTCATTCCATCTCCAGTGGCGCGTCAGAAAGCTCATCGCAGTCATATTTTTCCAATGACCCCTTTATTCAGAGCAGCCAAAGTCGTATGCAGTGTCAATTCTTGTGAAACAATGGGTTTTTTCGTGAAAAAAAAGGGTTTTTTTCACGATGATAAAAGACCCCTGGGCATACTTCTGGACCATGTGTTCTTTGCATGAAATTATCTGACGTGATATCGCTGCTGGTGTCGCCGAGAAGAATAGCTTGACTAGTAATCTAGGCCCCTTGGAACTTTTTACGCTCCATCGTACGAGGGCAGAGTCATTACACGTTTCACCGAGCCTGGGCATGTAAATAAAAGACCTACTGGACTGCTTCTCTGGATGTATTGCCACGACGGTTGCCGCGCTTAAACGGCCAGGCGGCTAGGGCCACGACACCGAGGGCACAAGGCTCTCGCCACGTTGGCATGGACAGTCCAACCAGCCTCAATTGAATTATTCTTTATGCGTGGCCTGGCAGGGGGGCTAATAACCAATCAAAAAAGGCTTCATATGGAACCTCTAAGTACCTGTAATTACGTAATATTTCTTAATAAGTCGAGGTTTCTTTATAATTCCTATAATTTCTCCTAATGCCCGATTTCCTAAAATATACAGGTCACAAGACAGTTAATGCACTGCCCCCTGCTAACAGCTACCCTATCAGTTCACGCATGAAGAATAATTCAGGGGGAAGACTGTATGTAGAGTTCTTTGGTCTATCTAGCCCTTGAGAAGACTATTTCCGGTCCGGAACACGGAGCTGTAAAGCGGACGGTATTCAGCTATTACTCGTGGGCGGCCAAGGAGCAGTTTCAATGTTGGTTATTGTTGTATCCCCTTGCGCGACAGCGTGTAAGTATTTATTAAGCTTGTTAAATTCACAAGGCAACTAGTCAGCATGTAGGAATTGGAAAAAACAGGCCTGCCTATTTTTGATGTACGAAATACTCCTGGACCTCTGATAATTCAAGCGGGAGTTGCCAAAACTCGATGGTTCGAACTTGTTGTGTTACTCATACACTCACTTGCAACTATGACAGAAGGTCCTCATAGCGGGGGCCTCTTTAGCTCCTTAGATTAGGGCGGGTGGTCAAGAATTCAAGGACAGTACTCACCCGATAGAACCTTTCGCTCTCTGTCTCTCTGGAGAATATTTGTGCCAATCTCCCCGGATATAATCTTGTGTTTCAACATCAGTCTTTGTACACAAAGCGACCAAGTGTGCCTATTACCGTGAGCACCTTGACGCTGAGATTATCAAGTATAGGTAAAATTAATATAAACATGGTTTTAGCATAGTCGCAGCTTGAACAACTCACTCCAAGGGAGCCATTTCGACTCGCAGAGTGTTGGACCAAGGCTGCAGGGCAGCTTTGGTGGCGTTGCGAGCCAACAAGCATATAACATATCCATTGCACTAATAGTTTAGCTTGAACGAGAGACTCTTGATTTCCTATCTAAAAGAGCGTAATTATACTAAATTAAATACTTTATTAAGATACTGCTAGGTAAGCAGCAGTATTACGATTTCCTGTTACCACCTGCCACTTGCTAGTGGTAAGTTGCCACCTAGGCAGTAATGCTTGCGTATTCTTGACAGAGGCAGCATTATGCTTAAATAACGAGCGACCTGATTTTGACAACATTGAATGCATGTGATCTTGTGAAGGCTAATAGCCTCCACAATCTCCACCGCCCTCCAGGCAGCAAGCCCGGCTGAAGCAGTCGACGGGACAAGATTCCGTAGAATCACACTGGATCTCGAGGCCGTCACAGGTCCAGGCCCCCTTGTATCTGCACTTGCATTTCCATCCCGCCCGGGGAGCCTTGCTGATGGTGCAGCCACCGGGGTGATAATCGCAGTCACAGGCTAAAACAAATAAAGACCCAAAAATTAGTTATGAAAAGTTGGCATGGTTTTGGTGGAACAGGCCAAGGTTTTGGGAGTTGTGGGGGAATTGTACCTACCCAAAGTACAAGCCGTAAGTGCTTGAATGAGCAAGATGATGGCGTAGCCCTTCATGCTTGAGTCGGGATTGATTGCAAATTTCTGAAAACTGGGACGGGAGTTCTGGCTAGGCGTCAAACGTGGATGTATGGTTTGGTTAAAGACGACCAATAAAGCGTTTGTTGTGGCATTGCTGAGAGGAGAATAAGAGCGAATTCGACCTGTTTATATACTTAAGTACGCTGGCCATGAGCATCAGTCAGCGTATGTTTGCCATTCCTGTGCTTCGTGGCTGTGGCTTCTCCAGATGTAGCTGAGTACATCCAAAACCGGCGTTGCGCCTGCACAGAGAAATTAAGTTTCCACAAAATACCATGAATCATCGTTTCTCTTTCTCACATGAATTTGTGCCAACAAATAAATACGTATTCAACCTTAACACAATAAAAGGAGTAATTTAATTCAAGGTAATAAAAAGGAAATATTATTTAGGGTTAGTTATAGCCTTTTCACAGGAATGTCTAGGAATGAAAAGCTACTTTAGTGTAGCTTGAAGGCGGTACTGTAATGGTGTTACTGTCACTTAAAGTTTTCTGCAATATCGTCTACTAAGGTATCCCATTCCTGTGTAAAGTCTAAATAGCCCTCTTCTTTCCACGTTTAAGTTTGTTATTATATAATAGTATTAGTGCTTGAATATACCTACTTAATTTAAGTTCATAGAAAAGTTAAACCTGAGAGTTTAAGTTGCCCGCATAGTTGCCTAAATAATTAACTTTATTAAGAATTTTATTTTTTAACAAAGTATAATTGCTTAATATTTACATGGGCAAGTATAGTTGCATGCCAAACTCTAATATTTTATGCCAGCCCATGCTATTTGTTGCTAATAATTAACTCGAATTATGTACAGTTTCTAGAGACTGTGGTAATATCTGAAATCACAGCCTGCGCTGGTGGCTTCCAAGTCATGATTTATAGTATATAGGGTTAAGATGCCGAGGCGATCTGGATTAGTGCCTTAGGCTGTCACCCTAAAGTATATCCAGGCATGACCGCTTACTTAGCTACTAGGTAATATATTAGTGGTGGGCTACTGCGAGACCTTGGTACCGTATAAAAAAGCTGGTATGGTGCTGCCACTGTAGAAGGTTATGGCACGGTGTTCTCCTCAATACATATTACACGGAAAAGGCCCAACAAATTGTAAAGCCTACATATATAACAAAAGAGCTTTACTAATATAAGATTTATTAGTTATACAGCTTAAATATATATCTAGGTAAGAGCTTTAAGCCTAGGTATTTCTTTTATATATATAAAGTAATTACTTTTTTTTCTCTTCTTAATAATTAAAACCTTTAGAGACCCTTTGAGATTATTATTAAGTTAAGCCTATTTGCTTCAAGCCTTCTATATTGAACCCTTGTCATAATACGCGCCGAGATAACGCCAACTATGTCATCATTCTGAATTTCCATGAATTGGTATATCCAGGAGGGAAGTCGCCTTCGTATCATCTGGGTGGTGCACTGCCGTCCAATAAAAAGGAGCACTGTGATCAAAGGCAACCTTTCGCAAGCGGCCAACAAGTTCTCGGCGTCATTGCACTCATCCAGCGCATCGATAAATACAAACAGTTTCTCCACGTACACGTTCAGAAAGCCGAGAATCTTGTAAATGCCGTCCAGTCTCGCACTGGGCCACCGCAGCTGTCACGTTGGCACAGGCTGGCTCTGGAGGGCTACAGACAGTAACGCGACTGCTTTCACAAGGGTGGATCAACAGCTTTCATCTTGTCATCAATTTTGTATAATTGCAGGGGATCTGCTGATACTTACTAAGCCTTTGGAAACTAGACTCAGGCTCTTTGATGTATTCTCTATGATTTCAGAAACATAGTCCCTCAAGCGATCAATAGACCTCAAGCCATGGTGGTCAGACGATTTCCGTAGTACCTACATCAGGCTAACATTTTTGCGCAAGTTCGATGGCTCGTCGTACCCAAAACAATCCAAATGGACACAATAAAGCCAAGGTGCTTCACCCGGTGTCCTGAGGCGTCACCGTGTGTGAAAATGAGGCCGTGGCAGCAGCCTTCTATATCGCAGCCTCCAGTTGAGCACTCTTCGATTTGCGTCTTTGCCGGAATCAGAGCAAGTGGCTTTACATCACGCAAGCTTTCTGCAGATGCTGGGAAGCACCTGTAGATTGTGTCGAAGGCACCGTAGAAGCCATCTTCATTCCCGTAGTCAGTTCGCACACAAATGCCTGGTACGGCCTTTCGTTCCTAGAACAGCCTCAGGGGTACTAGCGGAACCTGAAGCTCTATCGACGCTGCGGTCACGCCGCCGAATGGCTTGGCATCATCCAGCAAGTTGACCTGAGTGTGAAAGCGGTGGCTGTAAAGTGGATTGATTTAGCTTTGAATCCCACACCAGGCATGCAGTCGAACGACGCCCAGGACCACGACGGGGCAGTGCTCTCAGTGCCAGTTAACATTTCAGGGAATGCCAGCACAACGACTCTATAAAAGACTTCCTCCAGTATCCCACAACTTGTCATCTAGCATGCGTTGAAAGGCACTTGCCACGTTGGAGAGAGCTGTGAGCTTACCCGAAGGGGTGGTTGCCTCCGTTAACCAGATAGTTAGATAGACATTTGCGTTGACGGAAACTGCTTGCTCAGAATCCGTTGTCCATTCTCGCGGATTGCTAGGGATGCATAGCGATCTGATCCAGATTTACGGAACATCCAAGGTGCGAGTCACAAGTACGGCGTCTTGAAACATCTTGGAAAGGTCGGCAATGCGTATGTTGCTGTCCTCGGGTAGGGTATAAGACTCCCATTAGCCCACGATACTGGATTCAGATGTATAAGTCAGGGCTGTGTACTTACGCCGGGCCCTTGCGTCCAATTCGACTAGTTTTACAGTACACCTAGACCTGGAGCTCTAAGTGCTCAGCATGGAACCGGTGCCATGTTAACATTCAAGATCTTGTTCGCCCTCGGCGTCCCATATAATCAGGCTTTTGAGTGTATGCATGTCGAGATGCTGTTTTACAGGGCTCCCGCGAAACGTACCAGCCGGAGTATCATCTTTTAAAAATTAGCGTCCAGGCAACAGTATAAGTAGAGGTTAAGATTCGGACATATCTGTCACAGTGAAGCCAAACACAGTAACGGGGACAGTCACTGTTCCCCTGGCTCTGGCGCTGCACTCTGACAAGACCCAGAAGCCTTGGCCGCCATCGGGACGTTTCGTCAAACGCATATCAAAGGTGGGCGGGCCGTCGAATCGTCTTTCATCAGGCCTTCACGGCCCTCGAGCTCGGCCAACATGGCATCTGCTTCGCCTTGAATCAAAAGACAGAGCTCCCACCCTTCTGCAGCTGGCCCTCGCAGACTTTGGATTTGGCATGATGACTGACCCTTGGTGCAGTAGCGCCACGGGGATTGAATTTGTTTGGCACGAGAGTCTGCACATGCTCCAGCCCGGTCGACGTTCCGACGTATTCTTCCTTCGGGAACGGTGGGGGATGCTCGAACGGGATCGACTTTCAGATGTCGCAGAGAGGCATTACGGCAGCAGAATGTACAACAAACTCTACGCCGTTCTGGCTGGTGCGAAGAGACAATTGTCGAGGTAGCCAGGAAAGAGGTCGAGGTGAAGCCCTTGTTGGCCCGGACCACACGGGAGATGCATGGCTACCCCAGGCACCAGCCTAGGTCTGGCGTATAGTAACCGCAAGAGTCACCTCGTTATCTTGTTCATGTCATGGGAAGATGACGGGCTGTATGGCTGATGCAGTAGTTGGAGTTATTGAAACTCAAATAACTAAAACCCTGGACACACACAACTCTTGGCTGGTAAATTCAGAAGATTTCACTCAGGGTCGCAACGAACAAAGGCAAACGGCACGACGATTCGTGCTGGCTGCAGACATTGGTCTGTGCATCAGGGGGACTGTAGAAGTGATTCGAGTGACGCAAGTGGTGTGACTGCTGGAATACGGCGGGCTTGTTGCGTCAACGTCGAAAGTACCAGGGTGGAATAGTAGAAGTAGCAGAGAATCAGACGGCACTTCAAAAGTTGGCACGTCTGATTGACCTTTGACAGTTCAGTCTGGCAGCTGCAACAAAGCAGTCTGGTCTGGGTTGTTTGCCTGGTAGCCGCACGTGTGCCTTCGCTCTTGAGGTGCCGTTTGCTCCTTCCTTTCTCGCCCCTCGTGCCCATTTCACAAGAGCACTTTGAAAAGTTTGACACACAGTTCAAAGGCTGGAACCATCACAAGACAAGTTGGTGCAGTTTTGCGAATTCCTATTTTCCTTCCCTTCTCACAATTACAACCCGTGGTTTCTATTTGATGAAATCATGAGCCAAAGCTCCAAACACGCGACGGCCAACGACCTTCGCCGCACGGACGAAACGGTTGTAACTGCGGGCACTTTCGATTCGGCTAGCGAGGCAGAACAAAACCATCACGTTTCGAGCAATGAAGGCAACTATGACAGCGACAGCAGTTATGCTGCTGAAAAATACCGGCTGACGACTAACCCCGAAAGGCGTCCCAAGAAGCCATTGACCCAAAACTCCGAGCATGCTGCGTTCATGTCTTGGGTCGCGGATGAAGCCTATCAAGATGATACAGCAACACCAGCAAAAGAGGATGATACTGTTGAGGGTTCCACTACAATCGTAGAGTCTGGTCCATCACATCAAAGGATTGTTACAACGCCTCGTCAATACCAAATAGACCTATTCGAACGTGCAAAAGAGCAAAACACCATCATCGTGCTCGATACAGGATCTGGAAAGACCTATATTGCTGTTCTTCTGCTTCGGCACGTGCTTGCTCTCGAACTTGAAAACCAACAGCAGACCAAACGAACCGCCTTCTTTTTAGTGGACAAGGTGGCACTTTGTTTGCAGCAGCATCGATTTGTTCAGGCGAATCTGGAATACCCCGTGGGCAAATTGTACGGGGATAAAGCAAGCATGAGAGAATGGGCATCCGAAATACAAGAAAACATGGTCATTGTTTGTACCGCACAAATACTTCTGGATCTCCTTAGCAGCGGCCTTGTAACAATGAATCAAATCAACTTGCTGGTTTTTGACGAGGCACACCACACCAAAAAAAACCACCCATATGCCAGTATCATGCGAGATCACTACATCCGGATGAAGGCACATCATCCTCGGATTTTGGCCATGACGGCGTCCCCTGTCGATTCAAAGACCCGCGATTTCTATGCTGCTGCTCTTGATCTAGAAGCCACGCTTTGCAGCAAGATTGCTACTGTGTCTGAAGAAGTCCTGCTCGCAGGCATGGGTAGGAAGCAACAAATCGAACGTGTTATTGAGTACGGTCCCTTGGCAGACCCGGCGGATGAAATGACCATGACCACTCTTTCTCTATCCTTATCAACACTTTGCAGGTATCAGTCAAATTTCCAAATCCACTTGGAGGCTGCTAGATATACTGCTTCCACCATCGGACCTTGGGGTGCAGATCAATACTGGAGGCAACTTTTCAAGAGCCCTGACCAGTATCTAACAATAACCGAGCTGACCGCCAATACGGCTGATGAGCTTATTTCTCATGTATCGGGGACATATTTTCAAGCTCAAGAGCAGATTGATGATGATTTGATAAAAGCAAGAGCTAGAAAGCTCGTAACAGATCACGTTTACAATGAGTCGACCCAAGACTTCTCGCTTAAAGTTCAGGCGCTTCACGAAATACTTCACGACGCATTTGAGTCTCAACAAAGCACAACATGCATAGTTTTTGTTCAGAAAAGATATATCGCCTTTCTACTATCAGAAGTGTTCAATCGATCTGCGTTGAGGATACAGGATATGGCTGCAGGCTTTGTGGTATGTAATTATTCCGCAAATCTCATATTATAGATTCACAGCACAATCTAATCCTTTATTAGGTAGGATCGCAGCCAGCATCTTCGAGTATCGTCAACATGTCTATTAAAGACCAGATCGAGTCGTTAAACCGCTTTAGGTATGGCGAAATAAACTGCATTTTTGCAACTCAAGTTGCAGAAGAAGGTATTGATATACCCGAGTGCGACCTGATTATCAGATTCGATCTCTACAATTCTGCAATCCAGTACATTCAATCTAAAGGAAGGGCGCGCCAGACAAATTCTGTATACGTCAACATGGTTGAACGGGATAATATACAACATCGCCGTAAATTAATACAGGCTACGAGAGATGTCCATGCCTTGCGACGCTTCTGTTCTTCTCTTCCCTCTGACAGGAAAATCAACGAGGTAGAGATAAACGACGGCCTGCTTGGGTTACAAGCCAAGTCACAAATCTCGTTCGAGGTCCCGCAAACGGGCGCCAGACTGACATTTGATTCTAGCCGAGGCGTGTTGGCAAAGTTTGTATCCTCGGTTTGCGGCGGCGCCGATGCTCATCCCGAATATATTGTCACATCTACTGAAACGGGCAAGTTTACTGCAATGGTACTGTTGCCTGATTCATGTCCAGTGAAATCATTCTCGGGTACTCCTCAACGCAGTAAGCTACTGGCACGAGGCTCGGCAGCATTCAAGGCATGTATCGAGCTGCTCAATCATAAGTATATTGATGGGAACTTTCGTTCAACCCTAACAAGGCTCTTGCCAAAAATGCGCAATGCTCGGCTTGCCCTCAGCGAAAAAAAGCAATCAGAATATGGTATAAAATCTAAACCAGAGCTATGGGCCCAGCGTGCAACGTCACAATTATTCGTCACTACACTATCAATCAAGGGTCCAGGCCCTACTGGAAGACCTGGCCGTCCGCTTTGCATCTTGACACATGCCGCATTGCCTACAATCGAGCCGATAAGACTCTGGATAGACAACGATGTCCAGTCAACTCTGGCACTACATCAATTCGCCGTGCCTCTCACATTAACTGGAGAGGAAGTAGCTAGTTTGGCCAAGTTCACCCTCATATTATTCAACGATATATTCAGCAAGGACTTTGATTGCGATTCGGGTAGCATGCCCTATTTTCTGGCCCCTTGTGTGCTCTCAACAGCAGCGACCAATCTAAAGGAGACTGGTTGCCCATGCGATGGGCGGACCGTTATCGACTGGGATATTGTTAAAAGATCGCAAGTGGCTTGCGCTCCCACTTTTCCCACTCTTTTAACAAGTCCAGTAGACTTTATGGATCGATTTGTTACTGATCCGTACGATGGATCTCGGAAATTCTTCACTAGCAGGGTGAACAAAGACTATCAAGCATTTGACCCGGTTCCAGACGATGTGCCGCTTCCAAGGTCTCGCAGTTATTTTCGGGTGCAGAAGAACATTGCCCAGTATAGCAATAGCCTAACATACAAATTCAGGCAAAGCATAATCTGGAACTCAGAGCAACCAGTATTCGACGCAGAACTGCTCCCACTGAGAAGAAATTTGCTCTGTGAGCCCGATCAAGGGGATATGCATTTACCTAGGGGTTGTTTCCTTATCTTAGAGCCGTTGGCTATATCTACCGTAAGGCATACATTCAATTTCCCAACACTCGAGCTAACATGTTCCAGCTTCCTGTTGATGTTGTCGTCACAGCTTTAGCCCTCCCTGTTGCGATATATTCCATTGAATCAGCAGCCATCGCGATGGATGCTTGTGGGTTTATTGACTTGGCCATTTACCCCCCATTAGCCTTGGAGGCGCTCACAAAAGGTGAGGAGGATGTTGACGTTCAAACTAGCAAGAATTACGAGCGACTTGAGTTCCTAGGTGACGCGTTCCTGAAAATGGCCACAACAATATCGCTGTTCACATTAATCCCGAACAGGAATGAATTCGAATATCATGTGGAGCGTATGATTCTAATATGCAACAAGAATCTTTTCAATCACGCCGTGGATAGAGGTTTACAGGAATACGTGAGGTCCAGAGGCTTTGATCGACGCTCGTGGTACCCAGATCTCGTACTGCGGAAAGGAAAGAAACACAAGCCAGTAGGACTTACTCAGAGACTAGCGGATAAATCTATTGCGGACGTGTGCGAGGCTCTTATCGGCGCTGCCTACATGACAGAACCAGAAGGCATGGATTTAGCTGTGAAGGCGGTCACCATAATGGTGCAAAGCAAGAATCACAGGATGAAAAAGTATAGCGACTACTACGAGAAATACGTTCAACCGGCTTGGCAAACTACCCCATCGCGTCCCATTGAACTTCTTGCGGCGGACAAGGTTAAGGCATCCATTGGGTACAAATTTAGGTCACCAAAACTTCTACGAAGCGCATTCAAGCATCCGTCTTACCCATATGAACCGGAACTTCCAAACTATCAAAGGCTGGAATTTCTAGGCGATGCACTTCTTGACGTGGCTATCGTTGACTTCCTGTTTCAACGATACCCGTTAGCCGACCCGCAGTGGCTCACAGAGCACAAAATGGCAATGGCCTCGAATCACTTTTTCTCTTTTCTCTGTGTAGAGCTTGGACTACATAGGCACATCTTAAGCACAGGTTCATCTATGATGGGTCATATTGCCGGCTTTGTCGAACAAATCGAGAAGGCAAAATCGCAGACTGAGGACGGCGTTCTGCAGCTGGATTTCTGGCTAGACACGGAACATCCTCCCAAAGCACTTTCGGACATTTTGGAAGCGGTTGTGGGGGCAATGTACGAAGACTCCAAGTACGATTACAATTTAGTTCGCAATTTCTTCGCCAAGTTCATCGCACCATATTTTCAAGACATGACGTTATACGATACCTATGCTGGAGGGCACCCAGTCACACAGTTGACCAAGCTCATGCAAGACACCTTTTGTTGCCGATCATGGCGACTTTGCATTTCGCCAGTGCCTTGTGGTTCAGACACAGGGGCGTCAGCAATAACGGACAGCAATGTGGTTTGCGCACTGATGATACACAAGAAGAAAGCTTTTCACGGTATACGAGGGAGTGGAAAGGATGCAAAAATTGCCGTGGCAGCAGCGGCTTTGAAGCAGATGAGAGATTTAGACGGGGATGCGTTTCGGAGAATGACGGGCTGCGATTGCGGAGTGGTAGATTGATCAATTTAGTGGGAGTGAGCTGCAGTCGTCGATAGTCATGAGAAATATTAGGTTACCAAGAAGAAGAGAAGTGTCAGCGCCAGGATCTGATGATAGCTTTGTGCCGCATATGGTTCCAAAAGGAACCATTCTCGAAACTATAATATAGAGGATGTCTTAGAAACTGCCGGCCCGTTCTAACGTCCGTGACTAGGTGACTACAAGTCCAACTACATGCTATGTTCGTACCATGGGCCGTAGTGTGTTTGAAGAATTTGACGTGTACGCACGACGAAGTACCTAGGTAGTTAATCAAAATTATCATGACATTTAACGCATGTTAAACCTGAATTGGTTAGTATGTCTCGGCCCCTCCTGTTGTCCATATATTTCTTTGCCCGTGACTCACCAATGGGAGTGGAAGGCGAATTTACGGGGTCTGAATGTATTTAATGGTGTCAATGTTTATGGAGCGAGCGTTATAACTTATGAATCATTTCGGTTACTCGGAGACTAACGGTCTAAGCCGGAGATCCACCGCGAAAGCATGGGGTAGGGCCTGGTATCAATGTAGCCGCGGCGCGTTGCGACGTCAAGGTGCCATTTATGTGGCGCTCGGGACGGTGATGCCGAAACTGGAGACTGATGGATCGTGGGGTTAAATCCACAGTTAGTATCGCGCTCTATACTATTAATAGTATTATAACATTGAATACTAGTATAACCTATTTTCGGGTAAAATATTCTACCACAAACTGCAACCAGGATACATATATCAAACACACATAACAGGCCGTGACGTGGCAACAAGGCAATGTAGAACAGTCAGTCAGTGGACAAACATGTCAGAGTTGGACGCAAAATTGGACTTGAATACTTTTTGAATTTCCCGCATTAGCCATCCTGATTCCGACGCTCCATATTACACGTCCTCAGTCGCTGTATCTTGTCTACCCATAAACTCATCACACCAGCACTCGAGAAGATCAAAGTCGTCGGCTCGACCCGATGAGCCGCCCTCCACAGGAGATTCAACCTATGCGCAGGCCCTAGTCTCGTGTTAGTCGCAACTGGCCAAGAAGAACACAACGGACAACTCGGCAGAGCCAGACAGTACCAGGTGAAACGCCCATGTCCACGATGTTAACAAGGAATATGCGACCCTTGAGGCGCAAGGGTGCGGCTTCGGGATTTTCCGGGCCGTGCCTCCTCTTTTTGCAGCAGATGAGGATGCTTTCGAAAAGATAGACCTGAAACTGTAGCCAGGCATGGCATGTCAATGCCCCGTGGACAAATTTAAAACAATCACGCACAATGGAACGAGCATACCGGCGCCTCTGACTCCAGCCTCGCTCCAGGACGACATCGGAGGGTCTGGAATAACACCAACTTGCCAAAGGTGCTCGGATCCAAGCCCTTCCAATCCTCGACCCGCTCCAAAAGATACCCGACGTCGAGGTCTAGACACTTTTGCGTCAGCGCCTCGTTGGCTCTGTCCAGAATATCGTGGTATGCCGCCGCCGCCGCTTGCAGGCTCGCATGCCTGGCCTCGTCGGCCCGTATCTCATGCAGCAGTTCCTAGCGAGCAGTCAGCACCCGCCAGGGGTCGCAGCCAGGCGCGGCCTGACGCACTTTGAGGATGCGGGAGTATCGAGCAAAGCGCGCGTACGGCCACTGAAACGTGTGGTGGATCATGTAGCGGTCCGAGACGAGCTGCAAGACCTCCGGGGGCCCGGACGTAGTTAGGATAATGGCGTGTTGCCGAACCGCAGCATTGATTTGAGCCTTGTGGTTGGCGATGTAGGCGACGTAGATGTCGGGGGCTTTGGCGAGCGTGGAGAATGCCGTGCTCCAATCTTGGTCGCGGCGCGGAAGGGCAGACGTGGTCCTCATCTGGGCGAGGAGCTGCTTGTGCAGGGCTAAGAGGGCGTCTACGTTTCCGAATATTTCGCTGACTGCGTCGGCGGGCAGGACGGCCTGGTTGAGAAGTAGGTGTTGGAGGGCGGAGAGGCGCTCCAGGCCTTGGACGTATCGGGCCTCTGTCCAGAGGATCTCTGGTATGAGCGATGCGTATCTATCTGCTTGGTGCGCCTGCTCGTTGTGGTGTTGCCTTGAGGGGGTTTGCATATTGGGCTTGTTGGGGATCCCGTCGAGAGAGGCATCTGGACGCCTGGTTCTTGAGGGCCGTGGCCGATTCTCACGACTGCCGCTGGTTTGCGGCCATGGAAGATTGGCCAAGTTGGGCAGCGGCTTGTAGAGTGATTTTGATTTGGTCACGCAGGAACACATGCACCGAAAAGCCGAGTTGGCAGACTTTGGGCTCAGGCTTTCGCAGGGCGCCGCCACATTACCACCCCAAGGACATGTATGCAGTGCCGTCACGTGTGGACAGTCTATGTATGTGTATACACTGCGTGACCAAATGTCAGCCATTGATCGCCTACCGTTGCTGTAGCTGAGCAAGTGTCTCCTGCATCAAGGTCTCTTGGCTAGTTTATCGTCATGATTTGATGTAGCCCTTATGCTGGCATCATACCCAACAAACTTGGAGATACGGGCAGGCTCAGTCCGAACCATGGTTATGCTCGGGTGGCACTTACGTTGTCCTCGAGGCCCAGCCAATGGAATCATCATGTGGAAATGTGCCCCGAAAATTGAGGCGGAAATGTCATGGTGTAGAGTTTCGTCTGCACGCAATCTGTTCTTTGAAGCGCCGCCACATGTCGAGGAGCTGATTGTAAATCTACTTCATCACGGGGCATCTCTTCACTAAGCAAACCATGACATCGTGAACTTGGCCAAACAACGACCGTGAGCATGGATGCCATCAACGCCTTCAAGCTAGCCATGGAGGCCGTATACGGCCCCCTCGACAATTCCACAGCTCAAGACGCGGAAAAATGGACTCCTCCTGCTTCGCCCGGCGCGGGCGGCCATCACGGCCGATACTTGTGGACGGACGCGTTTGGCGTCATCAACCTTTTGACCCTGTACAAGGAGACATCCGCGGTGCGCTATCTCAACCTCGCCGCGGGTCTGGTGTCCTCGGTGCACAACATTCTCGGGAGAACCAGAGACGGATCCCACAGGCTCCCTGGTGCAACGGAAGATGCGCCGTTGGCGGGCGGGCTGCGGATCGGCAAAATGGCCGAGTTCGGGGCCGACGGCGACGGCCAGTACCACCACTACCTCACCATCTGGATGTTTGCGCTGAACCGCATGTCCATGGCGACCGGCGAGCCCAAGTTCAACACCTGGGCGATGGAGCTCGGCCGGGCCGTCCACCCTCACTTTGTCGCGCCCGACGCGCGGGGCAACAAGCGGATGGTGTGGAAAATCTCAACAGACATGAGGGACGTGCTGGTCCCGTCAGAGGGCCACCTCGACGCCGCCACGGGGTTCGCCGTCTACAGGCTTCTGCAGCAGACTGCCGAGTCGTACGGCGGCGGGGACGAGTTGTCCCTGCGCGCCGAGATTGCCGACTACTCGGGGATAATGGCGCGCCCTGGGAAGCTGGCGCCGACAAGCGACTCCCTCGACTTGGGCATGGGGCTGTGGATGTGCCAGTTTTGTCTGGACGAGCCGTGGGCCGACGGGTTTGTCGACACGTCGCTGCGGATGCTGCGGGACGGGCTGGACCATTCCCGACTCGGGGGCTCTGGGCTGCAGCGGCACAAGAGGCTGGCGTTTAGGGAGTTTGGCGCGTATCTGGGGGTTCGTTGTATTGGGGCGGATGAGGAGCTCCAGGACAGGGTTGACGCATTGATCAAGTCGTGGGATGGGACGGGGGGACACGTTGATGAGGAACTGAAGCCCATTTCGCACGTCATGTATGCGAGTGCTTTGATCCCTGGTGGTGAGTTTTACAACGTGCATTGTTTGAATTCCTTCTAACGGGCGTGTTAGCTTTTTGGCGTGATTATTTCTCGAATCCGTGGAAGTAGATTCGACTACTTGACTCTTGTGCTGAGCAGTTGTGTTGATTCTTACGAACCTGGCTCACATTATAAATTGAGCTCGTGGGCGTTTCACATTGTTCTGTAAGGCGTGCAAGACTACTCTTGGGCTGTCAAAGCTGGAGGAACGTCCTGTAGTCAAGGTTTATCTTTTTCAATATCTGCTCTGCATTTATGGTGAGGTGCAGCTGAAAGGTTTGGGTATTGGGCAGTTCTATTCTACAATATTCTAGCGCCAGGGCTCTATCAAGTTTGTCAGCCGCAAGGAATTCACCACTTTTGTATACACTCTACAGGCTCAATTTCCACATCTCACTGTACTCAATGGTCTCTATCGGTTACTTTGATCGCATGTCTTTGAAAGCTTGCGTCTCGCCAACTCGCAGAAAGGCGTCCGACTGTTCTGCCAGTGTAGCCGCAGAGTGTGGCTGTCTCCTCGACAAGTATCGATACACGACGAGACTGAATCGCTCTAGCCTTTCTTATCAAGTCCTTTCTCAAAATTTGGACGACCGCTGACTACCTACCTAGGTAGGTTGCTGGCAAGATCCAAGACACTGGCTACCAGACGCAACAGACACCAGACACAGTAGAGCGATCGATGATGGCGGGCGCATCCTCGAGAGTTTGGTCAGATATGGAGCCAAGGTTTTGATGCCGGTGGCATACATCAGTCGATAGCCCTTTGATAATCTTGCTTGCACCCTTGGTCCTCACTCCAGCGCTTCCCTATAGCAATTATGCCCGTCCAGTTTCCACAACCAATGCCCAAACAATGCCGCCCGCTTTAGCCTGGCTTCCCATCGGCCGAGATGCCTGCTTATGCCAAGTCTGACGATAAAATGTACCTTTGGCTTATACACCCTTGCAGTTGGTTTCGTCTGCGAGGCAGAAACCCTCGAGACGTTCTGCCACAATGCATTCTTTGCTAGATCATCGCTTCGCCACGCACGGCAAAGAGTGGAGAAGAGGGGAAATGTCATTTAGGCGTCAAGTGGTCATTTGCTAAAGCTTGGAACCGGCACGCATCGCCACACGCATAAATGACGTCACATGCACGATGCGATAATCCTGACGACATGTCATGCAGGAGAACCCAGGCAAGACCCAACTTATATCCTGTAATTCGAGCGTGTGGGGTAGATGCTCAACTAAGTTGATGCCAGGTTTAAGCATCCAAGATTTGCATTATTTAAACTGGGCTATTACTCGGTCACCATGGACGAGGGCACGATGCGTCCCATCCCGATATTATTAGTTCATCGCTGAAATTTGCAATCGACCCTCCCACGTACCGGTCCCTTAGAAACCAGTAGAAATGGCATCGGTAGCGTTCATGTACCACTCGGGTGCATTTAATTTCAAGTATTTCTCAGACGCCCATACGCGGCTCATCTCCGAGTACGTATCCCACTGGGATAAGCATCTTTCTGCGCACCGCCCACAAAATTCACATCTGCCATCTAGTTTAATTACATTGCTGACTTTGCTTTTAAAGATGCTGGGGACCCGAGGGCCTGGAAAGCTGGGAAGTCACGCAGTTCGAGTCTGGTCTGCCTTATATGGCGCAGGTGCTTCTGAAGTTTGAGTCGATGAATAAATTGGAAAAGGCATTGGCGGGCAACAACTCGATGAGAGTTTTCAATGACATTCCTTGTTTTACCACTGGTCAGCCTCATATCATGAAAGGAACAATCAGGGCGTCACACAAGACCACACTCAAGGAAAAGAAGATTTTCGGGGAGTAGAGACAAGAGGAATGAATGCATCAAAGTGGCTGTTGTAGAACTATATTGCCGTAATGTGTGCTTGTTGAATGTATCCATGCCAGTTGTACTATCTGTGTCGTGTTCACGGCGGCCTTTCTCCAAGTCGATTCTTTTGCGTACCGCTTGTTTCTGCGACGTGGCTGCTAGAAAGGACATACCATATTACAGCAATCCTACCTCGGCCCGATTGTCGCCAGGGGGCGAGAGCGTCTTTCGCTCCTTGTTAACGTTGGCCTCGATAGCGCCACACATCTCACAGACGAATTGTTGCTCACTTTTGAAAAATGGCACAAATCTCCGTCATGTACAAATTTCTGGCAACGACAGAGCGGCTGGAAGCCTGTGCGGAACTGCTCTGGACACATTGCGAGAGAATCCAAGCATGGGAGAGAAATTGGTCAAGTTGAGATTGACAGACCAGCCGGAGTTTGATAAAAAATTTACAACCGCTGTCAAGGCACTGTCGGCAGCGAGCACGAAGCTCCATGTCCCATCCAAGTCGGCAGCACGCACTAGCGTCACGGTGGAGTGAACATTGAGTACCTGGCTTGGCGGGAAGGAAAGATTCAGTGCTGGCAGTTGACGTTTGCTTCGTCTGACAGACGGCAGGAGCAGAGCAGGTAAGACCCAGTGTTGCAAATGTCGATATTCTACTCCGTACCCAGCCCATCTCAAACAAGCACGGCCATTGCCCCGACCTCACCCACCTCGCATCAGCGAGGTCAAGCACTCAAACCCTCCAGAGCCGCGTCAGCTTAGTACACAACCAGAGGCAATGACGGCTGAGGACAGCATACAGGATGTGTGTATCGACAAACCTCGGTGCAGGCTCTGCCAGTTCCTCGTCCAAGACGGCGAAATAGTGGTCGCAGGTGTGTCATATTTTGTTCCATTGAACTTGCCATGTTCAGATTGCTCACTCTTAGCTCGTGCGACCTCCAGCTCTTGACGATGACCATGCAACTAGCCCATTCCAATTTCGGCGTCACACTACTCACGAAGATGAGACCGGGACTTATTTCCACATGTGCTGCGACAGTCGTTGCATGAGTAAAAGTCGCCGGGTTCCATGTTTTCACCGCGACTGTTATTCCGTCAAGCTGTTGCCCATATCCTCAAACTTCCTCGCTGCCACAGATTATGCGTTTAGCCCACCAATCCGCTTCGAACCTGAACGGCAGCAACGCATCATACGGACCCTGGCGAGGAACCTGGGTCTTGGTTTCTTACGTCAGTTGCCACGGGAGCTCTGCTACATTGTCGCAGGATATCTTTACCGGCAATGGGCCGCCATCGCCTGCCAAGACGTCGCGCGACACCTCTATCCGTCCAATTCCATGATCAATCTTACCCAGGATGTTTACGCGACATATGTGACCATTGAGGGTATCTCGTACCTCCAATCCTTACAGAACTCGCCTCTGGGGAATGATGCCAAGGGCCATCGAATTCTGGATGCGCCGCAAGGCCATACAATTCGGGTAATCTATGTGGCATATGACCACGTTGGAATCAGGAATATTTATTTTGAATTGCCCAGGCGGGATGACCGTTGCAACTCGTCTTTGGATTGCTGCGGACTATGGTGGAAGCAGCTAACCAGAGATTTTGGCCTCGTGCGAATAGTCGCACAGTCTGACGTTAGCTTATCCTGGCTCCAACCATGCAATTACCTATCCTAACATCCTCCCAGGGCTTGAAAATCAGACGACTCCTAGATTCTACAGATCCCCCTGTCTCAAGAAGCGGCTCGCTCCTTGATCAGGCGTGGCCTACACCAGGTCTATCCTGTCGACTAATAGATCTGGACACGTGTGGCTCTGCTGAGGGACTACCAGATAACTTGAGGATGAGCTTTGTTGATTGCAACACACCTGGGACAAACGGCTATTCTGCCGCCATCTCTGGATTCCACATTTTGAAGATGTATGCGCACGGCTTAGACACCACAACACAGTTCGATCTCGACTTGGACTATGATGCAAGCGCCGTGTTGTGGATGTATATGCCTATCGACGCGGACGAATACCTGGTACAGGTTTGGGCAGTCAAGCATGCTGAGTCTGGCTTTCTAGGTTTTATGGTATGATGTAGAATTGTTGAAGACAGAGCACTCGCGCTGACACTAAGCGTTTTAGCTTTATTCAAGCCAGGGAAGAGCAGTCATGTTCGGGAGTTACAACGTACATCCTGGCCTCCGACTTCAGTTCCACCTCATTTACAGAACAACGAGGAGCCCGTCGCGGATATACATCAACGATTGGGACCCGCTCTGCGACGATAAAAGGATCAAGTACTTGGGGATCGAAAGCGCGAACGATGAAGACAGTGTACCCGAGAATATTGACCCGCGTTATCGGGAAACCTATCCGCCGTCAATAAGACCATCGTCATCGCCGCCTTACACCCAATACAATGAACTTTGGTACTATACGAACTGTCGATTGGAGAATGTCGTGGGAATTGCTTGCTGCATTGACAAAGGTGTCTCACACAAGCCAATCATGGGCATACTGATTCATTACGGCGACGGTCGTCGAGCCTGCGTAGGGCAGTATCGCTTCGACTGGGCCCTTGATCTCTTGGCAGTAGACACGTCAAGGACACTGCGTATTGGCTTGGGCAAAACACGGAAAAACTTGCCGTACGCGGCCAGCCTTCGCTTCCATGAGGAAGCAGCGCCTACTTGCAACACGGCGTCTTGGATTGATTTGCCCTGGCATGGTAAGCTTGAATGGTGGTTTTCACTGCGCCAATGTAAATTGTGCCACTCTGACTAGAAACATGTTGAATGACTCAAAAAATACTACTGTATTTGATATAATGTCTGGGTGGTTTTAGTGTCTCTGATGTAGATGGCATTTTGTGAATCAGCGTCGACGTATTGAGTCCTGTCTGCCGAAGTGGCTTCCCCGTGGAAAGGCGTAAGGTGCCTTCCGCCCCTTTGGTAAAACGGCATGCGAAAGGATACGCCGACCGTGGTCATGGTGTAAGGGAAGGACAAGTTGTCCGCGTCTAGTGCCTGCTTTTCCACTTCTCTTAGGCTGCCACCGGGCCGCTTACACTCTACCCAGAGCAAAGCAGACATGATGTGTTGGTTCTTGTCATATCGGTCTACAACGACACCGACTCGTCTCCGAGAGCCATCCGGCGACACCTCCAAAGTCACGGAGTAGGCCTTTGTGTCGTCGAACTCGTGTTTGGTAGTGCTGCCAACAGACGCCGGCCACTTGCACGGCAATGAGGCCACAGTTGCAGAAAGCTGAGACATCTGAACAACGGTGGCTGGAGGATGGAAGTAGCTGGCATATCCCCCTGGCCATTCATGCAATTTGAGTATATGGTATCGATGCTTTATAACTGATTCACGGCGCTTAGCAACCCTCTTCGCTGTGCACATGGATCCCAACCGACTTGACTCGGCATTGTCATGCTAGCCATCCAATTGGTGTCTGCTGCTTTAAACATCTTTTCCCTTGTCCCTTGTAGTCGCCTCTCTGGGTGCGTTACGTATGAATATCCCATTTTTTTCTTGTCGAGGACCATGGCATAGGCGTTTCAACTTTACCATGTGGGCATGTGGGCATGTCATCTATTATTAACCCACTAGACCAGTTGACAGTTGGGGAAATGTGACCCCAGCCAGTGCCATCTCCACCTGTTAGCCGCCAACAGGGCCCAGGGGCATGCTGGGCGGTTAATATCCATGCACCAGACGTGTCAATGGCCATCAACGGCTGATGTCACTTCATGTCTGGTTGCACTTATTAGGCCAAGGTGCGCGTTTCAGGGAGACTATGTAGTTCAGGCAGCCAATCAACCGACAAATGCGGGTGCTTGTCATTGAAACGGCCAAGCGCGCGACGCTCCAGATAAATCCAATGTTGGGCTGGACACTGCCGTCAATGCATTGAACATTGGGCCCTGCCCTGGCGCTGCAAATGCCTGCATGTCATTAATAGGAGGCCTAGCCTACTAGACCTGGGGAGACTTGGGTCGCCAACTCGGAGTCTCTGAGCCCTCCATCGTCCCACACTTACATACACTGGCTGGGGCAGCAATGAAAGGCCACGTGCCAAGATAGTCCAGCTTTCAGAGCCATATTCGGATTTTGAAGACACCTTTTGATGGACTCGTCTTCACCGACAATTTGCGTTGGCAAAGTGGCTGATTTTAGGGAAGGGGGTAGATGAAAACGTAGATGAGGACAAGCCTGGCAATGGCGGCCGCACACCGCTTTACATGGCTATTCACTAAGAGAATCCGGAGCTTACAGATTGTCAGTAGTGGCGCTGATATTAAGAAAGTCCCTTGCCATGTAGCCGTTGAAAGATGCGACAAGAATGTTCAAATTATCAAATTGCTAGTCAACCACGGCGCTCATTAGACACCGAGGACCGCTCTAATCTCCTTTGGGCGCAGCTACACAAAGCAGCGGATAGGTTGGATATTACTGTTCCAAGTTGCTCCTCAAAAAAATACGGTGCAGAGGGCTTCCCGTGGTTTATGTATCCTAACAAGAATTAGTCTAAAGACGTGGTGGTTTGCATCCGTGTCCAAATAGAGAGTATCCCGGTCAAAGCAACTATCTCATGGCCAACTCAATCCACGGCTGCCAATCGTAACAACAACTCGGAAAGGAACCTGCTAGCCACATGTGACAAGGGCTAGGTTTTCATGGATGAGGTGGTAACAACTCAATTTAAAGATGATCTCAAAGGTGTTTACAGGTCCTCAACTTGTCATGAGCGAGAGGAGGGCAAAGACTAGATATACATGAAAGAAACAGGTATGCCCGAAGCTTGCAGCTGGTCCGCCATGGCCTCCTGTAACGATTCTAAGCTCTTGTTAAGTCCCAGCCGTATAACATGACAACTAGGGAGACCAGATTGGAGGGTCCTCATCGTCTGGGACAATGCCCTTGGCGATGTCTTTCACACACTCAATCATCGCCTTCCTGGTTAGCTTGCGGCTCTTTATACACTCGGTTCTTCCATTTTTACACTTCTTATCGCCATTGAACGGTAGGCAGAGCTCTTCATCGGTAATTTGGTTGGCGATGGCGGCGGCGGCGGCGGCGGCGGTGGCGCGCACACACTCAATTAACGCCTTCTTAGAAGACATCAAGCGCCTATCCTTTTTGTAACACGCACTTGCTGCAGCCTTACAAGCAGCCGGCTTGCCATTAAACGGTTCGCAGAGCTCTGCCTCGGTAGGTAGATCTGCCTTGGTAGGTAGCTTTGGCTCGGTAGGTTGCTCTGCCCTAGCAGCTAGCTTTGGCTTGGTAGGTACATGTAGCTCGGGGACAGGCTTGGCCCCCCCTCGTCGAGCTAGCTTTGCCTTGGTAGGTTGCTCTGCCTTGGTAGGCAGCTTTGTCTCGGTAGGTTGCTCTGCCTTGGTAGGCAGCTTTATTAATTATATATAATTTTTATATTTTAATAAAAATTTAAAATTATTTTT